TTGACTTTCCGATACCATTAGTACCAACCAACCCTAAGACCTGCCCTGGCCTTGGAACAGGGAGCCTGGAAGCAAAGACAGACAGAGTTTCTATTGTCTTAGAACTAGAAAAGGGAACGATTAATCAGAAACGAAAATGATAGATAAATAAACCTGTGCAGCTTGAAAGTGTTGGGCCCATAGCGATGGGTAGTATCTTTCTCCAAGTCTCGGGGGAGATTGATAATCTGAATAGCTTCAAATGGGCATTTCTGCAATTATACAAGAGCAGAAGGTGTTCAGTGTCCCAGTATTGGTTATATGTACAGAGGTATATTCGGTTTCAGTAAATAGCATATGAAGACATACCTTCACACAGATACCACAACCAATGCATAACTCCTCTGAGATAAAAGCAACCTTGGAACCAACAGTCACCTCAATGCAAAGTTTTCCTAAGAATAAAACATAAGTCAATGTTTTAATGGTAGTATGGCACATAAATATTTAGAGTTGTAACAAAAACACTAAGCCATTAATACACAATGAGTAATGGCACAACCAATCAATCACAGTACAGCAAAAGGAAATTCAAATGCAAGACCACATATTCGAATAATGGAATAAGAAAAGAACCTGTCTTGACCACAGGACAGCTCTTCTTGCACTCTTGGCGACATTTCTTTGGCTTGCAACGGTCCGAACTCACAATAGCAATACGTGTCAACCGATCTGCCATCTCTCAACGATCTAAGAAAACAAATAAAACAACTAGATTAACTGCCTGACAAAGATTCAATATGTCTACAACACAAGCTGATAGCAGAACAAAACTAGCTTGAAAGAAACAACAATCTGCGGAAACTATTAATGTTAGCACAAACATGAACACCAGTCCGATAAGAAACTATTAGGGAGCATTGCTTAGGCACAACAGCAACCAAAACTTACAACAGAAGCAATTATAGAGTAAGGATAAAAAAAATTACAAAAGAAAACCACTCAGAAACAATCAAAGCTAAGAAAAATGATATGATTACTCTCTACCCCCAGATATTTTGACAATAATGAAATAATAGTTGACATGCAAAATCTAAAACAGTCAAAAAAATATTCATAACTCCAAAGGGAGACAACAATAAAATTACAAATTCAACACACATCAACAGAGAGAACTACAAAGGTTGGCACTTTCTGCCCAACGATCAAAACGACGAGTGACAAAAGGGAGCAAATCCGAAAACTTTTGTAACGTAATTACAAGTTTTAAAAAGAAATATAGATGCTTTCGATACAATCAATCGCGAACCAAACAATGAAACACAATCCCAAAATCTATGTCGGTGACGATAAAATCATGAAATCAAAATAACAAAAGAACGAGAAAAAGGAAAATATGAGAAAAGCACCTGAGATTGATTGAGAGATTCAGATTGAGCTACAAGAAAGATGGAAGTGAAGAAGCGTGTGCCGATTCTTTTTAAGGAGCCAGCGGAGAGCACACGCACCTGAGAGTTACACTTTTTCCCCAATTGAGGTAGGGTTTCCAACAATACCTGTTTCAGACAGGTTTGACCCGGTTCGGTTTACATTGGGCTTCGTTTGGTCCAGTTGCGAGCCCAACAATTGCAAAGCATTCAGACAATATCATTGTAAGAAAAAATAAATCAAATATTATTTATCTCCCTTTTTTTCTTTTTCTTTTTATCTCCTATCTATACAGACTATACAGTTATTTGAGAACTAAATTTGTCAGCTTGTCATTTTTTTCCATGATTTTATGTCTTTTACTTATTTATAGTGTTATCTTCTGATTTTCCATGATTTTCATAATTTTTAGAAATTAATTTGCTTACTTGTCATTTTTCACCAATGATTTTAGGTTATTTTACTTATTTATCATGCTATTTTTTTTATTTATCATGTTTTATTAATTTATAGAAGTTAATGTTCTTACTTGTTATTTTTTTCATGATTTTAGGTTATTTTATTTATTTATCATGTTATCTTGTTTATTTGTCATGTTCTTAATAATTTTTAGAAGCTTATTAGTTGTAATAAATAACTTTTTGAATTTAATAAATATTTTTTCATTATATTCAGAAAACTATTAACGGGTATTATCAAAATTTAAAAATAATTTTATAGTTGTGTCAATCATTTCTTTTAAGATTGTGACATGTGTTAAAAATTTTGTACAAATATGTAACTATTCTTATCTCAAAAAATTATTTGCATTATATATTAGTTTTCCTTTTTATAAATCTCAACCTCAATAGAAGCATAAAACTTATTTGATAGTACGTTTCTCTTATAAAAATGAATTTTATCAAATCCGATTGTTTCAGGATCATGTAATGATCATTTCACTTTATAATTGTTTGCTGAACTGTATGATTTCGATAATAGAAAAGTTGTAACCGTATTATCCAATAAAAGTACTTAAACAAAATCCGCAAATCTAAAAACGAATTTCAACACAAACTTAAAAGACAAAGAGATGCACCTTATTAAGATTAAAACAAATGCTGATAAAAGTGCAAGAATAAAGTTATCTTTCCCATGAGTTTATTTTGACAACCTCATAATTCACATAGATAAAAAAAAGAGAGAGCTTTTAAGATTTGGCACCACGAGTGTCGGCTTGATGGTATGATCAGGTCGAAACAATTTTTTTTGCAACAATAGTAGTATCTTCAATCATGTATATCTTGCTATGAAAATTACCATCAATACCCTACAATAATATACATTAGTTTAGTGAAATTAAATCAGATAAAAAAAACTAAATATGAGATATATTTGATCATAAAAGATATTAGGGATGAATCAGTATCAAAGCAATGCACATCAAGTGAAATAATTAGGTTACAATGTAAAGGAGTGCAAGATCGTGTTGAAGATTGGCGTCCATAATTTTATGGCTTCATAATCTGTAAACAACATCACAACATATAATATTTTGTTCACCTTATAATAGAAAATTAATGATATATCAATAAATGTTTGAATGGTACTGAATAATTGCAACTTCTTAAATCTTGGAACGCCTGTCCTAAGTCATTGACAACGATAACCTTCAGATCTTTTTGCCTATAAAAAAAGACAACTCATTTTCCATCAGGAGAGTTGTACCACCCTACATAATTAAACACACAAAACAAGTCAAAACATAAAACTTATAATTCATTACTGTATAAATATACCACTACTCAACATACTTAATGTAATCAATCATACCCTTCATTTCATATTCCATGTGTTAGTAGGTATAACTTCATTGTATTTTCTGGAGGATAATAGAAACTAATTTCCAATAGATTATAAAGAGTAAGAGAAAAATAAAAGAATGATGATAAACTAATGAGTATTATTAGTTAGAAAAGTTAAAGAAGCTAGATGCATCTCAATGTTTCAGAGAAATAAAAAAAAAACATTTTTGGATTATTTTTCATGGAACTGAAAAAGATAAGAGTTTATGTTAAGTTTCTAAATTGACTTTAGGTAACATACCGTGAAATCATATCTTGACGCCTCAACATCCCAATAAAATATACAAAGGACGCATAATCAGTGGCAATGAAAAAATGTTTTTAGTTGAACTCTGCATAATTATTACAAATCACCAATTATAGTTATCAATCGAAACGAGAATGATAAGATAAATAATATATAAAATATACTCACGTCCACATGAGACATCTCCATGAAAAGGACAATTACACGCATGGAAAACCAGTTGTATTTGATTAAAATACTGAATGAAATGAAAAATACTCTCAAAATAACAAATACTTCAACGTATTTTGAGTGTGGTAATATGATAATACCACTAACGATCCACTCTTGGTCATGAAATATATAGATACTAGATCAGTATTTGCTGAAAAGTGAATGGCAAAGTAGTTATGGGACTAAAATTAGTTAGTATCAAGATACCAGATGAGAAGATTCAAGTTCTTTCTACTCGTGACAATGCCACAGCATGAGTGAGTCACGGTGGTCGGGTTCCCGAATAGTAGTTATATAATTCTATTAAGTTGTGTGCACTCTAAGTGCAGATGAAAAGATAACACATAAGTTTTAGAAATGACTTTGAATTACATTCAATAAATATAGGTTACAAAGTAGCTGTTCTATAATTAAAGTAACTTCTCTCTTGTTAAGTTGGATTTTTTTTTTGTCTTTTAAAGCGTTTTGCTATATCTTGTTTTTGCCAAGGTATAGTAAACTCTAGATCTCTCTATAATATTATTTGAGAAATAAATTTATTTACTTGTCATGCTCTTCATTATTTTAGTTAATTTTGATTATTTGTTATGTTCTCTATAATTTTAGGTAATTTGAATATTTGTTATATTCTCCATAATTTTAGATAATTTTACTTATTTGTCATGTTCTTAATAGTTTTGATTATTTTGTTTATTTAGCATGTTATCTATAATTTTAGATAATTTTACTTATTTGTCATAAACAAAAATATAAATTAGTTATAATAAAAATTGTAAAACAGGGAAATACGTGATGGTCATAATGTTTTGTTAGATATGGTATGTTGGAAATCACATGGTATTTTGATGTTACCTATTCAGTATCTAATTTGATTCAATATTTTAGTCAATCAACTCTCATATGATTAAACGACAAAAAAAAATCTCATATAATTATTTTTGTTAAAAAAATTTCCGTTATTGCTAATTTGGTCAAAAATATCAAATATATATGTTTAGATACGCTATGAGAACCTTTCAATGAAGTTATAATAGTCAAGAATACAAAATATTGGTAGGAACAAACAATCTTGTTTGATTCCAGAGATAGCGCATCTCTTCAATGTATTGGTTTATGTCCTTTCTTGAAGTTGACCTTTTTCAAGAGGTAATGAGATAATAGCTAGCTTCTCTACTGTAAACTCAAGATGATATAGCATATACAATTTTGTTTATTCCCATTGTAACATAAAGTCGGGGGATCAGTTTATAATATCTAATCGCTTAATCATATATATCCATTTATGAGTTTCAGTTCCGGGAAGTGCTGGCGTTAAGGCTCTGGAAAAGCTCGGGAAGATGAGCATTGGTGAGTTTAGTTCTCTTAGTGATCTCTTGTTTCCTCTTCTTCTTATGCTTCGATTTATCGATCACTATACCGTACCTCTGTTCAGCAGCTCTCCTCGCTGTAGTGTCTGTCACCGGCTTCAAACCGTACTTCTTTAACTCCTTCTCCACTTCCAGGAAGTCGCTTGGGACCTCTGTGTCGCGAAACAGAGTTTTGAAGTCGTCGTCAACGGTGATCTCACACTTGAAATCATTTGGGTACGCAATGTCTTCTTGTGAGTTTGATAGTAACCATATGTCTTCTGAAGCTTTCAGTGCCTGAAAATAACAAAAAGATAATCTTGAACACTTTCTTGTTTGGTTTCAAGAACTATATGTTACATGTGTGTGTCGTTCGTACTTGTAAATCCTCCATGACGTTAGGGTATGCGTCTTTGAGATCACTCGCGGAAATACCATCAGGATATTTATTTATCAAGGAGAGAAGCTCTCTCTTGTCATTGACATTGTGCTCAGCCTGTGAGGAGAGCAGAGTTTCAAGTAAATACAATAAGAAGAATACAAGAATATGATCAATTCACCTTGTAAGAGAATCTTCTTCCATCATAATGAGCTTTGGGGTTTTTCACCATACTATCAAAAACAGCCTTATTGGCATGCATGTCAACGTAACACTTTTCATTTATTTGCTCTGGCGTCAAGGCTTGCCTTGTCTACAAAGCAAACAAAAAGGAAGTCAAAATCAAACTTTCATCGGAAATCACATATATGAAGAAGGATTATAACACAATGATGAGAGCAAGAACAAACCTCAAAGAGAAGACCAATGACACGCTTGATTTGAGCTCCAACAGGAGATTTTCTGACGCTGTTGATAAGCTGAAGCCGCTTTGTATCGCTTGAGAACTTAACAGGAGCACTAGGCTTGTTGTCACTGATAATAGCCGCAGCCACGGGACGCCTCAAAGAAGAAGAAGGCACCTGTCTTGAAGAAGCAATGCTCGAGAGAGTAGAGTGGCATTTTACTTGCTGCTTCTTGAAGTTATCTAGCTGCTCTTTTAGAGACATCTGAAACGTGTTCAGAGAAAAAAACGTAACCCCTAGCCGTTCAATATGTATATTTAATGATGATTCTGAATGCTTAAAATTTGTGGGTAACTCTGATCAAGTCATGATAAGGATAGACACAAAATAACATCCTAGAGAATCATCTTCAAAAAAAGTTTAATTAGGGTTTACAATCAATCATGGACTTAACCAAACCAATCCTGGTGAATCCTCAAAACTTACGGTTTCCAATGAATTTCGACTCCTCAAAGATCACTCGATCTTAGATCCAACGAAACTAGGGTTTGTTTATTTATCAGTAGATACAAACCTTCGTGATCGGTGGTGAACGCCTGCTTCTAAGTTCTTGATTTATAGATGAGGGGTGGTGAATATGGGAGTTTGTTAAATTAATGAAGAGGTGGAGAATGGGTTTGTGTTAATTAAGCCCATTTTAGAAGTTAGGTCGGTTTAGTGGACCAAAACAAGGTAAAGTAATAAAAATAACCCTAACTTGTGGTTGCAGGGATAAATTGTTTTCAAAAACCTTCAAAGAGTCAGAAAGCTGATCACATTGTCTACGCTTCCTCACCTTTGTAAATCACTATCTCACCTCCGTTCATCAAAATTGCGTTAGGTGTAAACTATAAGTCTCTGTTTCTCTAATAACATTGTGTGTTTCTATGATCCTTTGATTGTCTGAATATTCTGAGACGATCTCTTGATGCTAGTTTTGGATTTGGGAGTCAGTATTCTCATCGGTTTTGAGAAGATAGTATCTCTTGTTGGTTCATGTGTGTTATTGACTGTAGCCTTAGCATAGTTTCTTAAGACATTCTACCCGATGCTGTCCCCACTCCTATACACGTTTCGAACATGTTTTCATCTCTCTCTCTCTCTCTGCTCTATAGCTGACGAGTCTTTGTCCCATGAAAACACTAAGACGTATCTTGTGTCCTATTACCAAGACCTAGTTTCACAGCTCTTGTTCTGCTTTCGTCTTTTTTTTCTAGAACTTCTGTTAGTTACATATCCTTTATTGCCCTGTTTTTGAGTTTGCTCTCGTTGCTAAAAGTTATCTTTTGCGTCCAAGCAGAGTTTGTATCAAAAACAAACTTAATACTGGTTCAGTGGTTCCTCTTGGCTGTTATTTGTTAAAGCATCTGGTTTGCTAAAGCCGATGGAAATATCAGTCCCCATACAGAAAGCTGCCGTTGTGCCCAAGCCATTTATCAAGTAACTCTCTCTATATTCCATGACCACTTTTCGTGTCATTTATAAGTGTTCAAGCAGACCTTTGTTTTTGTATTCCCTATGTTGTTAATTTTTCATTAAATTTTTCAGGCTGATGAGGCTTTTAGCAAGGACTCTCTATGATGATAATAATCTTACTACGTTAAGTGACAATCAGAAGAAATCTGCAAAAGTTGACAGCAGAGGGAATATCGTTATGGTGTTGGATGCTCTTATGAGGTTTGTATATATGCATGCATCTTTGACGTTCTATTAAGTTGTCACAATGGTCTTTTCATTTATGGTTTTCTGTCTGCTAGGCGGCGATGGGTTAGAGAAGAAGACTTGGCAAGAGAGTTGAAGAAGAACCCCAAGCAACTCCGAAAAATATTAAGATACTTTGAAGAAAAACATTTGGTCACGCGTTACCAAAGGAAAGAGGTACGTTCAGAAACTATGTTCTCTTTCAAATTGGTGGTGATGTCTGTCACTTTATTGCACAATACAGCTCTTGATAAGCCTATATAACTCAACAACTCTAATAGTCAAAATAATAAACAGCATAATGTCATATACATGTAAAGTATAAAGATAATGGAAGAACATGAGCATGATCAGGGAGTGATAGGTTTACACTACTATTTTAATGATTCTCAATCTTTTCAATAGACTGCAAAGCGTGCGAAGATATATAATGTTGCAGTGGCTGCTACAGCTCATGGCCGTGCAGAGGACAATGTTAAGTTCCACACACAATCATATTGCTGTCTTGATTATCAACATGTATGTTTCATATCCCTATTACTTTATTATTTTGTTTCAGTTTTCTGTTTTGCCTTTATTTTATAAAAGTAAACTACCATATATCACTTTCTTCTCTCTTTTACAGATGTATGATACTTCTCGTTTGCGTCTGCAAAAGATTAAAAGGAAACTCAAAGATGAACTAGAAGATAAGTATACTATTCAGAAGTATAACTGTCCTAACTGCAACAGGAAGTAAAAGTCCACTACTCTTTTACTTTATTTAGATATTAGGACGTCACTGAACCTGAATAGATTCTCATTTGTGGTATAGATATAGTGCACTAGATGCCCTGAGATTAATTTCTATGGAAGACGACGCATTTCATTGTGAAAGATGCAATGGTAAAATTGTTGTGGAATGTAATGAGCCATCTTCCAAAGAAGTAGTAGATGGAGGTGACACTGCAAAGAGACGGCAGCAGCAAAGACTCCAGTTTGTGGAGGTCTTTGTATAAACGAGAAATTGATTTGCATAAATTTTGCATAAATAGTAAGTTTGTGCGTTTACAAAACTGAAAGTAAAATGCGCAGGCTCTGATGGATCAGATTAATAGAGTGAAAGACCTACCGTTTCCTGTCTATGAAAGTTTTCCGGAATGGGAGGCTCGTGCAGCTATTGATGCTCGTGAAAATGGTGATTTTAATACTAATGATCCTTTGAGGTCACAGGGTGGGTATGGTTCAACACCGATGCCGTTTTTAGGAGAGACAAAGGTGATCATTGTTGTTACACTTCTCAATGCATATAGAAGAAAATATATGTTGTGCTGTAAACCTTAGTGGAGTTTTATATTTATTTTCTTTAATCCTTTTTCATTGTGGTTAGGTTGAGGTTAACCTTGGTGAAGGAAAAGAAGAAGTCAAAACTGAAGATGGAGTTTCTAGAATGAAACCGATGCCTCAATGGATGATCAGACAAGGAATGAATCTGACTAAGGAACAAAGAGGAGAAATGAGTCAGGAAGAAAAGGTTGCTGGTGTCTCAGAAGTAAAACCTTCTGATGACAATAAACCATCAACCATGGGAAATGACAATGATACCTATTTGAAGGTACCTTTTGTGAGCTTTCTTTTGTATTTGTTTAGATCCATACAGCAGCATCTTGCGAGTTGTATTCAGAGAATCTTGATACATTTTATTTTCAGGAAGCTTACTATGCTGCTTTACTGCAGCAGCTACAGGCTGCTGGAAAACTGAATCAGCAAGAATCCTCTCCTAACATTCAGTCGGCTACTATTATCTCAGATCGTCAAGTTGGTATGAAGTCCAAACGTGAAGAAGAAGATGCTGAATGTGAAGAAGGGACTCATGTTTCAGGTCAGTTTGAGTTTTACTATTACTTCATTTCCAATTCCCTAACTAGTAAGTTGATCCTATGAAAAAACGCATTACCTTAGTTTAGTTTTTTTGCGCAAGTATAAAACCGAAACAGAGCGTTTGCAACTGCTCAAAATACAAAAAGGACACTGGTCTTTGAATATGCAGAAGATACTTGTTAAAGAAACGCTTGATAACTTTTTATGTAAACTAATTTTGCAGCAAATGGAGCAGATGATGATGATGAAGACATCGAGTGGGAAGAAGGCTGAAAAAGTAAATGGATCAAAACCGTTGATAATAGAATTGATTTTTGTCATGTGCACTATAGTGATTGGTAACTAATTGTGAATCTCATCATCTGCACCAGTTTCCTCAAAAGGTTGTAACATTTAAACTTATTTGGAATCTTATCAAGAGATGGTAGATGAGACATGAAGAGCAAAATACAATATCACCAACATCAAGTCATTAATCAGAGAGGAGAGTTGAAATTGAAAAAATAACAACCAAAACAAAACAAACACAAACTGTCAATTACAAAAACAAATTATAGATAAGTTTCAAAGCATCTGTTACTGAGAGATTGAGCAACCTCTTCTACAGATACCATAAGGTTTTACATTAATACTAGCACTCTCCAATATTTATTTTCCTCTAAACCAGCAATCTCTAAACCGATATATAGTTAAAAATGTAATAATTTGAGAGGGGAATTATTAGAAACATCGGCCAGGTAATGAGACTACTCGAGGAGAGAATCAAACTTTTTTTTGAGATTACTTCCACTTCTTGAATTTGCCCCCTCCAAACATACCATGTTTCCCATGCTTTCCATGCTTGAACTTGCCTCCGTGCTTGAATTTGCCACCGTGCTTTCCATGCTTGAACTTACCATGACCATATCCACCGTGACCAACGTGGCCATACCCTGCGTGACCTGCATGCCCGTATGGGTTGTGTGCTCCATGAGCAACGTGGTGAGCTCCATAGGCTGCTGCCGCTGCACCAGCTGCACCAGCGATCATACCTCCTAGTCCACCACTAGAATGTCCTGATGAAACAGAAACAAGAATGAATTAACATGGAGAACCTCAAAAGTAGCAGAGCAAGAGAGAATAAGACCAAAAACTTGTTGACATGATAAAAAAGCAAGTTCGGATTAAAAACAGAACAAAGGACAATGTCTTAGAAACTACTGTTCTTTAAACTATAATTAAAAGTTTTAAACTCATCAACATTATCTAGCAGGTTGAAAATACAACAAACTACAGGGGCAATGTCTTTTGCTTTTGCATAGAAAACAGCAAAGTTCACAAAGCTACTGTTCCTATTACCACATACAAACGTTACAGGAACAGTGCTTAGCCTTAGGTTAGCAAACAACACCACATGATAAACTATTGTCCTGTAATTTTTCAAACACTTCACAACTATTTAGCATCTGGATGATTGTAATAAACGACAAAGCAGAGTCTCTACCTGAATGGTGAGGAGCAGGGTAGCCTGCAGGAGGATAACCTCCGGGTGCTTGAGGATAACCTCCAGGTGCACCAGGAGGGTATGCACCAGGTGGGTAACCGGCAGGTGGGTAGCCTCCAGCTGGAGGGTATCCTTGTTGTGGAGGGTATCCAGCGGGTGGGTAACCTCCAGGACCGGGTGGGTAATGATGTCCACCTCCTGGAAAACCATGAAACCCTTTCTCTTGTTCATCATGTTGCTTGTCTTTACCACCTCCCATTGTTTTTACCAACTTTCAGCAAAATCAAAACCTACAAGAGTTTGACATTTATACATCATTGTCAAAATATTTGATAGATCACAACAATCAAATGAGATAACACCATCCATGAATACAAACGATCACATTAAGAAAAAGCCTCAAAATAATTACCGATAAGAACTTCGAAGATTGTTTCAGAACGTGTAAAAACAGAGCTTTATGTGCTTATTTATGGATAGGCGTGCTGCGTCTGCATCATTGATTACTTAACGCGTTACCATTTTTTGAATAAGTGTATTTCTATATTTTACCTTTTATTGTTTCGCTTAGTCCTCGTACTTTTATTATAATAACAAATCGAACACTTTAGTCTTCATAGTTTCTAAACGAGTCAAAGTCCAAATACTTAAACGGGAGATAAACACTGTAAAATAATCTTTATTGTGATTTTATGAGTGCGTAGGAAAATATTATACGTCTTTTTGGTTATTTATTTGTGTCTAATTTGATGTTTAAGAAACTTATGAAAGTAAACAGGTCAAAACGAGAATATGTAGAACTAAAGGTGAAGTGTGATAAATAAAATATCTACGTCGTGGGAACGCGCAATGAACACGGAGTTCCACGAACATGATGAGGTAAAAATATATTTTCCCGTAATAAATATATCTTAGTGGTGGAGAAGTCTTTATCCTTTAATTTGTCAAACGCCAAATAACAATGGTGGTAACGACAATAGAATCTGGTCCTCCACAAATCAGAATTATCTTTTACTTTATATCTTCTTGTTGACTATTTAAACAAACAAATGCTGATACCTAGATTCCCCATCATGTCAGGTTAGAACAAACTATATCACTAAATTAGTTGAATCTTACTAGACACAAAAATGGATGGTGGTGGGTTCGTTCATCATTAATGGGTCTACATGAATGTAGATATGTTGGAGTATGGGTCTTTCGGTATCCATTAAGTAAAAGAATACACACATGCTGAGCCTGAAAGTACAGCTTTACTTCCACCAAGTTTCATTCCACTTCCACTTCCACCTCGCAGATTACCCTCATAGGATTGGATTATAGGCAAATAATGAGATGTTTCTAGCTGTTTTATGTGAATACAGGAAACAAAAAATGTGACTGTTTGGAACCAACAAACATTTGATCAGAAATCTAAAGTTCTAATGAGATTGTTTGGAATATGCCCGTAAAGCTCTATAAAGATTAACATCACATAAAGATAAACTCAATCATACATAATTCACAATCTCATTCAGACCAGAACAGAACTCTCGTATTCCAGTGACAACAGAGTGCACTCCGTTTCTCCTTTGCTTAGTGCTTGTATCGATGCTTACGAGACTCTTCTTCTTCCGATGACACCTCATGCTTCTGCTTCTTCTTTCTACTAACCGAACCAGATCCTGCTTTCTTCGTGCTTCTGTATCTATCGGAAAACCCTTCAAGATCATCAGATGCATCATAAACATGCTTCTTTTTTCCCTTCTCACTCCTGTTATGTCTCCCAGAATCACGATCATCATATCTCGGTTTCTTATCCGATCTATTACGCTTATCAGACTCAGAATCCACATCTCCGTGTCTTCTCTCATCATATCTCTGCTTCTTCTCAACTCTATGAAGCTTCCCAGACTCCAAACTGTCATGCCTCTGGCTTTTCTCAGGAACAGGATCGTTATTACGCAGTTGCTTGCTCTCCCTTTGATGGCTTTTGTAATCATCTTCTGATCTTTTCTTTCTACTACTGTGGTTTCTGTAATAATCAGAATCATCAGATGACGCAGAAGGTGTATCCACCACCTTTTTCCGTTTCTGGTGCCTCTCGTCCTCGGGATGATTTTCTCTGTGGCTATTTCCTTGGTGAACCTCAGTTTTTAATGTCTCAGATGAATCTAAATGCTTGTTGCGCCTTCTCCTGCTTGACCGGTACCTATCAGAGTCTGAATCTTCAGAGGAAAATGAGTCAGAATGATATTGCTTCTTGCTCTTCTTTTCAACATCCTTGCGCTTCTTCTTCGATCTTCTTTTATCTCCACTATCTTCTGAGCCTGTGGAAGATTCAACAGTTTCCTCAGCAGTCCGAGATGAATGCTTCTTGTGTTTTTTGTTCTTTTTGGACTTCTTTTTCTTATCAGACGATATACTCCTCAGTAGTTCTAATGGGAGGCTGCCCTCAAGGAACCCTGTTATGCCATAACGAATTGAGAAAAATAGAATATACAATCCAATAATGAGATGTGGTTTTACAACGAATTAAGAATTTCACCTCCATATTCGTCAAATATATCTTCAGCGACAATTTGTTGATTTGGATCTTCAGGATCAAAACCACCACGAGGAGGACTCAAACCAGGCTTTTGTTTCAACTCCCACTTCAGAGGCTGCAAAAAAAAAAAAAATTAGAAAGAATCTCCAGTTAATGATACAACCTTTTATTTCCCAAAACTAAATCTTCAAAGATTTTGAAGAATGATAATCAAGGTGAAATTAAGACCAACCTCGCCAGGATCTGTATGTGCAATAATAGCAGTCAACGGATCATCTCTTTTCAATCGATGTTCTTCACTTGGCATCACTGTATCCTTTAATGGACATTCACGATCACCACTTTGGTGACCAAAGTTTCCACACCTCAGACATTTCACATTACGCACTTCAACTCCAAATGGCTTTGATCTCCCAGCAATACCAGTCTCCAGCCTGTACAATTCCAATCAATGTATGTGATGAGAAAATCTCCACTTACATGTCATTGTTGAAATATCTCAACTATGATGCAAGTACCTTGGTGCATTTTTAAGTACATCAAACTCTTCTTCAGTAGGAAGAGCACGCCCAAACACATCTTTAGGTCGTGGTTTCTTCCTTTCCTGACCTGTATGGTCACTCCCAGCTACTGGCTCTGCTGGCCTGACAAAAAAAACAGTTCTCGTTAACGCTTAACATACAGCATAATAACTCGTTAATATCTATTTCTTCCTTCAACATACATAGAACCAACATTGTCATCCGCCATTGGATCCTGACTCGAAGAACCCTGACCACCCTGGTGTTTCTCATCCGCGTATTCTGCCGCTTTGGCACTCTCAGGGTCATAACCAGGTGGACGAATATACATGAAACTCACAGCTTTCATCATTTCAATCTGCGAATTATAAACTCAGCAATGAATATCACAAACACACAAAACCAAAACCAAAACCAAGTAAAAAACACTACTTACACCAAGTCTCAATGCCTTTAAAGACTTTAAAATCTACCTAAGTATCATAAGAGTTTATTAAACTGGATTCTCATTGGTAAGAGCTTCAATCCAACCTAATAACTTAAAATTAAAACCACCAGAAAACACATGAACCCTAATCTTAAAGATTCAAAACCAATTCACTACTCAAAAACAAGATCTGAACAACGTAAAACCCTAATCAAACCTTCTCCCTTTCTTTCTTGGAGATAAGAGCCGCTTGCTTGAAGAACTCCTGCTCTTGCGCAAACTGCAAACCAAAAAACAGCGATGTGAGGAAAAAAACAATCAATCAATTGAATAAATTCGAGAGCATGTACGATGTGCCGTTACCTCACGAGCCACTTCTTCGGCTCTGCGATCGTGCTGGGCGTTGGTCTGCTCGGCGATCCATTTGCGTCGCTGATTGGGATAAGAAAGCGGATGCCATGGCTTCTGATTCAGGAAATTGTGGCTCCAAGCTGTCCCCGATTTCGTCTTGTAATCTACCTCTAAGCCTGTGCCGGTTACTTTTCCGCCGGCGAATCTCTTGCTCAGCCGTATCCCACTCCCTTCTCCCCCGCCGTCCATCTGATTCGGAATGCCCTCTCGATTGTTTTCGTCGCCGCAATACTAATATCGGCGATATTTTGTGGAGTTGCAATTTAATCCAATATAAAAAGAAACATTACGAATCAAGAGCAAAATTGATTTAATTACAGTTTACCCCAAAATTAAATGTTATTATTACTCTCTGTTTTTATTATGAGTCGATTAAGAAAACAATTAATTTTCCATATTTTCTGTATAAAAATTCAATTACATATATATCTAGATATATTTGAACCAATAAAAATAAATTGTAATAGAAAATTAATAAATTTTACATCAAAAATAAAAATAGTATTTATTTTGTAACAAATTTTTTTTCTAAGACTGATGCATAATAGAATAGAATATTATTTTTAACTGGAACAAGTATTGATTAGACGATTCAATATGTCAAAGAGCATCTCCGTCTATCCATATATGTGATAAAAAAAATATAGTATTTTGTTTTTGTTTGAAAAAAAATATTCATTCAGTTACATTTTAGTTATCGTTTTAAATTTTTTCACACGAATTAAAAAAATATTTATTTTTTTCTATTTTTAAAACAAAAACATAATTATTTATTTAGCATTTGAAATTACAAAATGATAGTTATTTTGAACACAAAATTTTATTCATAACCAAATTGAAACGGAGTTAGTATTATATTATTAAGTACAAATTGTGAAAAGTAAGAAAAAAAAATCTAAGGAGAAGAGATTATAATTCGTTTCTAACTTAAAAGCTGTTCCCAAACGTGAGTAAAGGATCTAACTTTACTATTACTTTGATTAGTCTAAACGAAAGATTTGTTTCCGTCAGATCGAGAATAGGGGGCGGAGTAAATCGAAAAAATGACGGCGGCGATGGTGCTGAGCGGAGGCGGATCGGCGGCGGAGAGAGACGCAAGGTTGGCTCATTACGCGATGGCGTTTGTTCAGCTGTTTAATGGAGGATACCATGTGATAACGAAAGTAGCTCTCAACGTTGGAGTTAATCAGCTTGTCTTCTGTGTCTGTCGTGATCTTCTTGCTCTCTCTATCCTCGCTCCTCTCGCCTATTTCCGCGAAAGGTTTCGTCTTTTTTCTTCGCCTTTCACATAAAGTTCTGTGCTTTTTGAGTTTACGTTGATGGATTTGTGGGTTTATGTTGGTTGTAAGAACACTGATCCATTGGTATTGGATCTTATGAATTCGAATTAGGGTTTCTCTCACTAACATAGGAACTAAATTTCAGATTTAGGGCAATGTGTGTTGACTTAAAGCTCACTTCTGGAATGTGTTTATGTGTTATGATCAAATAAGTGAATATTTTAGCTCCGTTTACATCAGACTGTTGATGATAGATACTTGTGAATTTGAGATTATTGATCGTTGCAGTTTCTTTGTTGATCATGTACTGATACTGTTAGTAGATTGTTAGACTCTTCTTCGTGTTGCAATAACTACATTTGAAACTAGGTAATCAGGGAAACTATATTACAGTACTACAGTACTATACTTATGCCTCTATGGCAAGCTGACCTCCATAAAGCGCTGGCTTGGTGCGCTTTTGATTAAGTTTGAGGCGCCATAAGCCCAACAAGGCGCCTTATAGTTTCTTGGTGGGTAAGGAGGTATCTTGTATCTCTTCTCCTCCTTCCCTACCGAGATAGGTTACCTATCACAAAATGAAGGAATAGTGTGTTGAGGCTGTAACTCGTGATGTTCACTATCAAGCTTTGCAGGCGTTGTGATGAATATTTAAGTATTCATAACCTAATCAAGGAATATTGTTCTTTTTTTTCATGTATGCAGAAGGATTAGACCTCCAATGACTAGAAGCCTTCTCTTTTCATTCTTCTTTTTGGGCTTATCAGGGTAAGAAATCGTCTCTTTCCTGTTTCACTATTTTGTAATCATGTTTATGCACAGTTAAAGTCGTGCTGATGCCATCTCTGCGTTGTCCTGAATGTTATAGGGTATTTGGCAACCAGTTGTTGTTTCTTGTCGGCCTTACATACACAAATCCAACTTATGCTGCTGCCATTCAACCATCCATCCCGGTCTTTACCTTTCTTTTGGCTGTAATGATGGGGTTAGTATTATCTTTTTCAAAAAATTCTTCACTTTTCGTTTGTTTTCTAACGTCTCCTACTTTTGTATGCAGTACAGAAAGAGTGAACTTGTTAAGAATCGAAGGTCAAACTAAGGTTGGAGGAACACTTGTGTGTGTTTTGGGTGCGGTATTTATGGTTTTATTTAGAGGCCCGGTCTTGTTAGGAGATAAAGATGCAGACTTTGCGATGCACAATGAAATCAGCGCTAAAGGTCAACCTGAGCCTACAGGGTGGTTAGTCACTGGCTTTCTCGACCTTGGATTTGAGCAGTGGCACATTGGTGTTTTATGCTTGATTGGAAACTGCATGTGTATGGCTACTTTTATTGCTATTCAGGTAGATCCCTTCATTGTTTCACTTTCTTTTGGTTAGTTATTTAGACAAACCCATATATAACCTACTTAACTCAGTACATGTCTTTTGATGTGAATGGTAATGGAAACCCTCCAGGCACCGGTTTTGAAGAAGTATCCAGCAAATCTTTCGGTTGCTGCATTATCATACTTCTCCGGTACAGTACTAATGGTCACAACAGCATTCTTTATGGTAAAGGAGCCATTAGATTGGAAGCTAACACAAGCTGAAATTCTCGCAGTTATATATGCAGTAAGTTGAACCAATACTCTTCTTTTTTATATCTTCTCACATGTTCCTCGCTTAAATCAATTTCATCTGTGGTTTGTCTTCTCTTAAGGGGGTTGTCGCGTCAGCGCTAAACTTTGGAATGTTAACTTGGTCCAATAAGATAATTGGTCCTGCATTGGTTGCTCTCTACAATCCTCTTCAGCCTGCTGCATCAGCTTTCCTATCGAGAATCTTTCTCGGTAGCCCTATTTTCCTCGGAAGGTGAACACACATTAATCTCTTTACTTTGGGGTTTCAACATCATCTTGATCATTTCACAGAGTCTTATTTTTCCTTCTGTGCAGCGTTGTGGGTGGATTCTTCATCATCTTAGGACTCTATATGGTCACATGGGCATCGTTTAGAGAGAGAAAAGCATTGGCTTCAGGGATTGCTATAGCGTCTCATAGTGCAAGAACCCCAGAGCCTCTGAAGAAGAACCCAGTTGTTAGCAGAATAGGGCAGTTGTTTTCTGGATTAGGCAGTTCCTCTATGAAGTCTGCAGACTAAAAAAGAAGCCATCATAAAGTTAAAAGAACCATATTTTTACAGAAGATTTTATCTTTGTTACATTCATCTCAGATTAATACCTTATTTGATTCCATCTATATATATATAAATCATAGATTCTCAGTGTTTTAATCCAACGCTATTGTCTTTTCTTCTACTTTTATCCTAGAAGTTCATCTAATTCGTATTGATTTTAGGCCATGAAGATGACATTTGACCTTAAACTTTTGCATATCTCCTTCTAGTAATGGATAAATATTTATTCAGTGCGAGATAAATTGACTAGACTATATAGTTGTCAAAACTTAGGTTAGGGGGATCTTCAAAAAGTTAGAAAAGTTATTCACAAAAGCTGTGTGTTTTCTGGTAAGAAAACATACACACTAGTGGGAACTTTTACCAATTTTCGAAAAGTCCCTCCCAGTTTTAGTTATTTTTATGATAAACTTATCAAAAAGATATGAGTTTTTATTTTTCACGTCCTCGTAGGAGTTTTTAATTAAACTTATAAAAAAAAAAAACAATACAATTTCAATTCATATTGTCCGGACACACCACACCATAAGCATTGTTTAACTAACAATTAGAATTTTAGACATAAAATTAGTGGGAACTAAAAGAAAATTAAAATTACGTTTTAACCCCAAACGTTTCCAAATATTCCAAATCTTCCCCCCAGATAATGAAAATTGAGCAAAGACGCTTTCTGTTGTAGAGAGAAACAAACACATCATCCATAGAGAGAGAGAGAGAGATCCCTTCTGCAAGACAAAAACGGATCTCTGTCGTCTTCTCAGGTCTGAGTCGTCCTCTTAGCTCAGTACTCCTCAGATCTACCGGAGATTCTCTATTCTCTCTCGTACAAAAAGATCAAACGATTTCGTTGTATGTAAAATGCAATTTAATCCCTTCGTATACGCAAAGCGATACACGAGATCTAGTGCTGCGTAAGCTCTTAACGGTGACTTCACTATCCGCTTCTGTCTTTTATTTATTATTATTTTGTAATCCCAATGTCGCTTTAACTGCAAAAGATCGCTCCTTTCTTTGTGTTGTCTTATTGATTAGTGTTTTAGATTGAGAAAAAAAAAAGTATTCACTAATCTCTTTTTCGGAATGCATTTGGTTTTGGTTTGTGTAGTTTAACATCTCCGAAGAATCTGTTGAGTTTCTTCTGCATTTGATGCTAAAAAGCAAGGCTTTAAGTGTTTAGCAGTTAACAGAGAAGATGGTGTTTGGTAAGATCACTCAATTTTTCACATCAAATCGTTACGGACCCAACACACAACCTTCTATTCCATACATCCCCACTAGCTCATCACCAGATGTAGGCGCCACCTCAGCAGCAGCTCCAGACTCCATCACATTCGGTAACAATGGACGCAAAAACGGTTTAAGACACGCTGCTTCACTCCAAGACTTCTCTTCCTACCACGCCTTTGACCCCGAAGAGCCTTTCACCGACTCAACCAAACAACAACAACCACCATGGGGAGGAGGAGGAGGAGGAGGAGGAGGACAAAACGGAGCTAGCTTCTCCAAGGACAAAGCAAGTGTGACCAACCGTAGATGGATCCGTGCGGTTATGATCGTTATGTGTCTGTTTCTGTTTGCTTCTCTGGTGTATATAGTAGGCATGTATGTTTACACGAACTGGTCACGTGGAGGGTCGAGGTATTACGTTGTGTTTGACTGTGGAAGTACAGGGACTCGTGCTTATGTTTATCAGGCGTCTGTAAACTACAAGAAGGAGAGTAGTCTACCTATTGTTATGAAGTCTTTGACGGAAGGTATCTCTAGGAAGAGTAGTGGCAGGGCTTACGATAGGATGGAGACAGAGCCTGGGTTTGATAAGCTTGTTAACAACAGAACGGGTTTGAAGAAAGCGATTAAGCCACTTATTCAGTGGGCAGAGAAGCAGATCCCTAAGCGTGCTCATAGGACAACGTCTCTCTTTGTGTATGCAACGGCGGGAGTTAGGAGGTTGCGTGGGACTGATTCGAGCTGGCTTTTGGGTAATGTGTGGTCTATATTGGCGAAGTCTCCTTTCACTTGTAAGAGGGAGTGGGTTAAGATTATTAGTGGTACTGAGGAGGCTTATTTTGGATGGACTGCTCTTAATTATCAGACGAGTATGTTGGGAGCTGTGCCTAAGAAGGCGACGTTTGGTGCACTTGACTTAGGTGGGTCTTCGTTGCAGGTGACGTTTGAGAATGAGGAGCGAGCGCATAATGAGACCAACTTAGATCTCAGGATTGGGTCTGTTAATCATCATCTTAGTGCTTATTCTCTCGCGGGGTATGGTCTTAATGATGCGTTTGAAAGGTCTGTTGTTCATCTTTTGAAGAGGCTACCAAATGTTAATAACTCTGAGTTGATTGAAGGGAAAATGGAGATGAGACATCCTTGTTTGAATTCTGGATACGAGGGGCAGTACATTTGTTCTCAATGTGGTTCCAGTGTGAAACGAGGTAAAAAAGGGAAGTCAGGAGTTTCTATTAAGCTTGTTGGTGCTCCAAACTGGGGAGAGTGCAGCGCCCTGGCGAAAATTGCTGTTAATAGCTCTGAGTGGTCAAAGACAAAGCATGGTGTTGATTGTGAATTGCAGCCTTGTGCTCTTCCTGATGGTTACCCTCGTCCTCATGGTCAGTTCTATGCTGTATCCGGATTCTTCGTGGTGTACCGATTCTTCAATCTAAGTGCTGAAGCTTCCCTTGATGATGTTTTGGAAAAGGGTAGAGAATTTTGTGAAAAGGCTTGGCAAGTTGCCAGAACAAGTGTTCGTCCACAACCCTTCATTGAACAGTACTGCTTTAGAGCACCATACATAGTCTCCTTGCTACGAGAAGGCTTATATATAACAGATAAGCAGATCATAATTGGGTCTGGGGGTATAACTTGGACACTCGGAGTAGCTATTCTGGAAGCAGGGAAGGCTCTGTCTTCGACATTGGGACTAAAGAGCTATGAGACTCTGAGCATGAAGATAAACCCAGTAGCCCTTATATCTGTTTTGTTCGTCTCACTGCTTCTGCTTCTCTGTGCACTATCACGCGTCAGCAACTGTTTGCCAAGATTCTTTAGGAAGTCCTGTCTCCCTCTTTTTAAGCACAATAGCGCCTCAGCTTCGTCTGTTCTCAACCTTCCTTCTCCCTTTAGGTTCCAGCGATGGAGTCATATGGGTACAGGTAAAATTCAATTTTTCATAATCTTGAGTTATGGTCAGTTCGTTGTATCATTTTTAGGTATGTGTTCCTAAAGCGTTCTTTATTCATGCAGGGGTAAAGGCACCGTTGAGTCCAACAGTGAGGAGCTCGCCGCGTAGGCCATTTAGTTTTGGAAGCAGCATACAGCTCATGGAGTCTGCTTCATTGTACTCATCGAGCAGCAGCGTTATGCATAGTTATTCTTCTGATAGCTTAGGGGAGATGCAGGTTGACAACGGTGGCGCCTTCTGGTCCTCCCGGAGTCAAATGCGTCTACAAAGCCGGAGATCACAATCCAGAGAAGATCTTAGTTCGTCGCTAGCTGAATCACACATGCTTAAGATGTAGAAGAAAGAACGTTTTTGGTACTGTTTTTTTTTTATCACTTCCACACTCTCTCTCGCTTTTTCTCCTTTTTGGTATCATAGAATCTAAAAGAAAAAAAAAGAAGAAAAACTTCACGAGAGCAAAGATATTCCTTGTTTCAGTTAACATGTAATTCATTCTATACCATATATGATTATTATTAATTTAACCCCAGTTCAACTATGTATCACTTTCGTTCTCTTTAACCTTTCTTGCATTTCTTCAAATTCTTCCTTGTATAGATCAGGTCCCAAGTTCACGGCCTGAGCAGCTAGAGAGAGAAGAACCTATTACTTGATTGCGTTTTGGACATACTGGTTTACGGTTCAGCCTAGACTCAATCCTTGCAAGTGGTCATCACAATCTGATATTCCATGTGTGTGCACTTCATTTCGTTGCGAGAGATTCGAGGCTACAAGTGTCTTTTTTCCTAAACCATGATAAATATCCAGTTTCAACAATGTCTTTATGTTTAGATTCCAGAGCTGTAAATCCTTTGGGGACCATTGTGTGTGGTTGGCAGTTGATTGTATAGAGCAATCATGGTACTATCACCTGAACAATGACTTATGGATCACATGTACAAATATATGGTTTAGATTTTTTTTGCATATTGGTATCATCAATTCATTAATTTGAATCCAGAGATTGATTTATTTTCAACCTATCCTTAACCTCTTCTAATGTTTATCCCAATGCAGGTCCGACTTTACATAGTTGGATAACTAAAGTGTAAAAGGAATTTCCATAAACTACTGCAGTATAAATCGTTTTACGCTTTCAACTTTTATAAAGTTTTATCGTTTGCCTAAAACCGATGATTTATGAGCTTTTAGCCCATGTCTTCTGTTTTCATTAGTTTTTGGTCAGTTTACATAGGCGCCTTTAACCATTGTTTATTCTTTAACAAGTCCAGATTACAGGTTTGGTGTTTTAAGGATCGTTTGACAAACGTGATTGATCAATTATGTGATAAAACGAGTCTTTCTCAATAGTTTTCATCGCTATAAATGTTGAATGTTGCTCTCGATCCCGACATTTTGGACAGGAACATTTTTGTTACATCAATTTCAGCCACTGGTTGCTATTGTGGCTTAATCCATACGCAAAATAATTGAAAAGCTTTGGTGTCAAACGAAAGGAAAGAAGTCTATCTTCAACGACACCCAACTAAATCAGTCACGAAAATTCGAGCAGAACGGGTTAATTTCAAGCTTTCATGATCTTAGGAAAAAAAAAACATTTTATTTTAGAAGACAAGTAAGTAAACAGACAAGGACGTTGGGACATATCCATATCTAATCCTCATTGCTCATTCATTTCTCATCTCTTCCTCAGAATAATAATGTCTCGTTGGTCCTATCACTCTTTCAACCAAATTAATTAGTAATATTCATTATCCTGTAACAGATATTTCCAACAGATAGCTGTTTTTTTTCTTTGAGAAAGAGCTTTTAATTAAAAGACTATATTGAACATTCAACAAAATAATACAGACTGTATTATACAGTAAATTAAATGTTATTTTTATAAATGTAATTATGTGAAATTAGGTATTCATGAAAATTCCTTTACAAATTTACTAGCTAAGTGGAATAATAAAGTTTTTGATTCCATATATTCTTGTGGGACAGATGAAATTTTTTATGACTTACGTTACAAATTATTCATGATGAAAAAGTGTGAAATGAATGGAATGAAATCATTCAAATATAATTATATATATATATATATATATATCTTCTTCTTTTTGTCTTTACCACTATTTCATTCCTTTTGTTCTATTTATTTCAATTCCTTTTATTAAATATATTCTTACAAGAATTAAAAGTTACAGCTATAAAAAGTATTGTTTAGAAATTGATGGAATAAAAATTAGAAAAATGGAATGGTTTTCATTCCACTAATTCTTCATCATTTTTTTGTGGAATGGCTTTCTTTATTTATCTGTGCAATTAATAGAATACTTATTTTATCCCATTCAAAGTAAATAGTATAGAAACTATGGAATGGATGGAATAAATCATTCTACATTATTTTATTCTATATATTGCTAATCCAGTTGCAGCCATAAAATGGATATTGAACATTTATATTTCAATACACTCACCCTTGTTTTTTTCCTGATGGACTTTACTGCCCAAGTGTTGTTTTGAAAAGAATTTTAGTTGGTCATCCTCCCATCTACTGCTCGCTACGCCAAGAACAATTATGCGAAGTTTACAGTTTTTATAGTTCTAGGATAGTAGTACTTTGTGATATTGTGGTTTCGCCAATGTTTAACTAGGTTAAAAACCCATTTTTTTAGAGTTGATGGGTGCTTATATATACGTGGGAGAAATGTCAAAAGATGATTCTTCAGAAGGAGTAATGTTAGAAGAGGGTTTTTCAGATGCTTCTAAAGCTTGAGGAAAAAAAATAACTAACCACAATGAGTATTAACCACGTAGATGTGGTCGGGTGCTACGGCGGGTTCGGAAAGCTGCTCTCCGAATTCAAAATCTACAACTTGTTTATATATTTGATCAGATGACATGAGTATTTAATTCTTATGTAGAGCAACTAGATTTGGCTGTCGTTGGTGGATCAGCCTCTATAGGAATAATCGGCTGACTCGAGTTATAAGAAAAAAATGAGTTTTTGAAACCAACAAATTAAATATATAACAGTATTCCCTAGAAAGTAAACAAATCAACGTAAACTTTAAAATATAAATACACCAAAACCAGACCAGAGACCTAAATACTCGCCACCCCAAAAAAATATTTAAACAACATTTTTGGTTAAACTCACAACCTTTTTTGGTTAAACTCAGCCCTAGACTCAAACCGTGTGATCATTCTCCTCCCTTGTTCTTATTATCACAATGTGTTATACATGCATGTGCACTCCATCTCATTGCGAAATTCGAGGATAACTGTATCTTTTTCCTTGACCATGAAAATATCCAATTTCAACAACGCCCTTAAGCTAGATGGTAGAGTTTCAAAATCTTTTGGGGACCATTGTGTGTGGTTGGCATTTAGAGATAAATGGAGCAATCATGGTAACTATCACCTGAACAATTACTTATTTTACTACGAATCACATTTACAAATATATGGTTTAGCTTTTTCGCATATTGGTATCATCAATTTCTTAGTGTGAATCTATAGACTATAGATTGATTTATATTCAACATATCCTTAACCTCTCTTGATATTTAACTTATGGTTGGGCTAAAAAGAATTTGATTACCAAATAAAAATGTTTATCCCAGTGAATATGTTTTCATTAGTCTTGATCAAGTTTACAGAGCCAACATCAACTATTTTTGTTCCTAATTAGTCCAGTAGCTACAAATTTACAGACCTTTTTTTGTTAATTACCGACTAGATTAAATCAAGCTATGGTCAGTAAAGAAGTTACTCCGAAATGCAAGGAGAAAAAACCTTTGTTCGATTCTCTTTGACATGCAAGTCAGTATGTTGTAGGAATATGAACTATGTTAAAAATTCGAAAACAACTTATAGAAGACTGTAGGAATTTAGTTTAAAGAGAAAATCTATCAATTTGCCGGATTTTCAATCATTTATACCAAATCTAAGGAATCCAACTCATTACAGAAAAAAAAAATTCGGGTTTTCTACAGGTTGTTATATATGTATGCTGTGCCGTGCCTATATTGTAAGAAATGAAACTTTGGCTTAGGGCAGCAAATTTTAAGAAAATTACTAAGGCATATTTTATTAGTTTTCTTAGATCAAAACATCTTTCATTATTTATTTTTCTGATTAAGTCAACTTTATTAATTTTATTATTCTAATCTTACATAATAGATAACAGAAGATATATCTGTATATATATAGTTTATGTTAAAAGTTCTATAGTAATTTGGATAAGCTCAATGGTTACTAGATGGAGAGACCAGGGAAAATTGATTGTTATGGTAGTTATAATTAGTGGTCTTATGACTATCTAATGATATTTTAGTATTTTAGTAGTATCATAAGCAGATAAAATAAGTTATAAATAATTACTAATACATAAAGATAAGATAAATGAAAAGATTAAGTAATATTGGTTATTTTTGCATGAAAGATGGGTTTAGACATTAAATTGAAATTTTGTTATAAATTTGTAAGACAAAAATATATATTTAGAACTAGATGAAAATTTTATTTTCTTGATGTTTTTAATTTTTTTTGCTATATAGCAATATAATTTACTATCGTAACTTAAAAGGTTGAGATATTTTAGTTTATTCTCTTCTGTTAGCCATAACTCATAAGTGTTGGCACGGCTCTGTTTGTATGGTTTGTAAGAATCGATTGCCATTAATGGTTGAGCAAATTATGTGACAAAACGAGTCTGTCACAATAGTTTTCACCGCCATAAATGTCAAATATGTTTTTTTTGTTGAAGTTGTTCACTCATCACGTGAAACTTGATTCCAGATTTGGACAGCAAAATCAATGTCAGCCATTGGTTGCTACTGTGGCTTAATCCACAAGTAAATAATTGAAAACCTTTGGTGTGAAACGAAATGAGCAAATGTAATATCAGCGTCACTCTCGTTCGTTTATTGCCTTTGATTCGACAACACACAACAAAAATCGATCACAATAATTAAGGAGAAGGGTGTCTATTTCAAGTTTTTCATATTCGTAGATTAAAAGACAAAGAATACACAGTTTTAAAAAAGAAAAGGATGTTGGACCATATCCATATCCAAACCTCAATGTTGTTCATGTCTTGTTCAAAATAATGTCTCGTTGGTCCTACCACTCACTCAACCAGAATCTTTTCGACGTTCCTAATTGTTAACGCAAATTATTTAATGTTCATTATCCGGTAACTAACATTTCCACAGATAGATTTGCGAACTTTATTTTATCACAAAGAATTTGTATTATCTTATATTTACGAGAAACCAGTGGTTCATGTACATTGTCATGAGCATATAATTTTCTTATATACCTATTATTATAATAAAATATTTAATATTTGTATGCTCTTAAAATAACATTTATGTTAGACTTTAGAAGAAATTAATTACACTTGTCGGAATTTGGAACATAGAACTGAATAAGCTTTGTAAGAAGCATAATACCTTTTTTTTTATTAACTAGCTTTGATATTTTTATATACATTGACCACCACCAAACTATGTATATGTATACTATAATGTTTAAAGTGCAACATACAACACAATACTATATGTTTTGTTTCCATAACAAGGAACGTGATTAAGAACTTAATCCTTAATTTGTTTTACTTACTTTACACTCTATAGTTAAAGCTTACTTAGGTCACTCTCCTTCACAAACAAACCATGGAACCCATACGGAACCCTCCGCGGCAACCTCACGGCGGCCACAATCTCAAGCTCCGGCGACTTCGCGTCCATCACAATAAACCTCGACTCTCCCGCCACCTCATCATGCACATACGTCACCACGTAACCGTCATCCTCCTCCGCCTCCGGATCACCAGGATCCCTAGCGACGAAAAACGGCTCCCCACCGTAACAACCTTCACCGTACATCCTACGCGCCACCGTGCAATCGTCCCTATCTCCCTTACTCACGTCGAGCTTCACCACCCCGGAGATCTTCGGCATCGGATCCCCGATCGCCGCGTAAACGAACCGGCTCCGCCTCCCGACGAACGCCGGATTGATCACCGCGAAATCGAGGTTCCTGGCCGAGATCGGGTGACGTGTCACGATCCCGGTGACGAGATCGATCTTAACCTTCTCCACCAAGGCGTGGACGAGCTCCATCCTCTCGAGCGTGTGCTCGATGGACATAATGTTGGGAGCGATCAAAACGACGGCGTTTCCGTCGTCTTCGTCCCAAGCATTAACGGCGTGGATGATGTTGAATCCGGGGACCTCGAACCACTTCATCTCAGACTCGTCTCCCGCGTAACGCGGGATCACTCCTAAACGCGGCGTTTTGCCGTTATCCGCACCGACGGGTGAACCTCCCCCGAGCATCGAGTCCATCCTCATCTTAATCTGAATCTCAGAGAAGATCGCGTGACGTTTAGTGATCGCGAAGTCGTGGAGGAAGGAAGGTGACGTCATGGAGAAAACCGGGACGTCTTTTTGTTTCCTCCCGGTTGAATCGAACCGGAAAAACGTTAAAAACGGTGGAACCGGACCGTACCGGAAAGCGAACGTCTCTCCGGTTTCGGGATCGGTTTTGGGATGAGCTGTCATGCTCATAACTAACTTCCCGTCGAAATCGTGCCGTCCGATCGTGACGATATCTCCACTCTCGGTTAATCGTACGGCGTAGGGTAAGTCAGATTCTCCCAACGCGAAGAGACGGTTACAGAAGAAAGCGAGACTCGTGTTGGCCAAACCAATGCCGTTGATTGGATTAAACTGTCCAGCTAAAACCCTAAACGCGGTTAAAGCGCCACGTGCCATCGAAGCCGGTACGCCGTTAAAACCGGAGAAGACGTTAGGGATAACCGGGGTACCGGTTTGTTTCTCCACGTTGTATTTGTAAGTCTTGACGTATCTGCTGCAGAGCGTGGCTTTACCGTCACGGATACGTATCGCGTGGAGCATGCCGTCACCGTCGAATAGGTGGTAGGGACCACGTGGGAGGAACTGTGGGTTGGGGCCGTTACGGATGTAAGCGCCGTTTAGAGACGGTGGGAGAGAGCCGTGGATGATCTCGCAGTCTGTGGGAGGGAGCTCGTCTAGGACAGGAGCGAAGTTGTCTGAGAGGACGTGTTTTGGATCCACGGAGGGACGTGTCGGTGGGTCGATGAACGTGTTGATGACTTCTTCGAAGGTGGAGAAGAGAGTTGTTGCGAGAGAGGTTTGTGGTCGGTGTTTGGGAGGAGATGAAATTGCGGTGTGGTTGTTGGTTCGAGTGTGGAGTTTCTTAGGTTTGGTCGGAGGAATGTCATTGTTTTGGGTAGGGTTAGTGATGGGAGATCGTTCTTCGATGACGGCGGAGTTGATACGGAGGAGACGGCGGGAGGAAGATGGGCGGCGAGGGAGAAGAGAGGATGTGGAGATGAAGGGAGAGGAAGCAACAGAGTCCATTACTCTGCTTTGTGTTTTTACTTTTGTTTACCTACACGTTGAAGCCTGTGAAGGTGGATGAGTGTGAGTGTGGGGATATATAATAATAATAATTATGAAATGGAAAAAAAAAATCGATAATTATCTTTTCTGAATATTAGATTTATTTTATATTTTATGTGAAGCTAGTATTATCCTTTGGTTTGTTGGTAGTTATGTGAAGTTCCAATCTACAGATAGTTATTTGTATCCTTCGTGATATTATTCTTAATATTTTCGAATAAATATCCTGGTTTTTCTTTTTTTTTGAAATTCGTGTATTTGTAAGTTTTTAAAAATACAAACTAGGCTAAATATAATAGTAATGTAGTCATAGATTCATAATACTAGTATTTTGCTATCTTTTGTTTTTGGAAGCCTACACATTTAAATAGTTCGTTTTTCGAAATATTAGTTCAGATATTATTTCTTGTCAAATACTTTTAGTTTAATTTTTGTGTGGAAATAAGAGTTTAGGAACGTTGTTACTGGACATTCTCTTACAATGATTTGAATTATCCACAGTACAAGAAAATTAGAATCTTAATCTCAACTCCATAATGTCCAGCGAACTAGCACATGTTGAATAAGTATGCCTAATTAAGAGCTGATATTGGTCGTAATTGGAGTACCTACAAATGTGGAAACTATAATAACATGGATATAAAGAAAATATTTATACCACCAAAGATTGTGATTGTGAGTGTGTACAGTGTACTGTGTAGGATATACATAAACTACTCACAGCAAACTATAGTGTCACTTTGTATATAACTTGTATAACATAGATTCGGTCACTTTGGTGGGGATATAAATAAGGAATTGATGGTTTAGAGAGCATAATCATCAAAGTTCGAAGAGAGAATGACAGGTAATGGTACAAGTGTTGCATACATGGAGGTTAAATATTGCCACTCTTTGGTTTCTTTGCATGTAAGACCATTGATGCAATGCACTACGTTCTAGATACGTGTTCATTTCGCAAACTAATAATGTACCAAGTTATTTTTAAAACGCAGATTGTGTGTGATACACTTCTATGACTCGGTTGAGTGTACATCTATATAATAACCCCTTTTTCCATCAAAAATGTAGATTGTGTGTCAAATATATATTTTTTGTTTGCTTGAAGGAAAAATAAGGAATAATTGTTTTGTTAATATGGGTCCCAATAATAAAGTTTCTTTCCTCTTTTTGGGTAAACTTTGGAGGTATATACTCTTAACTCTCAAGAAACGCATGAATTTCTCATTCATCCAATGTTGTGACTGATCACTTTCTAAATACGCTTTAGTTTGCAGGTGTATTCTCATGGGATTTTTTTGCATGTTGGGTGGAGATGACAATGTTTATAACACACCAAAGTAGGATCGCCAAAGCTACTAAAACACTTAATCAAGCTTTATAATTAAGGAAAGGATGTAATAACACATGTATTCGATCAATAATGGTCGGGCTTTTCACAATTGAATAGTAAGAACAAAAGCAGATAAAATGGATAAGACCATGTTTTTTTCTTTTTAAACTACATGGGTTGTAACCCACCCTAAACTGACTAAATATCATCAATTTTGTTCTCATCTAAAATCGAACCAAAAACACGATTTTGCGCCATCTCCTAAGTTAGTCCTCACCACTATACAACCACTACTTATTTCTTGTGACTCTGAATGTATCCATGTTATGTAAAAATATCCATTACAATTCGCATGTTTACTTGTTTGTTTCATAATAAGCTCAAGGCCATGTTTTCTCCCATGGGGGAAATCAATTATTACTCTGATCAGAAGAAAGTAAAGAAAGTTACATGTCTCCCACAATATGGGTTTTCCAAACACAACAGAGAAAGAAAGAAGAGAGAACGAGTATTTACAAGTGGAGTATAGAGAGAGAGAGACAGAGTTTTCAACGAACGGCCAAGCGATCAGAGCCAAAGGGAGACTTCAATGAAGAGAGTAGATGAAGTTTCTCAACAAAAAGCGTCAACACTTTTGCTTCTTCTTCGTCAAATGCAAAGGCTATACATATGCTCAGCTCTTGAATCGCCTCTCTACTTTGCCTGCTCAAACATTTATATTCCATCAAACTAAACCGACCAATACCAAGTTTAAAGACCGTGACATGCAACTAATCTATTGACTTAGAAGCTGTTTCTGTTTTGTTATTTACCTGACGTAGTAGTGCATCATACCAAGGTCTCTTCGAAGTCGCCAGTTAAGAGGTTCCAAAATCAACAGCCTTTCAGCAGCCGCAATAGCCAACCTTCCGTCACCATAAAACCAAATGTTAGATGAATCAGTCAAAGGATCTTCCCTTCTTAAACTGCATATAACCAAAACCTATAGGAGAAAGGTTTTTAGTACCTAAGATCTTGAGGACGCAACAATGGAAAATTAGAAACACTGCTGTTGTTAAGTTGACTAAGAGGAGAAGTCAGCATTAGTCCAGGTGATGGCTTCGAAGCACGTCTCCAGTGAACCCTCTGAGAAAACGAGCCAAAAGACAATAGAATAGGTGTCAATATGAAATCTTTTGACAATTAAGAGTGTGTAGTTTAGTTTATAGGTGATAGGACTTACAATCAAATTGGCGAGAGCAATCCCTATAATGTCTCTGTTTGTAGCAACATCAAGGTCTAGAAGTGACTTTCCGGTTAAATCTGAAGCCATTGAACCAGGATCATCAACGCACCTTCCATTGATAATAGCAAACAAGCTCTGTCCTGAAGTCTCTTTAAAGAGTTCTTCAGGATTCTCAGTCTTAGGCCAAATCAAAAACTCTTCCCCTACTCGAGCTCCCACAATAGGCAAACCGAGACGCTGACAAACTTCAATGTATATTACGCTAAACAAGAATGCTGCACATGGAAAGAATAACCAAACTCCATTTAAGATTCGGGTCTATAAGTCAAGAAAGCATAAAGGAGAAAGTGTTTTGTTTACCAGTGCCGCATCTAGAGTTAAGTACAGAGTGAAGGTAGGAGTACTTTGGGTCTAAAGTCAAGGATTTTGATGTCCTCTCGAAGCCTCTCGTATCGAAGAGAACTGTATTAACTGCTTCAAGAATTTGAACCGAGTGGCAGCCGATGTCTCGTGAGACTAGTTCTGCCTCTACTTCTTTGGAGATTGCATCTAGTTCACTCAGCCATTCGGATATACTTTTCCCATCTAATTGCAATAGTTGCTCCTCAGAGTCTGTCTTACTCGGATAAGATTGATTTGGGACAGTGTCCAGCTCCTCAGAGTCAGATTGATCTTTGATATTTTCCTTCTCTCTGACGAAAGACATAGCATCCATCTCTCGGTTAAAAGCCAAGAAGGCTTCATCTTCAGCAGCGATGTACAAGAGAACCTGTGAGTCCATTCCCATAACCAAATGAGTACAAAAAAAGCTTCTCAAGGGTATATGACATAAATAAAAACTTTCACCAAAAGTGTTTGCTTTATCAAAAGCATGAGACTTAGGGTCAGTCAACAAAGCCACACCCAAACTCAAGTCATGTTCAATAATGGTCTCAAGCAAGGAGATGATTCAAGAGACAGGGATTATACCTTAAGAATAGTAAGTTCTTATATACCTTTGCAATCGAAATATCAGAGTCTTTCGATTGTGTAGAGATCTCTCTAGAAAAGATCTTGCGAAAGGGTTTAATGACCTGTAGAATAAAGTAAACCAAGAAACAGCAACATGAGCAAAACCTTATGAAAAGCGAGAAAAAAAACCCATCTTAGTCTCAACTCTTATGGTCTGATTCATTATGGTTTCTTTGGCAAAGTAAACCTCTTTGTAAGTTTTGGGTCTTGTTGAGTCTTTATTAAGAGGAAAAGCAGAAGCTGAGGCAGTTGTAATTAGGCTCCTCGATGGAACCATCTTCTTTTGAATCCCAGAAGAACAAAAAGGACGACGTTGATCATGATCATACCTGATGATGATTAAACAACAATAAACCCATGTATCCTCTACCAGAAAGCCTCAATCTTTCAATCTTATATAAGTAGATAGATCACCTGAGAGTAATAGAATGACCAACAAATCTGGAAAGTGGTGAAGAAGGCATAGTCATAGCAGCAGCTGATGATGCATGACCAAACAAAGATGACGCACACAACATTCTCTTTTCTCTTTATTGTTTAGGAATAAATTCGTATAAAGATTCGAAATTGAGATTGAAGATGATTATTATTATAAGCATCGAAGAGAGATATAAGAAGAATATGAAGAAGGTTTGGGAATATTAGAAATGAAATTGATGGCGTCTGGATAGTCACTTCCAGCTACAGAGTAATCAGAGAATCTAGAAGCAGACAAGCAATTACACATGTACAATCGAGATTTACCGACTTCCATAGCAATCAAATTGAGAAAGAAAGTAAAACAACAATGGAAGAAGAAGAGAAAAAGGAGGATCCTTTTAGATGAAGAAGAGAGTTCTGGAGATGAGAACAGAGGAAGAGGAAGGTTGGAGCATTGTGGGATTCTTAGATGTGGGATTCTTAGGTGTGGGATTTTAAGAGAAGAAGAAGAGAGCTTTGATCTCTGAGTTTTATAGTCTCTTTCTCCTTCTTCTGTTTGGTTGGATTTGATGATGGTGTGGATTTGGTAAGAGAGACAGAAAGAGAGAGGGGTTTTAAAAGGGGTGAGAGACTTTGTTTGCAGAGTTAAATAATAATATATACTATATCTTTAAAAAAAATACTACTGTATATCTTTGTTCAAAAAAATACTACTGTATATCTTTAAACAAATTGACTTTTTACAATTTAATGACTAGACTGTCATTTTATCTCTCTCTTCCTATATTCTTAGACGTGTCAGCATCCTTGATTTATAAAACAGTTTTTTTTTTAACTCTCTCTTTCTCTCATCTCTTCTTTTAATATTTCTCTTTCCCTCATATGTTTTCTAATATTTTTCATTTGTATATTTTGTAGTGTTATTCAGCTTAAACAAAATATTATATCTATGTTTATTATGTGTTAAAGTTGCAGCTAAAATCTTTATTAGCACATTACAAATAACATTGAGTTTGATATCAAATAAGTATCTTAACATATAGTTTATAGAGTTACCATTTGTGACATGTTAGCCAATTTTTGTATCTTGTGTTAGATGTTAACAAATACATGTATCAGATGTATTAACAGCGACATTAACGGTTAACAAATTGTAGATGTTAACAAATGTGTTAGCTGTTAACAAATATGTTTACCAGATATAATAATAGAGGCAGTAATTGTTAACAAATTTTGCAGATGTTAACAGATATGTTAGCTGTTAAAAAAACATGTACTGTAAGTGTTAACAGATGTGTTAGTTGTTAACAAATTTGTAGATGTCAATACATACGTTAGGTATTATGTTAACAAATTTATATTGTTAAAGTTTCAATTTTTCTATCGAACTGAGTGAATTTAAAAAAAAAAATAAAGTGTTTTTCATATAAAATTGTAGAATGAAGAATATTGTAGAAAAAATAAACTATAAAAAGTAAAAAGAGTCTGTAATCGTTGAGAAAAAATTGAGAAGAAAAAAGAACATAAAATAGAGGAAAATGAATGTTAATGAATAAAAAAATGAGTGAGAGAGAATGTTAGAGAAATAAAGAAAATTGGTGAGAAGAGAAAGAAAAGTACAATCCTCTCAAGATTATTTTCGGGAGAACAAGCTCTAATTGTAACTTTTTGACTGATAATGTCAATCAATGGACAAAACTCTAATTATAACTCTAAATATGGGTATTACACTAAATTTCTCAAATAGAAATGGCCTTTTTGTTTTCCTTTTACTATATCTTTTAAAAATTTGTTTATAAAATCCAATTATATTCCAAAACTTTATAAACTGTTATTTTTCCTGATATGTTTTCGTTTTATAAAAATAAGTTAATCAATTGAATAAATAAAAAATGAAAAATTATTATAACTAGATTTAAAATAACTTTTCAATTTTCTTTAATACATAGAGAGGGAGAAAAAAAACTAAAAGGATTTTCAATAATAGACTATTCATAAATTTATCGATTAAAATGTAGTTTTCTCATAGGTTTTATTATTATTTATAAAGTAATATGGTATTTTATGGTTATTACGTTACTTAAAAACATTGTTTGCGTACATAAGAAATACAATTTAACATTAGGTTGTTTGTGTCTAAGCTATAAAACAATTTTTTTTTTATAAAAAGACGAAAATATAGCAAAAGTAAAAGCAGAAAACACGAGAACCAGTATGGTATGCACACTACCGGTCCTGATATGGGAAAGACCAGAAGCAATTTTCAAAAAATTGGCCAGTTTTATAAGAACGTTTATATATTATAATAATAATCTTCTTATAAAAAATGCTGAATTTTTCAAATATTTTTTTAGGGCCGAAAGCGGTTACTTGTAATGCTTCCCTTCAGAGTCGGTACTGATCATGAAACAACCCTCTTTGTAAACATTCAAAGCCACTAAAATAGTACTGTACTATAATTTGTTTATATTACCATCCATGATATGATGGGTCTATCACAGTATCAATATTTTACTTTACTTTTTTTTCTAATCTAGTTGAATCCGGGAGAATCGCAAACCGAATTCTTTCTTTAGGACATTCAAATAAGTCTTAAAACATGAATCTATATTTATGTTAGGTAAACAGAATAATATAATTTAGTTTCGCATAATATGAAGATCATCTGAAATGCATTAGCGTCCTAAACCTGACCACAAAATCCGTTCAATCAACAATTTATTTGAAAAGAGATAATGTGGATAATTAGGTTGCATAGATAATATGTACATATTTAATTTTGTTAATCATTTTAATAACTATCAATTATGATTTATATTAGAATTAGATTTACATGTGCCAAAAGTTCGTATTCTCCATTTAAATATTTTATATCAATAAAAATATTTGTATGACTCCGAATTAAGCAGTTATATTTATCTTCTTACAATTATCCTAAAGGGTGAATTAGGTGAATACCATGAAAGAGAGAGATATTTAAGAATTGGGGGGAAAAAAGTGGTATGTAGGGAAGAGAGAGATAGAGATAAATAGGGTAGATTCCTAATATAGTGGTTTTGTGTGTATAGAGGGTGCAAATACTCTATCCTAAATCTAGATAAAAATGAACCAACTCAATGGCTAATTTGCATTAAGGTATGTATTATTTTTCTTAATATGTTTTGATTGTTTAGGTGATAAAACTTTCCAAATTTTACTCTTTTTACAGCAATATCTAAAAATTTGTTTACTGTCCTTCTTTACAAAAGTTAAATAAAATTTGTAAGAAATATCTGAAAATTATGATAAGAACACACAATTAAATTTTTTGGAAATTTGTTTGGTTTGCGTTACTCGTTTTCCTACTTACACTTTAACAGTAAAGGTTGTTTTCGTGTGATGCCAAATTATAAGAAGATTACAAAATGTACAAATGGCCATTTTAGCTCAATATTCAGTCAAAATTTTTAGCTCAATATAACGAAAATAAAAGCGATAGTCACGAGAACACGGATGATATGCATGCAACAAAACATCCAAAAACTTCACTAATAAGTGTAACCCTAATTTATTTATAGGAGACTGCTAACTTTACCACAAACCTATATCATACCACTTTTCAAATTACTTTTATAAAAAGATCATCATTTTTATAAATATCGTAAATTTATGATAAAACATAACTAAACTAACCTTTTAAAATTATTTATAAATGTTAAATAATCATTCAATAAAAGTTAATAAACTCATTTCACCTCTTAAATACTGAATCCTAAATAATAATCACTAAAATTTAAATGCTAAAAAAACTTATTGAAAATATTTTTTAAAAATTATAGCCAATTTAAGGTATTTCAGTCAATTTCTCTTTATTTATTTAATTACTGTAATATGTCTATGACACTATATAAATGATTTATTTGGTCAAAACATATCAACATAGATGAAAATAAACATGTAAAAACATTGACCTTTTTGTAAGTTGAATTGTCTAACTCCGAAAACCTGACTAATTCCAAAGATCATAAGATAAACCATGTAAAACATTTCCCTATTTTAATATGTGTACAATTTATCTAAATGGATTCGAATTCAGAATATTAAACAATTTTACAAATCTGCCGTACCACTTGACTATGTCGAAAAACATTGCCTAGTGGAAGGAAGATAAATACTTCCTAGTGTTTGATGAAAATTTCAGATGTCCAAAAATATAAAAATAAACCAACTAAATTGGTTAATTCGTGTTAAGATGATCTCGAATATTAATTTATATATTTATAATATGTGTGTGTAAATTGTTTTACAAGAAAATTAGTGAAGTAAAATGCATATGGAAAATCACATTTACATACCAAGCATGGTTTAACGTAAACTGTATATTAAAAATGTATTAGCCATACAAATGGCTATATTTTTCTGGCACTACACGTCACTTAAGTTTGTCCTTTTGGAATCAATTATTCAAAATATCTTATGTTAGGTCCGGTATATTTCTTAGATTCCTCAAAGTTGAAAAACCTACATAATAATTATTTTCACCTTTCCAGCCAAACCTACAAGATAATTAGTGTACTTAATATATATGGACTAAGCATAAGATAATATTAATTATGTCGATAACTTTTAGGTAGGTCTGAATCGATACAATGGTTTTGGAAGTGTTTCTACTTTTATAAAGAATTTAACCCTCAGAACATTAGCATATATTCCCGCAGATCCCATATATTAAGAAAACCCAATAATGTTGCCGCTTCTCTGTATTTTAAGAGTTCTATATTTTGCAAGTGGTTTACTTTAATAGGGTCGACGAAAACAATGTTAAACTACCTGAAATTAGGGTTTATCATAAAACAGTACTCCCTCCGTTTCTAAATAAGTATTATTTTAGGTTTGTACACACAAATTAAAAAAATAAATAATTTTATATATTTTATATATAAAAACATAATTATCCATACATCTAACCATATTTTTTTTTCATCTAACCATATTTCAACCAATAGAAAAATACACTATAAAATAAAATTAATAAATTTTGCTTTGAAAATCGAAAAAAACATTTATTTTGTAACGTAAAAAATTCTCAACAATGACACTTATTATCAAACAGAATGAAGAATAGGTTTGCTTCTTTGTTTCCTCAAGTTTTTTTTTTCTTTCTTTACATTTTTCTTGAGTTTTAATGCAAGTCGTGAGTGGATTAGATCCTCATCCACAACAGTTGGCAGGTAGCCACATCATTGACATATATGATTGCATTACGTTTACATATATACGTACGTATGTAATTGTGTCAAGTATATTTAATAGATATAATATCATAATTTAACGTAACACAAACGAATAATCCACATATAGTTCATTAGTCATATCTAATGTTGCGTTGTTTTGAATCATTTGATTTTCAACCCAAGCCATACTATCGTAAAGCGACATTGACTTGCGTTTTTACAATGGTATATAACCATAGATGTACTGACGTTTGGTATCATCAAAGTATCAACTTGAAATGAGTGCTTATTCAAACTGTACCCCACATGACGATTGCTGATTGACAATAATACTTAATGATTGTATATTTTTGAAGTACAGTATATTTTTTGTCAGAAATGTTTATTTATTAATATACAATCACATATATCGTGGAAACATAGGGCTCAGTATCTGAATGGAAATGAATACAATATCCCAAACTCCATTATCCATATCATTTTTCTAGTATATGGTTTTTATTTCATTTTTGTTTGGAAAAAAATTCAACTATTTTAAACGGCCCAATTAGAAGGATGACACGTATGTATGACGGTGATAAATTGACTGCTTCTGATTTTGATATTTATAACAAAAATGGGTATAGATGTGAAATAACAAACTTTTTAAAAGACTCACTGTTGACATTCGTTACATTTACGAATTTGTTTCTTGCTATAGAACTTATGTCACGTAACCAATTATTTCTATCATACATTATCTTACACTTTTTTTCTTGGTAAAGATTCTCAGATATATGATATATCTATCAACTGTGGGACAAAAATAATTAAATAAAAGAAACGTCGATCAAGCAAAATAACTATATAGCTAAAAGGGTATATACGCGTTTTGACGTGGGAATCGTTTAGGAATTTATAAGTTGATTGGATAGAAAATGCTGGAAGGTTTTCCTTTACAATATCATGGATCACTCGTATGATATCACCATACTACGCAGCTCGCATAACTTTAATTATATGCAACTTGTTGTATAATATTGTATAACTTGGAACAACTAAATATTTTGTGTGTTTTATAAAGGATCTGGATTTTGGAAATGCTGTAAAAGCAAATGGGTTGAGGAACCTTCCAATGCAAATTGGACCTATGTTGGTCCCTTTTTTCTGGCGATCATATCCCTTTATCTTGTACGGTCTACCTAATCTTTTTGTCCATTAATATATTGTATTTTTTTCTCTCCAAATCAATTATTTTTTTGTAATTTAATTTTTATATATTTTTTAAATAGAAATACCTCGAACTGGTAAATTATCTCTGTTTATAGACATCATTCTTGATATCTGATTGACCAAAACATTAACGGTTTCACACTTGAGTATGAGTCGTACGTTTCTTGATGTTGCACTCTTTTGTAGATTGTAAAGGCAAATTTATAAACCTTAATCATGATTGAAATTGAGTTGTATATCATTTTTCCTCATTTAATTGTATTTGTGTTGCTGAGTATGTGGATATATTAGGCTATATATATTTGTCTGTTAAAACTATTTGTATTTATGTAAGTTATAGATTGTGTATAAATGAGTAAGTTAGCATATGAATGTTTTCACAATTTCTTGAAAAATATACGAGATGATATACCGGCACAAAAAAATTAAACTTTGTTTCCTTTTTAGCACTTTCCGTTTATTCTCGTATGAATTACGGTGATTTTTTTTTTTGTCACCGTATGACTTTTGATTACTAGGACTCGTAAGAAAGGGAATAATACACGCTATTTAATTTGCATCAATGAAATTGCTTAATGTTTAGAAAATCATCTACCGGATTATTGGAACCGAATAAACTTAACCGGGAATGGTACACTTGAGAATGAGACAACTCGTCTAAAATGGGCTTAATATGGGCCAACCTCAAAACCAACGGTATTAAACCCGGCCCGTTTAGATATCACCCGAATCGCAATACTCTCTCACTGGTACGAATCGAAGAGCTGAAGAGAGAAAAACGGAGAAGACGCAATGTCAGGCGGAAGCGGCGGCGGAACATCAGGACCCTCGGCGGATATCCACTCCGCGGCGAGATCCGGTGATCTCGCAGCAGTTCAATTAATCATCAGCACTAATCCTCTAGCCGTCAATTCTAGGGATAAACATTCTCGAACTCCGTATCCTTTCTTCTCGCAGAATCGCTCCTCTTCGATTTGATTCTGATTGATCATCAAATTTGAAGCTCTCCGAGCTGTTTTTAGCCGCTCTATACTCTTGTGATTGCTGATTGTTCTTAGCTATGGCCTTAGTTAGGGCTCATCTCGAGAGTCTTACTTGTTGAAACATTGGCTTCACTGTATATAGCTTGTTTTGAATCTCGAGGCTTGCTTTGGTTGTTAAGAATTAAGAATGGCTAATTTGTAAGCAATTTTGTTCGTAGATTATAGCTCAGAGATGGGATATATAGCCTTAGTTAGGGGCTCATCTCGAGCTTCTTGGTTGTGCCATAGGTCACTGCACTTGTACTCTGTTTACATGTTGTATGTAGCCTTCATTTGTTTGATTGGTTGTTTAGGGAATGGTTAAATTTTTAATCATTTGTGTTCGTAGATTATATAGCTAAGAGCAAGTATATATTCGTTCTACTGTATATGTTAAAGACATGAGAATAGCCAAGTTTTTAAGCATTTTTTTCATGTTTCTTTGCTACGGCCTTTTAGTAAGGGCTCATCTCTAGATTCTTCTTGGTTGTGATATAAGCCACTGCATTGTAATCTTTTTACACGTTGTATATAGCCTTACGTTTCTTTTTTGGTTGTTGAGAGAATGGTTAAGTTCATAGATTGTAGTTCAGAGTAGATTCGTTCTACTTTTTCATGTTAATTTGTCCTTAACAATGGTGATCTCGTGGAGGAATAGATTGCACTTGGCAGCGTGGGCAGGTCACAACGAGATAGTGAGCTACTTATGCAAGAACAAAGCAGATGCTGGTGCTGCAGCAGTGGACGATATGGGTGCAATCCATTTTGCTTCTCAAAAGGGACACGTGGAAGTTGTGAGGACTCTAATATCCGTTGGGGTTTCAGTGAAGTCCATCACACGCAAGGGACTTACACCTCTTCACTACGCTGCTCAAGGTTCTCACTTGGACCTTGTTAAGTACTTGGTTAAGAAAGGATCTAATGTCAGAGCCACGACTAAGGCTGGGAAGAATCCGGCGGATGTTGCGGGTAACCCTGAAACGCAGAACTTTCTTGAAGAGTGTGAGGAGCAAGCGAGGAAAGATAAGTTGAAGAATAGTCAGAAGAAGATTGAGGAAGTGAAGCCAGAGAGTTGTGGTGTTGAAGGAGGTGACAAGGGTTTGAAAAGAAAGGAGTCTGAGGATCGGAATGAGGAGGAAGAGAAAGTAGAAGGTTCTTTGACAGCGAAGAAGCCGAAAGTTGTTCTTCGTCATCTGCAAGATGAGACTGATGACACAGAAGCTGATGAAGAAGAAGAAGAAACCAAGGAACCAAATAATGAAACTTCAAATAATCCATCTGAAGTGTCTACTTGATATGAGTTGTAACAACGTCCATCACATGATAAAACTTTAGTTCTGTGATCCGTATAAGTTTGTAGAACAACACTTCAGTTTCTTTTAGCTGTTTAATCAAAACAATCATCAGATTTCTAAAGCTGTTCTCTGCATTGATTTCTTGTTGCTGTAAATGATTCTAAGATTACATCACACAACTCATTACATGTGTTTCTTCCTTCTAAGCCTTTGGAAAAAGAATTTTCAAGTACTGTGTAGCCATCCATCCCAGAATGTAGAAGTAAACAATGACCAAACACGCACGCTTCACTTGTACCAAGAGATTCACCTTAGAAAACTGGCTCTTAACCGAACAACAAGCTCGAGGGAACCAAGATTTTGCATTGCTTAGGATCCGGACTATGAAGATTGTGATTATGGAAGTTGAGAAGCCAGATACAATGCCAGCGATCACATCATATCTCAAGTACTTTGGTCTTCCTTTTCCATTGAACCAGGACTGTAATAATTTAGAGACTCTGGAGAAAAAAATGGAGAGATGGTCAATTAACCATGCCAAGACAAGACATAATGAGAAACTAAACTGATCAAACAAAGGCCTAAACCATTGTGGTTATTACAGATTATTATGCCTTTATGATTCTCCTACAATGTGTATAGTGATGATGAAATGGATAAAAATGAAACTCCAGATGGGACTTACAAGACAGAATATTGTTTAAACATGTCGGTGAAAGAAAGATCATTTGCTTGGCAACCGAAAAAGCCGTCCTGATAAAGCTTGATTTTTAGAACTCCTAATGTATACCAGCAATCGTAAGTCTCATTCACCTGGAGATACACAAAGTAGTTTCATAATAAGCAAATGAACTTAATACATAGTTCTAAGAATCTTGATGTTTAAAAAGAACATTGCCTTGAAGTTATCTTTGGTAAGCAAAGCAGCACCAAAGTTAGGTCTGCACTCAGGAGGAAGCGCTTCGTTAGGTGCTTCTGAAAAGGCTAGCCTTGTTTGACCCATTAAGTAATCTGTATACTCTACCTGTGAATGTGAATAACGTTTTAGTCATAACCAAAATACAGTATGGCTGAGTGATATTCATCAAAAAGTAAACTATACGATCTATACGCCACCTTGAAGACAGAAGCCCAATAGTAATCATAGCGACATCTGAACTTATCTCTCTCAAAAGGGTGAAACACATGTTGTGCTTTGCTGTTCAAAAGTCCAATGCCACACACTTTCGAAGACCTAAGATCAACAGCTACATCAAACAAATCAATTAAGACCAACATAAGTTTCTCCATCAAGTGAAACCAAACCCCAAACCCCATTAACCTAGCCAATTACTTCAACCACTTAAAGGTCAAAGCTTTCAGTAATTCAGAGACTTACAGCTGGAAAGAATCTTGCAACGGGAAGCAAGAGAGGCGGAGGAAGAAGAAGAAACCCACAGCTCACCAAGTATAATCACTAATACTCCTAATAGAAACGACAAGATAAAGAAGCTGATGATCGAGAAAACTATCACTGTACAGAATCGCAAAGCCAACAAAGAGAAACCCCTCTTTTGCTTCTTCGTTTCTTCCGAATCCATTTTGACTTTCTTCTCCGGATGGTTTAATTCAGAATAAAGACACTAAAGATTCCATTTCTTTCACGGTGATCGGAAACATCGAACGTCGATTGCCGGAGATCAAATCTTAAAGAGTTCCCGTTACCAGATTTTTTTTTTTTTTGATTACCACTTTCTTTTCGCTTGTCGTTGTAACGATGTGAGTGTGTGTATGCAATTAAAACTCGAAATAAAGATATTTTTTTCGGACAGGGCATGTCAACTGTGTATGAGTTGAGATCAGAGATCTGCTAACTCAGCAATACACTTGCCACGTGTTCCACAAAAACTGGTCGTTTTTTTCTTCTATTTTGGGCCTAGTTATGGACCTAAATATAATAAAGGGCCTGATCATGGACCTAAGCATACAATAATCAGATAATTGCTGAAAGTGAAAAACCGAATTTCATTACACACAAACTATCCGGTTTGTTCCAATTCGAAAATAGTCAGATAATGGTAAATTTACAGAGGATATCAAATAATAAATTTAATTTAAAATTTCAGATAAGAGCTAAGATCCTCTGCAGCAAAGTAGAACTCTTTTGATCAAAAATGTGTTGAATTCATGCAGTGATATCTTTGTGCAACATACTACATTCTGGAGCATAAAAAAATAACTCATGTTATGCTATTGAACTTTATTAAATGAAAAATTTGTATGCATACAACAGAAAAGAGTTTAGATTCATTTTCATTGCTTCACTTGCCATTGTGATAGACGTCAAACGTAGACCAAAAAAAAAAGGTGTAGTTAGTCCGAACGCACAAATAAATTATCATTGAATTTATTTGACAGTTTTTCTTAGTGGCAACTTTTCATCTTTTTCATTGTTTTGAAATAACATAATTTTTAAATAAAACAATGGTGTAAAGAGACCTAAATCACACATGGGAAGATGATGGACCATTAACAAATTTCCACATGGGGGAAGGTGAGCTTCCATTATTTTCGAACTTAGACTTATTCAAAAAGTGTTTGGTTCGCAATTCACAATTCAATAACTTACGCTATATATGATCATTCGTCTGAGATCCGGCTATACGGTCTTTTATGATGATAATATTGAGTAATTAAACTATTTAAGCATCAACAAATTAGAGATTATCATCATCTGCCATAAAAGCAGTGTCGGATCTGAGATTGTAACCAGGAGCAACTAACAACAATTAACTGAACTAAGATCCATTAGTCAGTAAAATATTTTTTAAAACATATATTGACTTAAGAGAATGAAGATTCAAAGAATCTAACCGCTCACCATTTTCATGCACAGCTACATTAACCACTACACCAATATTTTTACACTAAGGTCAGACCCAAGCTTCGAATGTTTTCTTTTTCAAGGTCGGCTCTGCTTAAAAGGATCAACAAGTCATGACTGCTATATAATTTGGGATCGGAGTCTTATTAGTCGATAGATTCTTTTTTTTTTTTTTTGTCACAAAGTCGATAGATTCTTAAAAACTGGAAAACATGCCGAAATCCACTCTATCCAGCCACTTAATTTAAATATTCAGAGTGTTTGAAAACTTGACTCAACTTTTGTAATTATAATCATATATCTTAGACCAGAAGAATCATAATATCAATTATTAACCTTTGCAATTAGTCTTTGTGTTCGAGATTTAATTAGACTTACAGTAAAGTACAAGTAAAACCATAGTTATAGTGAAAAAACTTCTTAACTTGATCAAAACAATTTTGTTTCAGCTTAAGCTAAATATGTGTTTCACATGCATAATACAAAAGATCATAGTAACCATAATTCTTTTTAGTGAGTGCTAAATAGATCAGTACATATCTACCAGACGTCGTTGAAATAAAATAATCAACCGTAGAATATGGAATATTTATTATACACACTATATATAGTCCTTTAATGTCAGTCAAATAAATACACTATAGTCTTGGAGGAAGAGAGTGTGTACATAAACGCGGTTTAATAAATTAGTCAACACTTAATAATTCAGAGTTGCCGTGGATCTATCTATCTCAAGTGACAAACCCACCGACTAAAACTCGGCTCACCCCCAACCCCAACAGCTTCGATTAATTAATTAATCAATTTCGAATAAACAAACTCTTTCTCTGGAGTATTAAACCTTTCGTACATTAATTATTTTCGCCTGAAATCATGTACTACTAATCTTTACCCAAAATAATTATATTTCTACTAATGTTGTCCAACAAAACTTTAAAGGTGAAAAAGAAAATGTTACACTATACTTGTATACATGTTACGAGTTTGATTCGTCTGTCTTAAAATTATAATAATTTATATGATTTACAGTATTTTGAAATTAGAAGTATTCCACCTAAAAAAGTTTATATGGGTTCTATTCTATGCATGGAAATTGGGAAGGATTGATGGAATCGTAACCCTGACGCCGACGGTGAGTAGTTCTGTCGGTGGTGGGATCCATTTAATTTTTTATTTATTTAATTAAAATTTTAAATCATCGAAATTAGAATCTAAAAAGGCTATTGGTTGATATGACTTTAGTAACTATGAATACTCGTTTTCCAAAACACACCTAGAATTCCGGGAATGACGATCTGTTTGTGCTTTCCTAGACGAGAGGAGGATCTATCATTTTATAGAAATTCATATTTGTTTTTTTTTCTAACATTTTTATAGGCAACTGAATTCCAGTATTCCAAATTAATCGAGTTCTCATTCTCACTTTTTTTTTTAACATTCAAGATATTTAATTAGTGAAATAAATATCCACCGGAAAGTAATTTCGTAGAGAATAGGCCTCCCATCATAATTAACAAACAACATGTGACTATTATTTTGTTCTTTGTACTACTATATATCAACATTCAATAATTAAATAGAAACAAAGCAAACAAAAACCAACAGTGAAATTAATAGGAAGAAATAAAATAAAAAGAACGAAAAAGATAGAAAATGAAAGGATAGAGAGTAGAGACTGATGAGAGAGTTAACAAAAAAAAAGAGAAAAAATTAAAAAAAAAAACTCTGACAATATGCATAAGAAGAAGCTATATATGTAAACGTTGCTTCTCTGTAATCTCTCATCTCTCTCTCACATTTAGTCTTCAAAATCGAAAGAGACAGAGAGAATCAGAGAGAGAGAATCAGAGTCTCTCTCGGTCCATCCTCTCCTCAGGAAATCGAGGAGACCAATCGAATCGGATCAGAAAAAATCCTAAATCGAGCTCCAAATCCACAAATAGAAAGGGAATAACTCAAATCTAGGGTACAAACTTAACACCTTTCATCTCTCAATCAATCATTTCCTGTTTTTTTTTTCTTTTTTGTTTTCTTCATGGATCTCCACTGATATTCCACCGAACCAGATCTAAGTTTTTTTGGCTCTGTGATTCTTCATTCTTCCATACTCGTGTTCGCTGATGATTACATAGCTATTATATATATTTTAATTTCGTCTTAGACAAATCTATTCTTCGTTTCTTCAAATACTGTGAATAATAATCTTCGGCCAGATTTATAATTCAGCTTCAATACTGTGTGAGTAGTCTAAAATTCCAGAAGCATTATTAATTTCTTTGTTTTTACGATTGTTTATCTCTGAAAATGTTTAGTAAAATTAAAGATTAAAGACTTTCCGTGTCTGCCAAGTAATGGTTAAATACTAAACTAATACTAATCTCTTCCCTTTTGTGCTTTTTAGCTGTCTGTACGCCTTTTTTTATTTTATTCTTTTGTTTCTCTTGTGCAGATTTGTTTTCCAGACTTAAAATGCCAAAGTGTAACAGTTTTTTTAACTTTATCCTAATTTAGAATTCATTCCATGTGTCTGCATTTAAAAAATATGGTGAGAGCATGTTACGCCGGTCGAATTGTGTGTCACTTGGTCCCATACACCATGTGACAAACATTAAAGCACCAATCTTTACATGTCGGTTATGTTGTTATTGTTTTTGTTCCGCATAGAGTGACTGTCACCCATCATTTGTTTATTCAAGCAAAGAAAAAAAGTTCTCTTTCATAAATTGGCAGTGTGTTGATGCTGTTCTTGTCTAGTCCTGCCTCGATCTGATCTGTTGTTCGACCCTTTTAGATGATGTTCTTGTCTAGCCATTCCTTGATATAGTACTGCTGATACTAGTTCTTGTTTTTTACCCAGATAAAGGAAGCCATTTCTGAGAAAAAGTTTGCTGTAATATTTTGCAGGTTTTGTTAATTTTCTACAAGGATTCTATTTATATCTTTGAATTAGTTCAGAGACGATGAAGTATAAGGATGAGAAGTACGAGAAAGCTGAGAAAGGTTCAATGAAGGTCTTGCCCAAGACTGTGCTACTGATTTTACTCTGTGGGCTATCATTCTATCTTGGTGGACTTTATTATGGGAAGAACACAGTCGAAGTTAACAATGTTGCAAAAGCGGGATCTTCCTTAGATGTTGACAACTCTCCTCAAGTCAGTTCTGTTTCTTTCTCCGAGTGTAGCAGTGACTACCAAGATTACACTCCCTGCACGGATCCAAGGGTACACTCAGTTTTCCTATTTTCTAAGTTATTTTTAGTTGTTGGTGCTTGAATCTGTGAAAGCTAGAGCTAATGTTTTGAATTTGTTTTTGGCATGGTGGCAGAAATGGAAGAAGTATGGTACTCACAGGCTTACTTTCATGGAACGCCATTGTCCTCCTGTATTTGATAGAAAGCAATGTCTTGTTCCTGCTCCTAATGGGTATAAGCCACCTATCAGATGGCCTAAGAGCAAAAACGAATGTTGGTACAGGTAAATGTTGTTCAGTTATTCAATCGCTCGTTTGACTTGCTTCTTTAGGTCTCTCTTGTCCTCATATCTGTGAAGTAATTCGTAATTTGATGTGATTTACTTTCAGGAATGTGCCATATGATTGGATTAACAAGCAGAAATCTAACCAGCATTGGCTAAAGAAAGAGGGTGAAAAGTTCATTTTCCCGGGTGGAGGTACGATGTTTCCAAATGGAGTTAGTGCATACGTCGATTTGATGCAAAATTTGATCCCTGAAATGAAAGATGGGACTATAAGAACTGCCATTGACACTGGTTGTGGGGTGAGTTTACATATTTCTTGAAATTAACTTGGCAAAAAGTTGTATTAGAGGTTTCTTTCTTCAACTTCCTTGATTTTGCTCTGTATTTAAGGTTGCCAGCTGGGGAGGAGATTTGTTGGACCGTGGTATCCTCACGGTGTCACTCGCCCCGAGAGATAATCACGAAGCTCAAGTCCAGTTTGCTCTAGAACGTGGAATTCCAGCGATTCTCGGCATCATTTCAACTCAGCGTCTCCCTTTCCCTTCAAACTCATTCGATATGGCTCATTGCTCAAGATGCCTTATTCCATGGACAGAATTTGGTAATTAACTGTTTTTCATCAGTTTAGGAGCTATCAATGAAACTGAAACTCATAAAAATCCTTGTCTCGTTCCACTTTCTCAGGTGGGGTCTATCTTCTAGAGATTCACCGTATCCTAAGACCTGGTGGCTTCTGGGTCTTATCTGGCCCACCCGTCAACTACGAGAACCGTTGGAAAGGTTGGGACACAACCGTTGAAGAGCAGAGATCAAACTACGAGAAGCTGCAGGACCTGTTATCCTCAATGTGCTTCAAATTGTATGCCAAGAAAGACGATATCGCAGTGTGGCAAAAATCTCCAGACAATACGTGCTACAACAAGTTGTCTAACGACCCTGATGCGTACCCACCAAAATGTGACGACAGCCTCGAGCCAGACTCTGCTTGGTACACGCCGTTACGCCCTTGCGTTGTGGTTCCAAGCCCTAAGCTTAAGAAGACAGATTTGGAATCTACTCCCAAGTGGCCAGAGAGGTTGCACTCAACTCCTGAAAGGATCTCTGATGTTCCTGGAGGAAATGGTGGCTTGTTTAAGCGCGACAATAGCAAATGGAAAACGAGGGCGAAGCATTATAAGAAGCTGTTACCAGCTATTGGCTCTGATAAGATCCGGAATGTGATGGATATGAACACTGCTTATGGTGGTTTAGCTGCTGCTTTGATCGATGATCCTTTGTGGGTCATGAACGTTGTCTCTTCTTACGCTGCAAATACACTTCCCGTTGTGTTTGATCGTGGATTGATTGGAACATATCACGACTGGTAAAGTTATCAAAAACCTCTTCTTTCTACTTTTAAATCACTTTGAGTTCGCGTACATAATGTGTAATCTTTTGTTTCATAGGTGTGAAGCTTTCTCGACGTATCCAAGAACTTACGATCTTCTTCACGTTGATGGGCTGTTTACATCTGAAAACCAAAGGTAATGACAGAACAGAGATCTCAAACTTCAAATACTTGAAAACTCAATGATGATGTCTGATAAGAAATGGTCTTGTTTTTGGCAGGTGTGAGATGAAGTATGTGATGCTGGAAATGGATCGGATCTTGCGTCCAAACGGGTATGCGATTATACGTGAATCAAGCTACTTCGCGGATACAATTGCATCAGTTGCTAAAGAACTGAGATGGAGTTGCCGTAAGGAGAAAACAGAGTCTGAATCAGAGAATGAGAAGCTCTTGATTTGCCAGAAGAAGCTGTGGTATTCATCCAACGCAACGTCAGAAACAAAATAGGAAAAGCAGGGAAATCCAAAGCTTTAAAGCTTTTGTTTTGTCTGGAGGCTTCTTGAGAACAAAGTCAACAACCATAGGTTCTTTGTCTTGCTTCAAATCCAAGAAAGGTGTTCAAATCATTTTATTATCCCAGCATATTTATCAACTTACGATTCTTTCTTATAGTATATGCTTGGTGAGAAATATGTTATTGATTTTTTATTTAAATTGTATTTTTATTTTGAATTGTTTTCAAAATTTCTGCAATGTTAGGTATATTGATCCGAGATCTTAGTTATTGTTTTATACTGTGAGACGTTGGTGGTCCATTATAAACATTTTTATTCCCTTTCTTCTTGCTAAAGGAAAACATTATTCTGTTTAGAGAAAATTACACTCCAAAGCATATTTTGTGTTTCCAATTACACTCCATGGCATATAAGGCATACTGGCATCATATGACAGAAATTTGTGTTAAAACTCTTTATTACATTGTTTATAGTCAAATAACAGCAGAGGTTACACTTCCATGAGTTACAATTACACCAACAGTTTCTATAGAAAATACAATAAACTTGAAATACAGTAGGTCATTATTAGGTTAGAGAGTAAATAAATACGTATAAGATACATCCTTGCTTTACAAGTAAACAAGTGTTTCTACAAGTCCTTGTCTTCATCATTTTTGAGAGGCTCACTGGTAGCCAGCATTCGAGCAGCCCAAGGGACACCACCAGACTTATCCATAAGCTCTTTTTTGTATCTCCCTGGATACCTCGGGTTCACCACCCATTTTGTTTGCGTAGTACCATCTTCATTTCTCACGATCTTTTCAACCTTTATTAGTTCTCCAGCTGCATCTTTCATGGGTTTTCCAAATGCATCTTTGTAAATCTCCCACACGCTCTCTACGTCTGTTCTCGGGAACAAACGTTGCACGTTCTCTTCTTCTCCGACTATCTTCTTGGCTAGGCCCTCGTCTCTGCTTGTCACAATCACTCTCCCACCATACCCTTTAGGAAACCCGCACGAAAGATGCGTTTTCTCATACTCAGTCTTCTCACCATCTAGCCTCTGGTTCCACTCGTTATCCTCCCAGACATTGTCCAACACGACCAGATATTTCTTACCGAACAGATTCGAGTTAAGAGCATGCAGTAACTTAAAGAGCTCCTTCTCTTCAACCGTCTCTTCGTCTGTTTTCCCAGCTTCATCTTTGCTTCTCTTCTCTTCCTCTGCTTCTGTTTTGATGTCATCAAGTTTCTCATCTTCAACTCCAAGTGATCTCAACATCTTCTTCAGCACAGCTACCTTTGCATCTTTTGTTTCTTTGCTGTACATAGACACCCATATCCTCGGGAGATAAGCTTCTTTCACGTCTTTGTCGTTGAACACTTCCTGACACAACGTTGTCTTCCCAACTCCGAACTTCCCCACGATCGCTAGCGTCTTGAACTCTTCGGTTCCCTTTCGCTTCATCAAGAAGTTCTTCAAGAACAATCACTCGTTTACAAAACCACGAATAGGTTGTTCAGGGAGCTTAGGTGTTGTCTCCACTCGGCTTGTCTTAGATCTCTTTCCATTACTGTCGGGAGTTGCTGCTGATGAATCAACGGGAATTCCTTTAAACCATAAGCCATAGTTTATTTGAAAAGCAGACTCAATCAAAGCGAGCTTCTTATCAAATTCAGACAAAGGCTTATTAGCTACTAGATCCATAAGCAGCGATTTGCTTATTTCTTGATCCATGTGATCCATATTAATTTCTAGGCTTCAAAATATACAGCTCTCTCTTTGGGTTGACACGTAAAACTGTATATATACAATATCTAGACTCAGAGTTATCTTTCTTTTGCAAATTCTTTATCACCACCAGAAGAAAGGAATAAATCAACTCGACTTGTGAACAGGAAGAAAAAAAAAGAGAAAAGATATGATTTGATTATGGGCAAAGCATAAACCTAAGGTGTCACATTAACTACACTTCTTGTCTTCTTACGTGAAACACGTTCAACCTCGTCCATTAATGGTACAAAATCCTAAAACTCTATGCAACTTTAACATCGATTCAGTTACAAGTGCTTCAAGTTTGTTTCGTAGCGTTTCTCCACAATACAGGAAACCCAAATTCTATTTTGTGCTGAGTAAATCTCACAGTTACACATGCTAACCAAAGTATCTGATTCACGCGTTTTACCGCATACTAATTAACCAAATGTATACAATACCACAATCGAATGATATGTCAATATATTATTTTAGGATCGAATCCACATAGACCACTGATTACACGACTCGGCCAGAGCAAAATATGAAATTGTTTAGAGTCACAGTGGGTTGAGAAGAAGTTAAAGAAGATGGAATTATATTATGATTTTTTTTGTTTTCAAGAACATCCAAAGATGTTAAAAGACAACATGACCTGCAGAAAACCGATCTGTTAAACAAGACAAGAAGTGGTAGTTTTTTCAAGGATGAGTCTAGCTCTAGAATCTTCCTTAGTAGTCCTGAATTGCTCTCCTAGTCCAAAGTGAGCCATCAAAAGCCAAACCAAGTTGATCAGTTCACCACCTCTGTTGAGCTGCGCTGCATGTTGTTTAGAGTCACAGTGAGTAGCTGCATAGCAAAGCATCTCCACCCACACTTTGCTCACTACTTCCCACATCTTATGATCACTGCCTTCTTGAATCTCTTGAATCTTCTTAAGCTCTTTCGCTAGCATGCACGCTTGGAACAGCACAGACTTGCTTCTATACTCTCTACTACCACTCTCGCTCCTTTCCTCAACTGATTTATATGAACCTATAATTGCTTCACATGCAATCTTCGCGTCTCTTGAATCCGCAACATGCGTCCTCTGAAACAACTTTTTAGCCTCTTGAAGGTTCTTCGCTTCAGCTATTGCATCTCTGAACTTTACCTTATCGATTCCAGCAACCGTTGACATCAGAGAAGGCTGCACTATCAGGAGGTACATCATGTAGTCCGAAAGCGTTTTACTCAACTCTCTACATCTGTCTGATGATGAAAAGGCTATATTATCCGTTTGGTGTAACATCTCAGTGGCGATGTGCCACACCAGAATGCTCTGATCGTAATCAACATCAGTTACATATCGGAGAAGCTTCTCTTCATCTATCTCTATGTTCATGTCGGCTAGAGTCCACTCACCTCTAGCTGAATAGATAGGGCTTGCATTTTCCGAGCCAACAACCAAGAGTGACTTGTACTTCACGTCTTCAAATATAAACTCCCAAAGCTCTTTGGTGAGGCGTGTATGAGACGTGAATACTATCTCATTAAGCTTGTCCGGGACGCCGAGAAACTCCAGGAGATAGCTGAGCAATGGAATCACAAACCAGAATCTAAGCAAAAGCCTGAGAGGGGAAAGAACATAATACGTAGCCTTGTTCTTGATGTACATAGAGAAGATGTATAGCTCAATCTTCTTGCGGATTTGAGTCAAGGCTTCAGAAGTTAAGACTAATACTCTGATGATGATAGAGAGGGTGTGATCTATGTACAGTGTTGTAACGATGTAGTCAAAGGAACGGTGTATGTAACCTTTGGTGTGGTGGATTCTCTTTGGCTTTATCTTCAGGGAGGAGTCGATGAGATTGTATGCATATATGTGCTCAGACCATCTCCGAAATATAAAGATTCTATCAAGCACAGTGTGACAGAGTTGTTCTTGTTTGTGACATGAACACTTCTTCCACTTCAGTTCCCTGAAACCTAGTAGCCAGTTGAGAGATCTGTCAAGCTTTGTTTCTTTCTTATAATCCAGCTCCTTCCTCAGTCTAGCAAATGTCCAGTCAGATACACAGAATATGAGTATGGAAATGAAATCTAGTGTGATTCCACCAAAGAGCAAAGTATAAGTAAGGGCAACATCAAAATCATCATAACCATCTTTCCTCAATGTTTTGAAGATGAAGAGTGATGCAAAAAGGCAGCACAAGGCTATAAACCGGAAGGCAGATCCGATCCAGGTGTGAAGGATGTCAGTTTTGGTGAAAAACGTTCCGTACATGAAACTCAGCTCAACTTCTAGAATCCTTAAAGCTTCTTCAGCGGATAAGGACTGAAAGAAGTGTTTGCTTTCTCTCCACTGCTCAGAGCTGTAAATGAAATCTACCACAAGACCTTTGTAGATGTTGAAGTACTTGTAAGCATATTGCACAACATGTAGATGGGACATAACCTCTGGTCTTGCTGGTGCATCAACTCCTTGCTCTTTCTCAGGCTCCTCTAGCCTGACTAAACGGGTAGGCTCTTTAGAAAGCTTCCTTGTATTGTATTCTTCCATGAACCTCACGTAGTCGATTCCAGGTTCGGGGTCTCCAAGCATCAAATCCTTGAACCGTTTGAGACTAGCTCCACGCATGGCTCTTAACCTCTCAACATACTTAATGACTCCAGCCACAAGCATGAGGGATGTAGGTACCATGAGACTGGTGGGTATTGATAGCAAGAACACGTAGAGAGTAGCCATGAATTGGCAAAGAAGACCAAACAAACTCCTGAGCCAGAGCTCGTTATCCTCAAGAGCAAGAGCGGTGATGGTGTCAGGACCACCAAGGTGTAAGAGGAGAAACGTTGCCCAGAAAGCTAAAAGCTCGTTGGTCTTGGGGGACTCGTTGGGCTCAGGGGGGTCTCCTGAGCTATCTGAGATCTGTCCGACGGCATAGTCAGCTGCCCAGTTGGCTAAAAGGTAAGCAGACCAGAGGAGAAGCCGGAAGAGTCTCTTGGGTGTTCGTTTTCGGTTTGGTGAGAGGAGAACAAGGATTGCTTGAAGGACAAGACTGAAGATCACAAGGCCACGGATGTTCCATTTGTCCCAAACATCTCTCACTGCCTTTGGTATTGGTTCCACCATTTTTTTTCACTTCTCGATCGGTTACAAACAAGCCACCTCATACCATGACCGGTGAGCATTCATGCTGGCTCTAAGGTTCGCAGTGCTTTTATTCATTCAGAAACAAGTATGAAGAAAGATTTTTGAGACCTACAACTTTTTTTTTAACAATACAGAGTACTAGTTTGGTTTCAATTTTCTAATTTTCGATTTAATATATTATTATATAGTATCGAACTGGAAAATAACTTTTCTTAGACATTTTTCTTTTTAAGCTTTTTTATATTCTTATTAGTGAAAATTCAGACGTTCATTGTGGCCCGCCAGAATGTGTTTCATGTTGAGGTATAAAGAAATCCTCTTTTTTTTTTTTCTTTTTGAAAGAATTTTTTATAACTTCAGAAATAAGAAATATCAGCTGGACTATTATTCTAAGGTGGAGGCTTTATTTAGTCATTATATATTAATTGAAAAACATTTTGAATGTTGTAACACTGAATACAATGGTCAGGTGTGGACACTATAGTTTTTTTTTCACAATCAATATAAAAAGTCTTTAAATTACTAGAAATATTATAGGAATGTCATCGAAATAGTGGATCATTCATTCATCAAATGTTCACAAATAAATTTTATATTTTTTCAAAAAAGGAGTATGGAATTAACTAATGTGATTTATTATGAATATGTCAATTAATAATATATAATAACAAAAATTAGATAAGAATTTTTAAATTATCTATATATTTTTATTATTATTAAAATAAATTAAAAAATTACATTAACTATATAATAAAAATTTAGATTTTTTCAAGTATGCTATATTTAAATTTTTAAAAACTTCCAAATCTTATAGAAGTCATATATTGAAAATTTTGTGACCAAAGATTTAAAAATTTTGTTATAAAAATATAAATAATCAGAACTATGTGATCTTGATCATAAATATATATGATCTTTCTGTGAAACTAAAATATTCTAAGGATAAAAATTAAAATATCATCGAACAAAAGCGTAATGAAATTTTATGAAATTAAATGATTAAGTGTCATGGTTTTCTAGACTGATGGACTAAAAAAATACAAACATAAATTAAAAAACACTTTAAAATTTAATGTTATTGAATTTGTCATGTCGTAAAACACTATGAAATCCTTTGTTATTAATAAGATTGAAGTTAAAAAATTAGAGCGCTTAAGCGTTTTTAGAATGTTTAAGATGAATTTTTTAATTATAAGAATAAAAACAAATCTTATACTTTTAGATGAGATTTTAGAGTTGTTTAAGAAAGATCAGAAATTTTCAGATTCATTTTCAATCATCTAAAAATTCATTAAAAATAAAATAACTTCAAATTTCAGATTAAACATACCTCCTTCATTCATTTTAAAAAAATGGATCATATAAATATTTTTAGCATCGAATTTCATTCTGAGGCAGGTCTTACCTTATTTTAGACCATGATTAACCTCGGATTCTTAAGGCGGGATTCTTATCGGAAACTAAGAAACTGTTTCTTAACTTTTAACTAAAATCGCTAAGAACCGATTCTTAAAATCATTATTTAAGAACCAGATTTTAGTTAAAAGTTAAGAAACAATTTCTTAGTTTCGCTAAGAACCCCGTCTTAAGAACGCGGGGTTAATAAACAACAATAAAACATGGTTAACAAAAATAAACAAATAAACACAAAACAGAGAAAAACAGTACATAGACAGAAAAACATACTTAGACCGAAACGAAAGTATCGAAACAAGTAGAAGAACATAAGTAAGTAATATCATCATTATTATTAGTAGTAGACGACATCAAGAGTAGTGGTTCGTGGCATTCACTGTGACACTGGCTGCATCGTAGTAGTGATGTCCTGTCATTGAGAATAACCTCATACTCATGTCCATGCTTTGTGACGAAACGAAACCCTGGTCTCATGTTTCTGAAACTTCCAAGCGCACACTCGGCATGTAGAACCGGACCACAGTCAGAACACTTGTAGTGATGCTTCTTTTCTTCGATTTCCCTTTCGCATATGTCACAGTACCAATATGGATTGGTTGTGGTGGTAACATCTTCGCCAACGGTGTGGTGTAGCAAATGCTCATCGTACTTGTATTTTATTTTGTCGGGTGAGGTTGCACACGCGAAACACATAATGAAGTCGCATATAATACAATTTATAACAAATCTCCGCGACTGTTGATTGCATAGACTGCAGCAGCTCATGGTCATACTGGTTTCAGTGCCAAAGAACAAAGGATGGGGGTGAAGAGGGTAATCAAATGGTTCAGAAACTAAACAACATCTAACATCGAATTCGATGTCGCAATCCAAGCAACAGAAGCTAGACCCACTGAAATGTAAGTCACAAGCACCACATCGAGAGAGCCCCACGCTATTATGACCACCTGATGAGATTTCATCGTCCCTCGTGTAAAGAGTAAGTGGGTGTTGATGTAGAGCCAACCGAATCCTCCGAGGCAGATTAGCGCATGTGACGTGAAGAAAGAAATCGCATTGCTGACACATGTAAAATGGATCAGAAGCTATGGGGAAAGAACAGCCAGAGCAAACTACATCTCTGTCCCCAATATCTTCTTTGTCGGTTTTGAGCTTTAGAACATGTTCATGACTAAAGTGACGCACACCAATATGTTGAAATGATGTATTATTAATATTATCCTCCTGATCATGAACCTCTTCGGGCACCCCCTCGAGCTCCATTCCATCCCACACGTCTTTTCTGGTTGCACATTTCGTGTGGACAGCGTAATCACGACACCTGGCACAACTATAAGCACCGTAGTTCCCGTCAACTTTCTTATGACAAACTCCGCATAACAAGTTTCGAGGGCCAAGAAACCATGTATAAACCAAGCGGTGGATGTGACGAGTGAGCTTTATAACTCTTGGAATGTGTAAGCAGCCTCCATCTACCATGAATGAACACTTGAGACATACGTACGGAGATTTGTCTAGACAGAGTCCACACGCGTTACAAGTGTAAGAGACATGTCTTGGTAAAAGGGTGAGTGTATGCTCATGGATCTTTCTAATATCGATCACAAGAGATGGTGGATTCTCTGCACAGTTGAGATGCGCAGTGAAATAACATTGTGAACATTCATAAGCAGACACATTTGTTACATCTTTCCCACATAAACCGCACACTCGACTTTCTCCTCCTCCGGACACTAACTCTCTACGGTTTAAAGGGTGTCGATGACTGGGAAGTTCCACTTCATCCATTGTAGACGAGAGAATACTCTTTTTAATTTGTGTTTGTGTTTTTGATAAGCTAATTTTTTCTGACTGATCGAGTAGGCAATTCTTGAGAAACTTTCTTAATATAACAACATTTATGAATTACATAATTAATATTTGTTTCAGGATTTGCTAAAGGTAAAAACATGAGCTGATTTGTTTAAAGTAAAAAACATGATAACTTCGATGAAATGTAACTTGGAAAGAAAGAAAAGAATGATACGAATCATCCGTGCTACAACTAGCCCTGGCAAAAAAATCGGAACCAAAAAACCAAATCGGAACCAAAAAATCAAATTGGAACCGAACTGAAATACCCGAAAGCGAAAGCGGACCAAAATTCTTAAATATCCTAATATTTCCTATATTTATATACCCAAAAAACGAACCGAAACCAAAACCGAACCGAGAACCGAACGGGTACCCGAATATCCGGAAAAAAAGTTAAAGTTTTTTAATATGAGATATATGACATCAAACCCACTTGAACCTAAGTTGAATACAAAAGTAAGTACATTTTTACCACCAGACCACATTATGTTTTATTTATTCTCTTATATTATAAATATATATATAGTATTTTGATATTAAAATACGATAAATATTTATAAGATTAACACTTTGTTGATTCAAACTCTTGTTGGACTGACGAATATGTAAGCGTGTAAATACTAAACCATTTAAATTAACTAATATATTCTGTATATATATATATATATTTGATTTATATATTAAACGGGTACCCAGAACCAAACCGAAACCGAATTGAAAGCGAACCGAAACCGAATCAAAATCTCATAAATACCTATTAGGTATAAGAATGATTTATCTGATATACCCGGAACCGAATGGTTCTTATCCGAAACCGACCGAATATCCGAATATCGAGGCCTAGCTACATCCAAGAAAAAGAAAAGTAAAGATTATGGCTAAATCAACCAAAAAGAAAAGAAAAACTAAAGGCAATAGCTGCTTTTACTTTTTCTTTCTTTTTTTTTTCTTTTTTTCTTTTTAAAGGTTAAGAACGTGAGCTGGTTTGTTAAAAGTAAAAGCAATGATAAATTCGATAAAACGTAACTTGGAAAGAAAGAAAAGAATTGAGCTCATGAGTTAACAAGCTAGCTCAGCTACCAATCTTGTAAACAGCTAGAATTACTCTTTCAGGATTTCTATTAAACCAATTAAACTTACGGAATCATATGATTAATTTCATGACCATAGAAGACGATTACTGTTATAGAAACATCCGTATCCCAAACCGGAAAAAAAACCCCGGACTAAACCGACCTAACGGTCTTTACACAAACCGATCTAATTCCCACTTAGGTAGCTTGTCACAGCATTAGTTCAGTTGTCTTGGTCAGATCTCCAGATTCCACTTCCATCGCAGGGAGTGAGTGTAACTCTTGGACACTCATAGTTCTCAAGATACATCAGATTTGGGAAAAGTTGCCGCAGCTCTATCCATCCAACTCTTAGCTTAGGTAGTGACTTGAGCCGCAAGACTTCAACACTAGACTCGTTTTCCTTGTCACGCAAGTCACCGAAGCCCTTGAATCGTCTCCCTCCTCCGATTTGGAGCTTCTTCAAGTGTACAAGAAGCCAAGTGGGAAGCTCGTCGTGAGGGTAACGCTGCAAGTTAAGTTTCTTTAACTGATGAGACCAAAGACTTTGAATCTCTGTGGAATCTTCATGACGCTTGCCACCACGAATGATTCTTAAATCCCTCCTCCATGTCACCTTCAAGCTTGTCAATGCTTTGAGTTCCACGAGATCCTCCATAACTTGTTCCACATCAACATCATCTCTGTTTATTTCGATGCTCAGTTTTCTTAGCTTCTTCAATTTCTTTAAGTAACTTAGTTTGCACGCAACACCCTCATAGACGTCACTAACCACAAAGCCCTTGAGAACCTCTAAGTTCTTCAGCAAAGCCAACCTTAAAGGAATCCATTCCAACATATAACATCCTGTCATATCCAGATAAACCAGACTCCCAAGTGAACCTATCTTTACTGGAAGCTGCTTCAAGTCATAGCACTCCCTTAGGTCCAAGATGATCAGCTTGTGTAGCTTACAAACCGAACTGTTTAGGCTTCTAATGCCTGAGATCCCTTGAAAACTTAGAACCTTAAGGTTCCTCAAATGGTTTAAACATTGCATTAGCTGAGGATTCTGTACCTGGATGTGTCGTTTCTTACTTCTTTCCCATCTCCCCAGATAGAAGACCTTGAGAGTCTTGAACCAATTGCTTGATAGCTTGCTCATGAGTGTTTTCTTAGATGGGTACTCAGAGAACCAGTTGAATGTGAAATCTGGGAGTCTCTCAGAAACATTGAACACCGTCTCTATATGATCTCTTGATGGCATTTTCTTAGGGTTTGCCTCTAGCTGGCGTGATGAACCTTCCACAAGGCACACCTTTCCCATCTCTGAAATGTTCATCATTGGCTTCTTCCCTTGATGATAGATATCAAAAAGTCCAATCTCTTTTGAGAGTATAACAACTGAAGAATGCACAAAGGGACTCATCTTATAGCTGCTTGGGGATACTTTCCACCTCTCTTCAACAGGTTCAATCAGATTTTTCTCAGTGAATGACTTGAGAATTTGCCTTACAGTTACTTCAGCTTCCTTGAGAGGTAGAATCCCTTCTCCTATCCACCAATACATCAGCATTGTTCTGTGAACCTCTTGATTCTCCGGGAACACTGCAAAACTCAAAAGGCAGATCTTCTCTTCAGTTCCAAGCTCCTTAAACTTCTGTTTGACTTGTCTGAAAACCTCACGTCTGGTAAGATCTTCCACATTTGTATGAATGCCAGGAAAATAAAAACGTGATGGTCCTTGATCATCATCTTGATCAGCATATACTTCTGCTTTCTGCTCTTCTAATAGCTTTCCAGACAACAAGGGGACTTGGTTCAACAAGTCAGAAATCTTTGTCTCCATGCCTTGTAAGTCAAGCTTGATCCAATAGGTAACTTGAGAAGAACTCCTTGAGGAATCAAAATTTCCAATCAGTGATTGAAGGGTATTAAGATGTTTATTTAGCTCTTCTTGCACATTTGTATGAAGTTGCTCCAGCTTTGCCAGCATCTTCTTAAGCAGACGGAGATGATACTGTAGCCTCATGATCAGACCATCATCAAAGGAAACAAGAGCCAAGGCAGGAGGAGCACTTTGGCTCCTATCTAAAGTACCCTTTTGGTTATTGCTCTTAGTAATACTTTCTTGCTTCTTGCTTCTTCCCAAAGGATCTTCCGTTAAGAGTTTGTTCAACACTGATAAGCTGCTCATGATCTTATCAACTTGTTTCTCTAAACTATCTCCTGATGTCCGAGGTTGTGTGCTGTTATTGGCAGCCATGGCATTAATGCTCCTCTGAAGTCTCTTTCTTGGCTAATTAGTAGTTAGCCCTTTTCTTCTCCAGCTCTCAAAGAGAACACACCATACGCATTTGCCTACAATTATTGAAAGTAAGCTGAGAATAGCCAAATTGAAAGGAACAAAAAAGAATCATGAACCAAATTGAATAAAGAGTAATAAAATTACTTGTAGAAACTTCTCCTTTCTTTTGCTTTTCTTTCCCAGTCAGTGGACTACAGAATACATTATAACACATATGTAATGATCGTATATATAGGTGATTTGATTTTTCTATAACAAAAGTTCAGATAATGCAGGTAAAAAAAAATTGAGATAATGACGATATTACTGTTGTTGTAGATTAGAATCAGTGATCAAATATGCATCTTTCAGCCACTTAACATATTTTAATTAACCAAAGTGTTGGTAGTCTAATGGTAATTTAAAAAGTTGACTTCTGTATCTAAGGAAATTATATATGAATCTAAACTCGGACTTTCTACTGTCAAAAAGAAAACATATAATTACATGAGGAAATAATGAATCAGTCAGTAATGTGATAGAATATTAATTTCCTTTCAGCTTAAGAGAGGTTGTAGATACTTCCCCAATAGTTTTAAGTTAAACATCTATACCTTACTTTTTTTTAATAAATGTGTATGAAGCACAAGATCCACCACACAAAAGTAGGGCAATCCATGTGTTTAGCATGTAACTTTGTTGTAATAAGAGAAGAAAAGCTTTTGCTTGTGTAGTAGACAATTCCAAAAGCCAATGAGTTACATGTACACTCCGAATAAAGTTTGTTTCTTTAATACAGTCCGAGTGAAAACTAAGGTAGAATATAATACTTTTTTTTAGAATATAATACTTTATACTTGGCGTTTTTGTTTTCAACAGAATATAACCGGATACATGCTGGAGAGTTGTATAAAAAGGTGAATCAATCAACGAAGGATAACAGAACATGAGAAAGCCTGAAAACAAAGAAAACTAGAAAGAAAACCAATCTGATCTCATCACTCGCTCTGCACAACTAATTAAGGTTCTTATTTTTTTCTCTTTTAATTTTTAAAATATTGTTTTCTTTTGTTATTTGATGTATTTTATATATGTATATATCTAGACCAACTTGTTCAAGCTGGGAAAAAATACATTTAGTTTCAAAATAAGGGTTACTCTGTAAAAGTACAATGATCTTATGTGTGTGTGTTTTGGGATCAATATAGTTTCTTTCAACTAAAAAGAAACTCTAACCTAAAGTTTTATCGCCAATGCTCTCAAATATACATTTTTATCACAAAATAGATTTCAAAAACTAAAATAATTAAAATTATATTTTTTATTTTGAAAATTTCAAGTTTTTTTTTGAATTTGAAATCCTATCCTAAATTTCTATTCCTCAATTCTAAACAAAAATATCTCGAATTAGTTAACCCCAAAATGTATATGTGTATATTTACTTATTTATTATAAAACATTTAAGTTTATTCGTGACAAAAACTTTTTGATCTATATTATTTATCTCTCTTTTCCAGAAATGGACAATCAAGAGAAAAAAGAACCGATCAGCAGAGACGAGATTCTCAACAAGATAAGGGATTTATTGGGGAGAGACGGTGTCGATTCAAGAATTGTCCTCGTTGGTGAAGCTGGTATAGGAAAGACGTGGCTTGCAAAAGAAGTCAGCAAACGTGTGACTCAAGAAACCTCTTCATCTTACATTGTCCTCTGGTTACACCTCAACAAGAAGATTAGAGACGAGAAGACACTTTACGAGAATATATCTGCTCAGTTATCCTTGTTTTTCGAGTACGAAGAAGGCGAAAATCAAAACGAGGTTGATGTATCATTGGAAACCTTGAAGAAGAACATATCAAACGCCATCATCAAAACGAAGAAGAAGAATCTTCTGTTGATTTTGGATGATGAAGGAAGTATGACAACTAAGAAACATGTAATGGATGTCCTATATCTCCCACAGTATCTCCAAGATGTTGTGAAAGACATAACTCTAAAGGTTCTAGTCACAAGAAGAGGTGAGATACAAGAGCAAGAGTCATACAGAACGATCAAAGTCGATTCCCTCACAGAAGACGAGTCAGAGAAACTACTCAGAGACTCTCAAACCTTGCTTGAGTCGTATACCGTTGATGACTGGCCTGATTTGCTGAAGCGCCTTTACGAAAGCAGAGAGATCAAAGAGCCTACTCTGATGTCTTGCATCAAAAGTAAGAGCCAGGGCTTACCTGCTGCTATTGTTGTCTTATCCAAGTCTTTAAACAGCATCAATACTCTGTCGGCAAAACAGAGGAAGATCTTCAAAGAACTGATCTTATCTTCCAAGTCACTAGACGCAGCAGCTGGTTCCCGGAGCCTCTACAATCCGGTCTTGCGTTTAAGCTACGAGCTGTTAAAGCCCGAAGAAAAGATCGAAAAACCGGTCATTGATTGTTTTTGGCATAGCTTAGACTTTTATAAACATTGTGGATGTGTTTATTACCGTGACCTGATCACACAATGGATACTTGAAGGCTACTTTGATCCTGTTCGATCTGTTGAGAAGGCTTACAAGGATGGTCATAAAATCTTGTTGGAGCTTATAAGCCGAGGTGTTCTCAAGACACAAGAGGATGATATGGTTGTACCAGAGATGGCAATGAGTTTCTTAATAGATCTTCGTCATCATGGGCTCTTAGGAAGATCCAGGCTTCGATTTGCTAGAGTTTATGGTGGTGACAAGAACAAAGGTCTAGGGAAAATCACACAGATAGATGATATGATAAAAACAGTGCAGGGAAAGAGAGGAGACAATAATAGTATACGCACAATCTTGGTAAGTGGGAACCGTCTGCGTCTTGAAACACCAAAGAAGTTCTTTGAGGAGATGAAGGATCTTGAAGTAGTTGGTCTTTTTGATCCAACAATGGAATATCTAATCCAGTCTTTACGTGAACTCAAGAAACTCCGAGTTCTTGTGATCAGGGACTATGATCTACTGTCAAGTATCGAGGAGCTTAAGGGTGGTCTAAGAAGGCTACAAGTTCTTGAAGTTTCTGGCGCCAGCTCTTTGGTAACTATCTCTGATGACTTCTTTCAAGCGGTGAAGCAACTCCAAAGTCTTAACCTCTCTGGACTTGGGATCAAATCTTCACCTTCAAGCATTTCTCAGCTTAAGAACCTCCACAGTCTCATTCTCAGGGACTGTTCTTTATTGGAAGATTTACCAGACGTACAACATTTAAAGAGGCTAGAGATTCTAGATGTCCGTGGTGCATGCAACCTAATAACTTGCTACAGAAACAGAACCTTTTCTCGTCTTAAACAGCTTCAGCTTCTTGATCTTTCAGAGAGCAAACTAAAACGACTGCCAATATTTCAAGACAGTGCCGTGGCTACCAAGCTTCACTCCTTGACGCGGCTCTCATTACGCAACTGTTGCAAACTAGTTAAGCTACCGAATCTTAGACCCTTATCTGGTCTCCAAGTTCTTGATCTTTCCGGCACTACCAGCTTAGTGGAAATTTCAGAAGTATGCTTCGAGAAGAAAGAGGAACTCAATATACTTAACCTCTCACGCACCAAGTTCACCAAATTGCCTTCAACCATCTCCGGGCTAAACAGCCTTAGCCAGCTCCTCATAAAGGACAACTCCAACCTAGAATCTCTCCCAAACATCAAGGGACTCACGAGCCTCCAGGTGTTTGATGTTTCAGGGTGCACTAACTTGCGTAAAATCGAGGGATCCTTTGAGGAGATGTGTTACCTGCGTGAAGTTAATCTCTCTGGCACCAGGATAGAAACCTTACCAGAGCTACCAGTGAAGAACAGTCATGTCTGCTCAAAGCTCCTTGTTCTAGCAGACTCAAGAAGTTTGATACGTGATACTTGGAGCCAAGTCAAAGAAGCCATAACAAGAAATGAGATGTCTGAGAGTCTTTCCTCTTCTGGTACAGTCAGTAATAAAGAGTTGAAAGAAGCTTGGGGCTTTAACTGTCCTGAGAAGAAAGGTGAACGATGGGAAAATTTATACAAGTATATCTATATGAACACAATACCATTTGTGGATATAACAAGTCATCAAGAAGTTCTAGAGGTCCAAGGATCACATGGCATAGATATTAAAGACAAGGAAGCCTTAGCTAAAGCTGAGTTTGTGGCTTTTGTAGACAATACCACAGCAAGTCTCTCACGTGTCTTCAATGATTTGAAAGCAGTGAAAGGATGTTGGGTGGAGATGTGCGAGGACATACAACAGCTTTTCTTTGGTGTGGATGAGGAACGTCTGAGAAACCTGGAGATATTGTCGATAACGAATCTTCGGTTGATGGATAGTATCTGCAGTAGCAGCAGCTTCAAGAATCTCAAGAAACTAAACCTGGATTGTTGCTCAAGCATCAAAACGCTTTTCCCTGCATCCGAGCCGCCAATCTTCTTAGAAGTCTTGAAAATAAAGTTTTGTGACAAGCTGGAGAAAGTGTTTGGAAAACAAGTTGAAGTGTTGAGTCTTCACACACTATGCCTTCTTGAGTTGCCTGTGTTGTCTAGTATTGGTGCTACGCTGCCTAATCTGGTCACTTACAAAAAAGACAAATGTCCAAATCTGAACATTTCAGAAGAAAATCTCAAAAGCAGTTAAACGTTTCTACGCTGCAGCCTAATATTCATTCGTTATTCGGTTCCTTTAGTTTCTAATATCGTAACAATCTTTTGTAATTTTTTTTCATCCTGGCACCCTTTGAAGTGAGTCCAGACTACCCACGTGTTACCCATCTCTGGCGATGCCGAAATGTTAATTTTCCGTGGCCGGGACTCGAAGTCAATTGCTTCATCGTATTGGACTTTTACCTCAAGTTAATCACCACTGGACCACAAGCTCTCACAAGCTCTGGTTCCTTTAGTTTCTAATATCATAACAATCTTTTGTCATCCCCCCGCTAGAAACAAGAGAGAGTGCACAATGAAGATATATGAAGAACTATTAGGGACAAAGTCTCATATCACTTATAAACTTGTTATGTGTGTGTGTATGTTTTTTTTATTAATTCCAGAACTGAGCTTGTATGTTTCCTGTTCTCCTAGTTTGTAGTTTGGCTATGAGAATACTCTGTTTTAAATAATATTTGTGATTTTTTTTTTGGCACCATTGCTACAAGTTATTTCAAACAAAGTGGCTACAAGAAAACCCAACAGACACAGTTGATGCAGTGGTCCATGCTCTCTGTCGTTTTACCAAAAGAAAAGTGCTTTAAAATTTGTAGAGTACCGCACAAAACAAGCAAGGTATCTAGAAGTACTTAAACTACAAGAGGAGGAAAACAGAGGTTTTAGTAACATATCTAATTGGAAATAAACAAAGGAAAATGGTGGAAGTCATTCCCAAACAAATCAAAGATGTATGGGATAGCTGGAACATCAGGGGAATGATCATCCTCAGCCTCACCCTTCAGACAACTCTCATTTTCTTTTCCCCCTTGAGGAAACGAACATCCAACAAGTTCTTGATCCTTCTCTTGTGGTCCTCTTATCTCCTGGCTGATTTGTCTGCTAATTTCGCCGTCGCATTGATTGCCAAGAACCAAGGTAAAGACCCTAAACCCAATGATCTTCCTCAAAACAAGAAGCTAGTCGCCTTGTGGGCACCTTTCTTGCTCATACACCTTGGTGGACCAGACACCATCACTGCCTTTTCCCTTGAAGACAATGCTCTCTGGACCAGACATTTCCTTGGGCTTGTCTTTCAAGCCCTTGCAGGTGTCTATGTGGTTGTCTACTCTCTACCAAACGTGCTTTGGGTGATAATACTTCTCTTGTTCATTTCCGGGACATGTAAGTATCTGGAAAGAACGATTGCCTTGTACCTTGCTAGTTCAGACAAGTTCAGGGACTCAACGATGTTGGATACGTCAAGTTCAGTGTTTGACTACTACACTGATCAGCAAACAAAGAACCAAGATCTGGACTCAATGCTTGCCTCTGAAATGTACATGAAGGAGAGCCGCGGACAGCTGAAACCTCTGAAGCTCATATCTTACGACAGACTCTTGACCGATCTTGAGATTCTTCAACATGCTTTCTTGTTCTTCAACAACTTCAAGTCTCTTATGGTCAATAACATCTTCAGCAAGGAGCTCAGAGATGAGACCAAAGTATTCTTCACATCGAGACGAGATGAAGAAGCTTTGAGGATTATAGAAACCGAGCTCAGTTTCATCTATGAAGGACTGTACACAAAAGGTGCAGTTCTTCATAGTTTGATAGGAGTTTTGTTCAGATTCATTTCCTTGGGATCTCTTCTGTCAGCATTCATCATCTACCATTACAAACACGGTTATAAGATCAAAGACTTTCACAAAGCCGACATTGTAATCACCTACACGTTGTTCTTAGTTGGAACAGCTCTGGACGTTATATCATTGCACATGCTTGTTGTTTCCGATTGGACAACAGCCATCTTCTCAACTCTAAAAGATGACCCGGACGAAAGATATTCGAGGAAAGATCGAATACTCAACTGGTTCCTTGGTCTCAAGAGGCCAAAGTGGAAGATTCAGACTTCATGTTGTGACCGAATACTTAACACACCGTTTCTGTTCAGAAGATGGAGTGGAAGCATCAAAATGTTGAACTTCATTGCATACTCAATGAACGCAGATACAGAATATATCCACAACTCAAGAAAGAGTAGAACGTGGCAGCATTTCATCCACAAATGGTCCGGGTACCTCGGCATATGGTTTTGTGATCTTCACCGGTATGTTATCCATCAAGTGATCATCCTATCGCCTGGAGAAACTCTGGTGGCTCGTTATGTTATCACACCGTTCAAGATCTTTGCTGAATATTTGTTACGTGTACCTTACGTTATCATGTTTCTTGGCACCTGCTTGATCAATGTCTTGGGGATGGAGGAGATAAGACTGGTGAGATCTTTACACAGCGAACCTTTGACAGGAAATCTACTGTGTTCGATATTTTCTGAGCTGCGTATCAGATCACGTATCCTGAAGAACACCACAACGAAATCATCAGCAAGGAGAGGTTGGGCGTCAAGTCATACACAGGTTCAAATAGCAGATCATGAAACGCTGTTAGGTTACATAACAGATGTTGATTATGACCATAGTCTTTTGATTTGGCACATTGCCACAGAGCTTTGTTATTTAGACGAAGAACCTTCCACTAAAGAGACATGTGATCACACTGACCGTGTGATCAGCAAGATGCTCTCAGACTACATGATGTATCTGTTGATCATGCAGCCTAAGCTGATGTCAGGGGTAGCTGGTATAGGGAAAATCAGATTTAGAGACACCTTGGCTGAAGCTGAAAGATTCTACAAGAAGATGAGTATCAGAAACTCCAGGAGTGTGAAACTAGCCAGCGTGAAGATTCTTTCGGTGGACACCAGCATCGAACCGAGAGATGTCAAAGGGAGCTACAGCAAGTCAGTGTTGTTTGAGGCAAGTTCACTGGCTAAAGAACTTAAGAGACTGGAGAAAGATTTAGGAGAAGACATGTGGAAGATAATTAGCAAAGTGTGGTTGGAGTTACTCTTCCATGCAGCAACACATTGTGACGGTAAAACGCGTATGGAGCTTCTTAGCAAAGGTGGAGAGTTCATCAACTTTGTTTGGCTACTAATGGCTCACTTTGGCCTAGGGATTTGATTACCTAAAGATCATGAACGATGATTAGAATGTGTCTTTTACATGTGCTTGTATCTTAATACTGTGTGTTTCTACTGTTACGTTAGCAGCTTCATCAAACACATAATCGAACATTGAGACAATAGATTCTCTAGGACATCTACACACTTCCAACAACTTATTTTAGAACATCTGCTTTCTTGTCTTATTTGGAGATTTAATATGAAACAAAAACTGAAGCACTTGTGATGTAAAAGTTGCAATGGGATTTGCATGTAACATTCATATATACGGTTCAGGTTAGACAAACGTGTTTCACCAAAGAATAAAAAAGACCAGAAGGCAGAAGTGTATAGCAAATGTTTACACTATTAGAGAGTATTATGTAAATATTATATAGTATTGCCTTATTATGTAATAAGTGAATATTGGTGTAGTCTAGGGTTATGGACGTTTGTATATATACTCTTACGAAGATAATAATACCGACACGATATTCTCTTCACCCTTTGTCATGGTATCAGAGCTAAGGGTTTAAACAAAGGAAAAAAGAGATCAAAGAGAAGCTCGTGAAAGAAAGTTAAGTTGACTGCAATGGTGACAGGAGAAAAAGAAAGTGAAGCGCTCGCGGAAAGCAGCGGTATGATGACTATGGCTGAGAAGGGAAGGTTGTCGCCTCTCTACCTTCATCCTTCTGACGGACCTGGGAATTTGATCACTACGGTACAATTGAAGGGAGAAAACTATGAAGATTGGGCTAAGCATGTGCGGAATGCCTTGCGAACAAAGAGAAAATTAGGGTTTATCGATGGAACTTTTAAGAAACCAGAAAAAGATGAGGATGTTGAGCAGTGGGAAGTCGTTAACTCTATGTTGGTTGCTTGGATAATGAACACTATTGAACCAACACTGAGAACATCGATATCAATGGTGGATGAAGCACGAGTTCTGTGGGAAGACGTGAAGTTACAGTTCTCGGCTGGAAACGGACCTCGTATTAGCGAACTGAGAGCTGACATCGCTAATTGCAGGCAGAATGGAGATACAGTGATGGTTTATTATGCTAAGCTGAAAAAGATGTGGGATGAGTTGGCAATTTATAAACCCATACGTACGTGCACATGTGGTGAGCTTGCGGCACAGTTAGAGGAGGATCGTGATGAAGAAAGAACTAATACGTTTTTGACAGGGCTGGATGCGGCGAGATTTGGAACTGTTCGATCTACCATTATCAGTATCGAACCACTTCCAAAGCTCTCCCAAGTTTATCAACGCATTGTGCGAGAAGAGAGACAGCAAACAATGACAAGAAACAGAGAGCCTCCTACTGAAGCTGTTGGGTTTTCTGTTCATGCGGGAAACCGTGGAAATTCCGCTGGATTTCAACAAAGAGAGAAAGACGTGACCTGTACATATTGTGGAAAGTATGGGCATGCACAAACAGACTGTTTTCAGAAGAACGGTTTCCCGGAATGGTGGGGCGAACGTGGACGTGATTTCAGTGAACGAGGAAGAGGTGGTGGATCTCGTGGAAGATTTGGACGAGGTGGTGGAGCTGCTGGACGATTTGGCAGAGGTAGAGGCTCATATAGTCGAGCCAATGCAGCACAAGTATCACCGGCGGCTGGTGCACAAGCAAATTCGGTAAGCAGAGATGGTGATTATGATCGTCAGTCTCTTCCTCAACTAAGCGATGAGCAGTGGACATCTCTGGTCAGTTTTATTACTTCTCAGAAGACAGGCAGTACCAGCGAGAAGTTGAATGGTAAGATAGAATGTGGAGAATTTATTATTGACAGTGGTGCATCACATCATATGACTTCACATCTTGACTATCTATGTAATGTGATCGATATCCATCCATGTACGATTGGACTTCCTGATGGAGATAATGTGGTGGCAACAAAACAGGGAGATTTATGTTTCGGACATGATATGTGGCTGAGAGGAGTTCTATACTCTCGCGACTTAACATGTTCTTTGATATCTGTTGCAAAACTTCTTAAGGCTATGAAGGGGTCTATTACATTTACTGATGAACTTTGTGTGCTACAGGACCGCACTTCGAGGATGGTGATTGGAGCAGGTGAAGAATGTGGGGGGGTCTACGTGTTCCGCGGAATGATTGGTCCGAAGATACACAAGGCTGTGGGTTTGAATTCATTAGACTTATGGCATCGTCGTCTTGGTCATCCGTCGAATCGAGTTATTTCTTATTTATCTAGTTATTTGGATGTTGGGAAACAAATAAGTTCTGAGACAGTTTGTGATATTTGTTTAAGGGCTAAACAAACCCGAGACTGTTTTTCTGAAAGTTCTAATAAAGCTGTTGGAGTTTTTGATTTAATACATTGTGATGTCTGGGGTGCTTATAGAACTTTGTCTACTTCTGGTGCTGCGTATTTTCTTACAATAGTAGACGATTACTCGAGAGCTGTTTGGGTATATTTACTTCTTGAGAAAAGTGAAGTGGCTGTGACGCTGAAGAACTTCTTTAAGATGATTGAAAGACAATTTGATAAGAGAGTAAAAGTGGTACGCAGTGACAATGGCGGAGAATTTATGGTCATGAAATCTTATTTTGCATCTGAAGGCATTTTACATCAAACTTCATGTGTTTATACACCTCAACAGAATGGACGCGTTGAGAGGAAGCATAGACACATTCTTAATGTCGCTCGGTCATTGATGTTTCAAGCTAGTTTACCGGTTCGGTTTTGGGGAGAGTGTGTACTTGCGGCATGTCATCTGATTAACTCAACTCCATCCAGTGTTCTCCGTGGCAAGACGCCATTTGAGATGATATATGGAGTGGCTCCAGATTTTAGTCGATTACGTGTATTTGGCAGTTTGTGTTTTGCTCGCAACGTACAACGCGATAAAGACAAGTTTGGGGACCGGAGTCGTAAATGCATATTCATGGGATATCCATTTGGGCAGAAGGGATGGCGTGTTTATGATATACAGACCAAAGAGTTCTTTGTTTCCCGTGATGTGGTTTTCCAAGAATCTACGTTTCCATTTTCCTCTCTTGAAATAGATGAGATGAGAGGTCGAGATAACATTACTCAACCGGTTACTGATTATGATGATGATTTTGATGTGAATATGAGACTGCCTGAGATGATGCAAGGTGATGATAAGGAAGGCGAGGAACATTCTGATAGTGAGATAAGGCTTGAGGTAAGGGGGAGTGAGATACCAGAGAATGATCACGTAGAGGCTGTCGTGGAACCATCTACTGTAGACATACCAGTACGAAAAAGTGATAGGGAACGCAGACCCTCCACGCGCCTTGACGATTATATTCTCTATACTACACGTTGTCACAAAGACCCCCTACGACTTTCTCCTGCTCCAACAACACCAGAGACCTCCACACAAGGTATGATACAATATCCGATTTCGAATTATGTATCATGTGATATATTTTCAGAATCACATCGAGCCTTTCTTGCTGCTATTACGGAAGGGACAGTGCCTAAGTCTTTTGCTGAAGCAATGCAAGATGAGCGTTGGCGTAGTGCAGTGTCAGGCGAGATGAATGCCTTGGAAGGAAATGAAACATGGGATGTCACCACATTACCACCGGGAAAAAGAGCTATTAGCTGTAAGTGGGTGTTTACCATAAAATATGATTCAAATGGCAAGCCTGTACGTTTTAAAGCAAGGTTAGTAGCATGTGGGAATAGACAAGAAGAAGGTATAGATTTTGACGAGACATTTGCTCCAGTGGTGAAGATGACAACGATAAGAATGTTTCTTAAAGTTGTTTCCGTTAAAGGATGGGAAGTTCATCAGATGGATGTTCATAATGCGTTTCTTCATGGAGATCTACAAGAAGAAGTTTACATGAAGTTGCCTCCGGGATTTTCAGCTAGTGATAAGACAAAGGTCTGTAAGTTGAAAAAGTCTCTATATGGTTTACGGCAAGCACCACGGTGTTGGTTTTCTAAACTAACCGCAGTGCTACGAGGGTATGGTTTTAATCAAGAGAAGTCGGATTATTCCTTGTTTACTCTGACTCGCGGGAAGATGCAATTATATGTCTTGATTTATGTGGACGACTTGTTGATTGGAGGGAATGATCCTGCTTCTATCGCTAAGTTCAAAGGTTATCTCAGCAAGTGTTTTCATATGAAAGATTTAGGTGCTATGAAATATTTTTTGGGCATAGAAGTTTCTCGGTCGTCTGAAGGGATTTATTTATCACAGAGAAAGTATGCACTGGACATTGTGAAAGAATGTGGATTACTTGGCTGTAAGCCTGTAGCTACTCCTCTAGAGCAGAATCATAAACTCGCAGAAGACAAGAGTGAGTACTTTCATAATCCACAACTTTATAGACGACTTGTTGGGCGTTTGGTTTATCTTACTTTTACTCGACCGGAGCTATCGTATGCTGTGCATATGTTGGCACAATTTATGCAAGCACCTACAACTCGTCACTGGGAGGCTGCAACACGAGTGGTTCATTATCTGAAAGGCTGCCCTGGTCAAGGGATTCTGCTAACTTCAAACTCTGATTTGCAATTAAAGGCATATTGTGATTCGGACTGGGCTGCGTGTCCCACGTCTCGACGATCACTCACTGGTTATATGGTGATGTTGGGTGATTCACCTATTGCTTGGAGAACTCAGAAGCAGCGAGTGGTGTCATGTTCTTCGGCTGAGGCAGAGTATCGTTCGATGGGAGATACCACACGTGAATTAAAATGGAATCGGGAACTTCTTGCTTGCTTTGGTGTTGATCATACCAATGCAATGCGATTATTTTGTGATAATAAAGCTGCGTTACATATAGCGTCAAATCCGGTGTTTCATGAACGAACAAAGCATGTTGAAAAGGAGTGTCATTTCATTCGTGATGAGATTCAAAATGGTTCTTTAGCAACATCTTATCTCAACACAACGGAACAACCTGCAGATATATTCACCAAAGCATTGGGGTCACAACAATTTGCTTATCTTCGTCGCAAGTTGGGCATTCATGATCTTCATGCTCCAACTTGAGGGGGAGTATTAGAGAGTATTATGTAAATATTATATAGTATTGCCTTATTATGTAATAAGTGAATATTGGTGTAGTCTAGGGTTATGGACGTTTGTATATATACTCTTACGAAGATAATAATACCGACACGATATTCTCTTCACCCTTTGTCATACACCTTAGGTTTTATGCTTTTCTCATAATCAAATATTTATCTTTTCCTCTTTTTCTTTTCACCAGTTTAGTTGCTTTATTCATTGCTTCTGAGGATAAAGAATTTCCAGAGAAAAGATATCTTGTGAAACACGTTAACCAATACAGTTTTACGTGTCTATTTATATATATATGTGTGTCAACACAAATGAAAGCTGCATGAAACCTAAAAACATCCCGTGTTAGTCTCTATTACCAAAGAAACACAAGAAAAGGTTATGGATAAAGCTAAGAAGACTTCGTCTGAAATTGATATGAAGCTCGATGGAATCAAGGATAAGTTTGATGTATCATATAGCGATTGGATGAGTGAAAAACAGAGAGAATCTTCCTCTAGGGGTAGAAGAAGAAACAAGTCTAATAATGGTGATTCATCTGCAACTCCCGCCAGCAGCGACAACACAAGTAAAGGAGAGAGATCTAGGACGAGCCGAGTGGAGACAACATCTAAGCTCCCGGAACAACCTATTCGTGGTTTTGTAAACGAGTCCTTGTTCTTGAAGAACTTCTTGATGAAGCAAAAGGAGTCCGAAGAGTTCAAGACTCTTGCCATCGTGGGGAAGTTCGGAGTTGGGAAGACAACGTTGTGTCAAGATGTGTTTAACCACAAAGACGTGAAAGAAGCTTATCTCCCGAGGATATGGGTTTCTATGTACAGCAAAGAAACAAAAGATCAAAAGGTAGCTGTGCTGAAGAAGATGTTGAGATCACTTGGAGTTGAAGATGAGAAACTTGATGAAATCAAAACAGAAGCAGAAGAAGAGAAAAGAAGCAAAGATGAAGCTGGGAAAACAGACGAAGAGACGGTTGAAGAGAAGGAGCTCTTTAAGTTACTGCATGCTCTTAACTCGAATCTGCTCGGTAAGAAGTATCTGGTCGTGTTGGACAATGTCTGGGAGGATAACGAGTGGAACCAGAGGCTAGATGGTGAGAAGACACAAGTGGATAAAACGCATCTTTCTTGCGGATTTCCTAAAGGGTTTGGTGGGAGAGTGATTGTGACAAGCAGAGACGAGGGCCTAGCCAAGAAGATAGTTGGAGAAGAAGAGAACGTGCAACGTTTGTTCCCGAGATCAGATGTGGAGAGCGTGTGGGAGATTTACAAAGATGCAGTTGGAGAACTAATGAAGGACGCTGTTGAAAAAGTCGTGAGAAATAAAACAATATGGGTAGTGAACCCGAGGTATCCAGGGAGATACAAAAAAGAGCTTATGGATAAGTCTGGTGGTGTTCCTTGGGCTGCTCGAATGCTTGCTAAGATTGAGCCTCTCAAAAATGATGAAGACAAGGACTTGTAGAAGAAAACTTGTTTACTTGTAAAGCAAGGATGTTTCTACGTCTCTTATCTCTGACCTAAGGACGCATTTGAAGATTAATACTATATTTCAAGTTTATTTGATTTCCATAGAATTTGCTGTGTACTTGTAAGTTGTAACTCATGGAATTGTAAACCTCTGCTGGTATTTGAATAAACAATGTAATAAGAGTTTCAACTTTTGTGTCTGGTAAAAAAAGAGTTTCAACTTTCCACACACATGTCTGACAGTTCTAAGATCATTGTTCGTCATATATATATATACGGTTCTCTAACAATCATTCATATCCATTTCTTTTGCTTTTCTTTTCCAATCCGTGGACTAGAATATATCTAACTCATGTAATGATCGTATATTATATTATATAGGTGATTTGATTTTTCTGTACAACTAAGGTTGAGATAATGACGATATTACTGTTGCTATCGATTAGAAACAGTGATCAAATATGCATTTTTCAGCTACTTAACATATTTTAATCAACCAAAGAGTTGGTAGTGTAGTGATAATTTAAAAATGTTAGTTTCTTCGTATTATAACTTCAATCATAATATTCAAAGACTGACTCCGAATCTAAGGAAATTATGGAACTACACTCGAAATTTCTACTATCAAAAAGAAAACATATAATTACATGAAGAAGTAATGAATCAGTCAGTACTGTGATAGAATATTAATTTCCTTTAAGCTTAAGAGAGGTTGTAGATACTTCCCCAATAGTTTTAAGTTAAACATCTATACCTTTACTTTTTTTTAATAAATGTGTATGACGCACAAGATCCACCACAGAAAAGTAGGGCAATACATGTGTTTAGCATGTAACTTTGTTGTAATAAGAGAAGAAAAGCTTTTGCTTGTGTAGTAGACAATTCCAAAAGCCAATGAGTTACCTCTACACTCCGAATAAAGTCTGTTTCTTTAATACAGTCCGAGTGAAAACTAAGGAAGAATATAATACTTTATACTTGGCGTTTTTGTTTTCAACAGAATATAACCTAAACTGAAAAGACTAGTTGTTTGAAAAAATATCCGGATAGCTTGATATGCAAGTCACTGGAGAGGGGGTTGTATAAATAGGTGAATCAATCAACGAAGGATAACAAAACATGAGAAAACCTAAAAACAAAGAAAACTAGAAAGAAAACCAATCTGATCTCATCACTCGCTCTGAACAACTAATTAAGGTTCTTATTTTTTTCTATGTTTACTTTTTAAAATATTATTCTTCTATTGTTATTTGATGTATATGTTATACGTATTGTGGGGGTTGTACTTGTTTACATTTATGTTAATAATGATCTAGATGAACTTGATCAAAATAAGGGTTACTCTTTAAAAGTAGAATGATCTCTGTGCGTTTTTTTGGGATCAATATAGTTTCTTTCTACTAAAAGAAACTCTAACCTAAGGTTTTATTTATCTCTCTTTTCCAGAAATGGACAATCAAGAGAAAAAAGAACCGATCAGCAGAGAGGAGACTATCAACAAGATAATGAAATATTTGGGAGAAGACGGTGTCGATTCAAGAACTGTCCTCGTTGGTGAAGCTGGTATAGGAAAGACGTGGCTTGCAAAAGAAGTCAGCAAACGTGTGACTCAAGAAACGTCTTCATCTTACATTGTCCTCTGGTTACATCTCAACAAGAAGATTGGAGACGAGAAGACACTTTACGAGAATCTAGCTGCTCAGTTATCCTTGTTTTTCGAGTACGAAGAAGGCGAAAATCAAAACAAGGTTGATTCATTGGAGAACTTGAAGAAGAACATATCAAACGAGATCATCAAAACAAAGAAGAAGAATCTTCTACTGATTTTGGATGATGAAGCAAGTATAACAACTGAAGAACATGTAATGGATGTCCTAAATCTCCGAAAGTATCTCAAAGATGCTGTGAAAGGCATAACTCTAAAGATTCTAGTCACAAGAAGAAGTGAGATACAAGAGAAAGAGTCAGACAAAACGAAAGAGAAAGAGTCAGACAGAGCGAAAGAGAAAGAGTCAGGCAGAACGATCAAAGTCGATTCCCTCACAGAAGACGAGTCAGAGAAACTACTCAAAGACTCTCAAACCTTTCTGGAGTCGTATACCGTTGAAGACTGGCCTGATTTGCTGAAGCGCCTTTGCGAAAGCAAAGAGATCAAAGAACCTACTCTGATGTCTTGCATCACACGTAAGAGCCAGGGCTTACCTGCTGCTATTGTTGTGTTAAACAAGTCTTTAAACAGCATCAAGACTCTGTCTGCAAAACAGAGGAAAATATTCAAAGAAGTGATCTTATCCCCCAAGTCACTAGACGCAGCAGCTGCTTCCAAGAACGCTGTAGAACGGAGCCTCTACAATCCGGTCTTGCGTTTAAGCTACGAGCTGTTAAAGCTCGATGAAAAGATCGCAAAACCGGTCATCGCTTGCTTTTGGCATGTCCTGGACTTCTACAAGTACGCTGGATGCGCTTACTACCGAGACCTGATAGTCCACTGGATGCTTGAAGGGTACTTTGATCCGGTTAAGTCGGTTGAGAAAGCTTATCAAGAAGGACACAACATTCTGATGGAGTTTATGAACAGAGGAATCTTGAAGATGCAAGAAGACAACATGGTGGTTCCTGAGGTTTCCATGAGAAACCTTTTAGATCTTGAAGATTGTGGCTTCTTTGGAAGATCTTGTCTTGGTTTCAACAGAGTTTACGGTGGAGACAAGGCAAAAGGTCTTGGAAGAATCATCGTAGTCGACGACATGATCAGAACAATACAATCTAAGAAGGAGAAGATCACAACCCTCATCGTTAGCGGAAACCGTCTACGCAGAGAGATTCCTAACAAGTTCTTTGAAAGAAAAGAGATGCAAGATCATCTTGAAGTTGTTGTCCTCTTTGATCCAACGTTTCAAGATCTTGTTAAGTCTCTATCTAAACTAAAGAATCTTCGAGTACTAGTGATCAGAGACTGTGATCTAATCAAGAACATTGATGAGCTTAAGGTTCTTAAAAACCTACATGTTCTTGAAGTCTCTGGTGCAAGTTATCTAAATGACATCAGAGATGATTTCTTCGCTGACATGACTCAGCTTCAGAGCCTTAACCTCTCCGGTCTTTCGATCAAATCTTCGCCTTCGACAATCGAAAACTTAAGCATGCTGCGTTGCTTCATACTAAGAGACTGTCCCAACATACAAGACCTGCCTAACTTCAATGTGGCAACAAAGGAGCTAGAAGTCATCGACATCCACGGAGCTAGAGATCTCAAATCTTACTTTGACAGAGTTACAGATTGGAAATACTATAAAGGCAAGAACAAGAACTTTGCTCATCTCCGGAAGCTAGAACACATGGACTTCTCAGGGACTCAAATCATCCGCTTACCAATCTTTCATCTCAAAGACTCGACAAACGATTACAGCACCATGCCTGAATTGAAAAGGCTCTTGGTGAGAAACTGTACAGAGCTCAAGAGGCTGCCACAGCTTAAGCCCTTGACTAAACTCCAGGTTCTTGATATCTCTGGCTCTAAGAAGCTGGTGGAGATGCTTGAAGTGTGCTTAGAGGAGAAGGAAGAGCTTAGAATCCTTGACATCTCAGGCACACCTCTTCCAGAGTTAGCAGACACCATCAATGACGTTGTTAATCTCAATCAGCTTCTTGTAAGAAACTGCTCCAAGATGAAATGGCTTCCCAACATCGAGAAGCTAACATGCCTTGAGGTTTTCGATGTTTCGGGTTCCAATCAGCTGGCGAAGATCGACGGAACATTTGGTAAGATGGCTTACTTACACAAAGTGAATCTTTCGGGTACGGAGCTAAGTGAGTTACCTAAAGAAATGGCAGAGCTAGCTAACATCAAAGAGCTCATCATAAAGAACTGCTCCAAGATTGTGTCTCTTCCAAATCTTGAGAATATGATACATCTCGAGATCTTCGATGTTTCGGGCTGCGTTGAGTTGGCGAAAATCGAAGGATCATTCAAGAATATGTTTTACCTTTGCGAGGTGAATCTCCGTAAGACTAAGCTCAAAACATCTCCAGAGTTGCCAGAAATGAGCATCCTCAGTTCTTCGAAACGCATTGTTTTCGCGGATTCGAAGTTTTTAGAGAAAGACGAGTGGAAGAAGATAAAAGATTTGGTGGCAAAGGATCCAGAGCGCTCTAGCTTCCCTAGTTTAGCAGACGAAACAAGCGAAGAAAGAGAGAAGCTTGCTCATCACGGCGAGAGATACAGAGTTCTTGATCCTGAAGTTACTTCAGGTATGCAGATAGTTGACACTAACAGACCAGTGGATGATGATATATCAAAAGCAGAGTACATCTCTGTTTCAGATAACGAAACAGAGACCGTATCTTCAATCCTAGACAAGTTTAAAATAAGTTCGGTAAAAGGTTGTTGGGTGGAGAGGTGCAAGAAGATGGAGAATCTCTTCGTGTCATCACCAGAATCACTGGAGATGCTTTGGATCTCGAATCTTCCATTGTTCAAAACATTAGGCAATGAAGGATTAGTGTTCAAGAACCTGAAGAAGCTAAGCATAGATTGCTGTCGAAACATCGAAACGCTCTTCAAGGGAGCTTCTCAAGTTCCTGAGAACCTTGAGGTTCTGCGTGTGAAGTTTTGTGATCAGCTGAAGAAACTGTTTGATGATGTAGAAGGAGTGGGAGAGTTACCGAAGCTTCGTGAGCTTTACCTTCTTGATTTGCCTGTTTTGTCGTCGGATGGAGTTAGGTTTCGGAGTCTTGAGAAGTACACAAAGAAGAATTGTCCGGAATTTAAAGCTGAACTTGAGGAGCTGAAGATTGGAACTAAGAAAACAGAGGATCAGCCTCACAAGTAAGTAAACTAAAAATTGAGATTTGAAATTATTTTTGTTGCACACTCAAAACTACTGTTACTGTCTGTTGTGCAGGGATACTGCGCCTGAGATTCAAACTCCTGCTGAGTCCGCAAAAACAACAGGCCAAGTTCAGCAACAAAAGCTCCCGTAAGTGACTCACAAGCTCTCCCATCATCATCATCATCATCTCTCTGTCGCTACTGGTTCCCACTGGTTTTTAAAGTTTTCACTATAAATAAATGAATAAATCTTCAAAGGTCTTGAACTTTGATGGAGCTTGTAATACAAATCTACTAGAAGTTGTTCACTTTGTTGTGTTATGTAATATAGTACAAATAAGAAATGAATAAAAATGTTATTTCTGTTATACTTCTCTCATGTTTTTGGTCTGCGAATGTAGAATATAGATTTTGTAACCTTTAAAAAAAAAGAAAAAAATATAGATTTTATATTCAAGAAATGTTCTACAATGACTGCTTGTCCCAAGCATATATATAGCTTATATCTCATTTTCGTCTATGTGAGGTAATTTTGTTGCTAATGATTAAAACAGTAATAAATCTTGATCACCGTTCTCTGTAGATCATAAATAACAAATCAACTTAAAACTTCTGGACTGATATGGTATGGACATATATTCTATTTCATGGTTCTGGTTCAATAGAGAAGTCTATTCTTTTTTTTTTTTTTTTTTTTTTTTTTTTTTTAACACTAAAGATATAGAAAACTCAATTCAATCACTAAACATCGAACCAAATCAGTTTAGATTGAACTTGTTATGCTACTCCATAAACCATATTGGATAAACTCACTTGGGGGATTCTGAAAATTTTCAACTTGGTTATATCTCTGGATGGGATTAATCTTCCTTTTTTTGGGTCAAAGGGATTAATCTTCATATGCAAGCTAATTGTTGGTTTTGCTAAGATATGACTTTTATTTACCAGCAGTTCCTCTCTGTTAAAAATACTTCATCCTCAAAATAGAATGCTCATCTCAATACTTGCTTCAAAAAAAACACTTCATCCTCTTTCTTATTCACTCATGTATTTATATATGAACCCTCTTTTAACTCATCTCCATTTTAGTCAGTTATCAGTTACTGAGTTTGATTGGTTCTGTTATTTTGAGGAGTTTTGCTGTCATTGACAAGAAAGAAGTTGCTCCTCTTCAAGATCTCATAGAATCTATCATTGCACCTAACTGAAACCAATAACCAAAACCATGGATTTGTTTATTTCAATCGAATCTTCACACCTATCATTACATATTTGGTCACACTACATAATTGATCTGAAGATAATTATTGATCTCTACTTAACATTTGGCATAATCTATTTTTCTGCTAAAACTTTTTATAATTTTGTTTAAGCAAGCAAGATTTTTTTTAGTGTTGAAGAACAAGTTGTGTTAATTAAAACTCTAATCTCAACCAATCATTGTAGTTCAAGTGTATTGTGGTTCACACGTAATCCCATTTACCAATCCGTCGTCGTTTCTTATCTGCCTAACTTGCCGTCAGCGACCTGCACAATGGACTGCTTCGTCAGCTAAAATGACGACAAAACTCAAAATGTGTGATTATTACGCTTCACTTAATTAATTAAATTTAAAAAAAAAAGATAATGACAACTCAACTAAACTAGCAGAGTATTAATTGTGTTCAACAGACTAAACTTACGTCTTTGGCGTGATTAGATTTATTCCACTTAATTAATTAAAATTTATTTTTGTTTCCATACACATCTCTCTCTCCACTGTGTGTTATATTCCTTGAGAAAGATTTATCGATTCTTTTTTTCTATTTTCGTCAAAGTTGAATCCTTTTTCCGTCGTGCTGAAATTTAGAGGCTTTGTGTGAGCTCATAGATCTTCGGAATCTCTCAACACACCGTAATCCATCCGTCACCGATGAACAATTAGTTAAAGTTTCGATCTTTTGAAAAAAAGGTTGGATTTTGATTTGGTTGGTGGGGGGAGAGGAAATGTCAAAGGTAGTGTACGAAGGGTGGATGGTGAGGTATGGGAGGAGGAAGATCGGGAGATCTTACATTCATATGAGGTATTTCGTTTTGGAGCCTCGTCTTTTGGCTTATTACAAGAAGAAGCCTCAGGACTATCAGGTCAAACTCTTTTGCTTTAGTTTGATTGTGAAAGTTTCATACTTTGTGTTTGTTAGATAGTTGAGTGAAACTGTAAGGAGAATAAAGTCTCAAGCTTTGATGTTTGTTTTGATTCTCTCTTTCTCTGTTATTATTTTGTTTGTTGTGGACTGTGTGTAGATGATTTGTGGGTTTTTTAGTGATGGTGTGTGTACTTGTGGAATATTATAGGTTCCTATCAAGACTATGTTGATTGATGGCAACTGTAGAGTTGAAGATCGAGGCTTGAAGACTCATCATGGATATGTCAGTCTTAATTTTTTACCCTTTTCTGTTTCTTGAAGCGGTTTTAGATGTGTATGTGATGGTGTTTGCTATGTTATATGGTTTTTGGAATTGCAAGAATTATTCTTGACGTGATTTGTCTAAGGTGGATTTTGTTGTTTATGGCGTAAGAGAGGTGTTGAGTAGGAGGATAAGACTCTCTAGGAAGTAGGAGTGACTTCTTGGTAGAGAAATGTTTTCTTAGTTGACTAGAAGGCTTCAGTCAACTTAGACATGGTTAGTGAATGTGCTCCAGTTTTCTTAAGAACCAAAACTAAGCATAGTATAAACACTGTGCTCATGTTGCTTGTATGTGTATATTAAGTTAGAGGGGTCATCTTAAAGGTTGTGAAAATGTAGCTTTCCATAACAGTTCCCATCTATCTTCGCTGGAGAAAGACACTTGATAATATTCTTTGTGAATTAATTGATTGTTTTTGCATTTGTTGAAACCTGTCTGTGATATTCCTTATACCTTTACAAATTCTTTTGTGCTTGCGAACTTTATTCTGCAGATGGTTTACGTGTTGTCTGTCTATAACAAGAAAGAAAAGCACCATAGAATAACGGTATCTTCACTTTACTTCCAAAAACTATATATACCTTGTTACTTGGCAATTTCTTGGGTTTCGTTAGTTTATATGGAGTACTACTATATTCTTGCTAGATGGCAGCGTTCAACATCCAAGAAGCACTGATGTGGAAGGAGAAAATTGAGTCTGTTATTGACCAGGTTTGTCATCCGCCTTCGAGCTCCGAGATCACGAAATCAATTATTCAGTATATACTGTCTAAACTTGCTCTATCTGATTTACCTCACTGTGTTTTGCGCAGCATCAAGAGTCCCAAGTTCCAAATGGTCAGCAATATGTTTCATTTGAATATAAGTCTGGAATGGATAGTGGAAGGACTGGTTCATCCTCAGATCATGAAAGCCAGTAAGTGCCTATCTCATCTGATTTCTCTATCTCTGCTGGCATGTTGATCGAATTTGCCAACAACTCACTGGTTCAAAAGAGACATAGGATTTCTCTGACTTAATCACAAGTTCTCTTAATGGAATAATGCTCTGATTACTCTCTTCGCTTATAAACTTGGTTTGCTTGATTGTTGACCGTCCTTAGTTATCCAGATAAGAAATATGTGGTTTGTGGTGATCATGATTGTAGAATAAAACTTGAAAAAGTGTTATCCTGTTGAAAAGGTGTTATCTTCTGCCATGGTTTTGAATCAGGATAAGTGTTTTGCAAGTGCTGGAAGATGCTAATAAAATGTTGATGTTGGGATGTGAATAATTTCGTTTCTGATATCACGCCTTTAGATGTTTGGCTCAGTTTGGTTGATTTTTTTTTAAACTTCAATAGGCATATAGTTATGTAGTAAATATTTGATATTTTCTTCAGGTTTAGTACACCAGAGGATGAAGATGGCTCTCGGCGTAGTTTAATGAGACGGACCACTATTGGAAATGGTTCGTTACATTTATTCATGATCTAATATTGTCAGCTGCAATCCTGGTTGTAATCTAATCACCTCAAGAAAATGTGCAGGTCCTCCGGAATCTGTACTTGACTGGACTAAGGAGCTTGATGCAGAGTTGGCGAACCAGAATTCTGATAATCAAGCTTTCTCGAGAAAACACTGGCGTCTACTTCAGTGCCAAAACGGTTAGTAGTTTTGCAGGGTAGAACATGCTGCCATTTCTGCTATGCATACTTTACCAGTTTCAATGCTCAATCACAATAAATCTATATATGTGGAACTTGCTCAACCTAGTGCTCTTTTTAGTTAACCTGGGAACTGGAAGATTGCTTTTAAGGAAAGAGCTAAAATTTGGCCTTATTCTTTGTTTTTTCTTCTATACATTTGACAGGTCTTCGGATTTTTGAAGAGCTTCTTGAAGTTGATTACCTTGTATGGAAGTTTTTAATACCTTGTCATTTTTATGGGGTGGTTGTCTTATGATTACGTAGAAACTATATTTAGACAAAAACCGTCAGTTACAGTGCTACTGTGCAGCCTAGAAGCTGCAGCAGGGCAATGAAAGCTGTTGGTGTAGTGGAGGCAACATGTGAGGAAGTATTCGAACTTGTGATGAGCATGGATGGCAGTCGTTATGAGTAGGTGTTTTCTGCCTTCTCTTTTTTCCATTCAGTTTCGATTTGTAGAAAATGTTCTGTACGGTGTTCATTTTTCTTCAGTTCTTTGCAGTTAGGCATTATTATATGGAAACTATTAAATCTTCTCTTGTAATTCGTTGCAATGTATTACTAGTGTTGGAGTTATATTCTTCTGTTTCTTTCTTTGTATCCAGAAGTAGTTTGTTCTAGTGTTCCTGACTGTATCTGAAGTTATCTATGTTCCTTTTTTTTCGTGGGATGTAGGTGGGACTGCAGCTTTCAGTATGGTAGCTTAGTGGAAGAGGTGGATGGTCACACAGCAGTGCTCTATCATAGGCTTTTGCTTGACTGGTTTCCAATGTAATGTTGCACCTAAAAAATACGTCTAGTTACAGTCACACATTCTGCACTTAATTTTTTAATGAATGGCTGAAACGTGATTTTGACTCCAACTGAATTAGATTTTATCTTTCTGTCTCTGGTCAGAATATTAATTTACTGTTTCGAGAAGCTTTCTTTTATGCTAAATATTGAAATGGCTCCAGGGTTGTGTGGCCTCGTGACCTCTGTTATGTCCGCTATTGGCGCCGTAATGATGATGGGAGTTATGGTACCTTCCTATTCCCCATTTACTCATCCTATAATCTGGAAATATTGTTTTACAAGCGTGTGGTTATTTATCTCGCTCTTTCTGTGAAGTTGTGTTGTTCCGTTCTAGGGAGCATGATAATTGTGGTCCACAACCTGGATGTGTCCGTGCTCATCTTGAGAGTAAGCTTAGGAAACTAAACAAATATCTGAGCTCTTAATATGATCGTTGATGTACTACACTCTAAACTGTGCTACTTTTGTTTATCTTAGGTGGAGGATATAATATTGCCCCGCTAAAGCCCCGAAATGGGAGGCCTAGAACACAGGTGCAGCATCTAATACAAATTGATCTAAAAGGGTGGGGAATAGGCTATTGTCCAGCATTTCAACAACATTGTCTTCTTCAAATGCTGAATAGTGTTGCTGGTAAGTTCTTTCATGCTTTCCATTCAGGTCCTTGCGGCAATTTATCACCGTCCGCTGTAATTCGTGGTGGTCGTGCACATCGCAGGTTTGCGCGAATGGTTTTCACAGACAGATGAGAGAGGCGTTCATACCCGGATCCCTGTTATGGTTAATATGGCATCGTCTTCCTTGAGCTTGAGTAAGAGCGGAAGGTCTATGCATCAGTCTGCATTTTCTATTGATCAAACAAACTCTGCCAACAGAAACTCTGTGCTCCTGGATGAAGACTCGGATGATGATGATGAGTTTCAGATCGCTGAATCAGAACAAGAGGTTAATACTGAGCATTTAGATTTTTTAATATTCAGCATCTGGAAATGAATCGTTACTCTTATGTACTGTTTCAGCCTGAAACAAGTAAAACAGAGGCTGATGTCAAGAAAACAGGTGAGCACCCTATCATTAAGTTTAAAGCTTCCTACTTCGAGCTATCTAAGACCGATGGTTTCTTATGCGATTTGAAATTTTAGAAGAAGAACCTGCTCACAACATTGATCTATCATGCTTCTCGGGTAACCTAAAGAGAAATGAAAATGAAAATGCCCGTAACTGCTGGAGGACTTCTGATGGGAACAACTTCAAAGTTCGTAGCAAGAGTTTCTGTGACAATAAAAGAAAGGTCAGTAAACCTTTCGCCTTACTAATATAGAATGGTTTGGTTCTTATGTCCGGCTAACTTCTCTTCCTGCCCATTTAATGCTATACTGAAGATTCCTGCTGGGAAGCATCTTATGGATCTTGTTGCTGTCGACTGGTTCAAAGACAGTAAAAGAATAGATCATGTAGCTAGACGTAAAGGCTGTGCAGCACAAGTAAGAATATCCCAACTTGCCTTTTGCATATTAACTAACTTCTTAAGTCACCTTAGGAGAGATTATTCCAAACAAATCTTCAAATGCTTCCCATGCTATTCTCTTGCTTGTGGATTCTTCTTAATCTCTTAGAAAGAAATCTCCATGAAAGATTATTTGAGTCTTTTGATAAACATGTTCAGGTTGCTGCAGAGAAAGGTCTATTCTCAATGGTGGTAAATGTTCAAGTAAGTTTGGTCCATATAACGATTATTAGGATTCAGAAGATAATGCAAAAACCAGTGTCATATTTATACACGTTTAAAACTGTTCTTTTAATAATAGGTTCCGGGGTCAACACACTACAGTATGGTGTTTTATTTTGTGTCGAAAGAACTCGTTCCGGGGTCCCTGTTGCAACGATTTGTTGATGGTGATGATGAATTCCGGAATAGTCGGCTAAAGCTTATACCTCTAGTTCCTAAGGTATGTTTATCTCTCTTTCTTTTGTGAGTTGTGACTACTACTGCAAGTAGTATATTCATATAAATTTTTACAGGGGTCATGGATAGTACGGCAAAGCGTGGGAAGCACCCCATGTCTCCTGGGGAAAGCAGTGGATTGCAACTACATTCGTGGCCCAACATACTTAGAAGTGAGTGAACACATGCATAATATTGAAATATCAAAGTTCTCTGTAAACATTAATAACTCAAAATGATTTTCATCGTGTTCATGTGTGTAGATCGACGTGGATATTGGTTCATCAACTGTTGCAAATGGAGTTCTAGGCCTCGTCATTGGTGTAATCACATCGTTGGTTGTCGAAATGGCTTTCCTTGTACAGGTAAACTTGTCAGACACATAAATTTCATAATGTTTTGGCTCTCAAGTAGTTGGGGTTGTTATAATATATACAACACAAATGGTTGGGTTATGCAGGCAAATACACCAGAAGAATTGCCGGAAAGGCTCATAGGTGCGGTTCGGGTTTCGCATATAGAGCTCTCTTCGGCTATAGTTCCGAATCTGGAGTCAGATTAATAAATAGTGTATTGACTCCTTAAAAAAACCACTTGAGAAAATTACCATCAAACTTCATATATGTTTTGTCACATAAAAGTGTTTGGTTGCTCAATTCTTTATCCCATCTTCTTTTCTTTTCTTTTCACTTCTGTCTTTGTTTCGATACATCTTTTTATTTTTGTAATATCAATTCATAGTGAAAAAGAGTTTGTTACATATCTCATTCCAATGCGTCAATCGTGTACAATGTGCAACTTCTATTTTGCTTGATAACTGATCTGACCCATTCCTTGACACATGAGTAGCCAAAGTTTATCATGCCTCTTGGCAATGACCAAATGAGTTGTTTAGAAGACTAATAAGCCATAGAAGCTATTAATAAGATACATGATCCCCACCCCACGAGTTTTTCATTTTAACCTAAGCATTCAAAACCAAGGCACATCTCCATTTTGTTATCGTTGGTTTAATTCTTGTAATCTCTTTCCTATTAGTCATTAGACCTTTGTATTAGTAGTGAGCCTTTATAAGCTCAAGTCATTTTAAAGTCTCTTCTTGAATAAAAATCAGTATAGTGGGTTACTTCAAACTTAAACTAAACACATCTGTAAAATAAAAGAAAATAAATGTGAACATGGATATTTATCAGTCATAACTAACCAACAAAATCTGTAGTTTGATGAGAAAATTGTCAAGAGTTTGAGCTCACAACGTCTTCGTTAAGCTCAACCCCTCCCTCATGGAGAGAAATAAATGGTAACGGCGCAACAGTTCTGCTGCTATTGATTTTCCAAGTCGTACTATATAATTTTACTGAGGAATGGTTTGTTGAAGCTGAAGGTAACTTGAATGAGAAAACTTCTGGGGAAGTTTTATCGAATGCTCGTCACCGGCTAGACCACGGAAAGCCATACCAAGAGAATAACCCAAAGCACGAGAAACCGACACTGCCACTGCATTTCCTATCTGACAGTACCTGTACAAGTCGAAAGCAGTGTGAGTGAGATTTGCTAAGTAATCTTCTGTCACTATTATCTGTCGGCATTTAGATTTTTTTCACAAGTAAGTAGTACCTTTGTTTAACGGTTCCACAGAACTGGAAGTAATCAGGGAAACCTTGAAGCCGTGCGGCTTCTCTTATGGTTAGTATTCGATCTTGCTCCGGATGCAAAAACGCCTGTAAATAGCGATAACTCTCAAGGAATGTTAAAAGGAAATAAAAGATGGCTTTCAAGTGAAATCTACATAGGAAATGAGTTTTAAGAATACCTGGTTGCTGCAGCTCGGGACTGTCAGAACGGTTGGAACTGTCTCGTCCCACCAAAGACGCGCAAACGGTCTGCCATATCAGAAAATCCAGAGAGACTTAGAAATCCAAAGGAAGGTTCAAAAGAAAGTTTCAGGTGGATGCTGCTCGAGAACATACCTTTTAGACTTCCCTTGCTGAAAAGTAAACACGTATTCTGGTACCTAAAGAGAGTCACACGTGAGCTGATTCTGTATACATATTTTTGTTTTCTACATACTGTTGAATCAGCAGACTTAACAAGTAGAATGTCATTAGCTACATTTTTTTAAATGGTTTACTTATATAAGAGAAGTCTTTACCAGAGGCTTTCCTGACGGCAGAAAGATAGGTTCCATTGATGGATCACGGCAGACTGTATTATCGTTTCTGACGATTAACCCTGGAAGATCCCTGAAATTAGCTCCCTGCAGAATTATCAACAGTGAGAATGTTGCTGCTGGAGTATTGGAATTGTTTATTAGTAGAAAGAAGTGTGTGTACAAAGAAGTGTGTGTACCTTTCTCCTTGGGATTTGACAAACTCTGTTATAATCATCTTCAAACAAAATGGACGGCCTGTGATCATACAGTGGCATCGTCCTCTTCGTACATTTATCAATCACAGAGCCAGTCATTTCTGACAAAGCAAAACGCTAACGCTTGAGTAACTTGTGGAATATGCGAGTGAGTAACCATGTCTTATCCAAACAAAATGCTGTGAATGAGACATAATACAAAAATTCCAGACAGGTCCAACTTACCGTGTTTGGTTGATCTAATGTATCTCTGAAAATCTGTCTCTGGTAGGTTCTCATAAGACATTTTTTCCCGGGCTTCGTCGTTTGCCACCTAGAGTTGTGAAATGAAAGAACATTAAAATATATAGGTTTAACCCTGAACTGCACATGACGCTAATGGATATGAAACTTACATGAGGAAGATCTGATATTGCATCTTTTAGAACAAGAGCTGTTTCAAGATCTCTGGGCTGGCCTTCATAGTAAGCAACTACATTCCGCTGAAACATGAAAGGCGAGATGGGTTGAGGTGGGATAACGCCAGGGCCCAAGCAAAAAGTATTAAGTAATCACCAGTTTACAACTATGTTACCTCGAACTCAAGTGGAAACCCGTATCTGACAATAACATCATGGGTTGGAAGCGGAAACGGAGGTAGATTCTGAAATGAAATAACAAATTATTTTAAATGTAGAAACAGTCAGCTGGAGGAAGTTAAAATGGGGCTATAAACTCACCATGTTTGGATCAGCTCCCCACATGAAAACTCGGGAACGGAATTGGGAAAGACCATAGCAACCAGCTGTCATGATACCTAGCCTTGCTTGGTATCTCATGTGCACAAGACGGCTCAAAGCGTATCTCCCAAGAGAACCTTTGTCCAATCGCAGAATATCAACAACGTTTTCCATCAACACGAATTTGGGTTTCAGATACTCCACTATGTTCATGAAAACTATAATTTGCTGATTCCTTTCATCATTCAACGGAGCATCAACTATCCTATGGCGGTTATAGCCACTTATTCCTTGACATGGAGGTCCACCACATATCACACCAACACCGCCCTGGATTACGTTCATTTACAAGATATTTTCAGTGAAATAAGATGTTGATGGGGTACACTCATACAACTTTCAAAGATCAAGCATTCAGTTTAGAGGCAAGGAAACGAATCTTACAGGAAGTGGCAAGATCTTGTTCTTGAATCCACTTGTCACAAACTCCCGCATGGCATCTTCACAATTGCTAAAATTTCAAACAATATTAATCAGATCGGGGTAAACAAGAGACACTCTTTTTAGCATTATTTTTAAACATATACCTCAATTCCTCTGCTGGCTCCCAAGTATCTTCGTTGCTGCTATATCCTTTCCAGTGCACCTGATAAAATAGTCATGAGCATAAATTCAACGTCGCAAGAGAGAAAAGACTTGCAGAATATCTAAACCCTTAAAGAGTAATGTCGGTCAACAGCAAAACTGCAATACATGGACACCTTACATACCTTAAACTTCAGGCCACATTCTCCTGTCTTGTTTGGATCACCATAACATATATCAACCAGCTTTTCAACTTCGTACTCCTCAGGTTCTGAATCATCGTCAGTAGAAGAGCTACTTTCACTGGTTTCTCTTGTTGAATTTTCGGGGTTTAATGTATCAGTCGTCTGACCATCGTTAAACACATAGCGCTTGCATAATTTATCCCACTCCTTCAAAAGTTCGAGGAAATCTCCAGCAGAATCATTTCTAACCTGTAAACAAAGACAGCAACATTAGATTTCGCATCATTCTCCTTAAAATGATCTAGCAATTGGCACCAAAAGTATTCTGACCTGCGTCTGTGGATGGTTCAATTTCAAGCTCTCACAAGCAGCCAAATTCTGGTCAATAGCCCATTTCTGAAAATGAAGAATTCAGATATTAAATGAAACTGAGTGCAAAAGAGCACTCCGTCATTAGTTAAAGAGATAAATATTAATTACTTAAAGCAAGTACCGTCACGACATCAACTCCAGAAATCTTGGCTCCAAGATTCAACCCAGTGGACATTCCACCACAACCACTGTAAAGATCAAGCACCAGAAGCTCTTTGCTAAAACTTTTATTTTCCAAACTAGATTCAGTGGATTCTGTGGGTGTCACACCGGCGCAGCACTCAAGCTTGTTTTCGGAAGTTTCTGAGACCAAAAAGAAAGAAATAATGCTCAAGCTCCTCTGCCTAGGATCTTATATACTGTGTATATATATTGCTTAACAGCATGAGAACTTACGATTTCTCATGGTTTGAAATGTCGAATAATCCACGCAATACTCCATATCAAAATAGAAGTCAGATTTTATAGAATTGGGTTTTAATCCTGCCTGCAAAGTCACGAAACTAAAAGTATCAAACGCAGATTGTAAAAAAAATTACCAGATCTGGTAAGACAGAAAAATGCAGTAAAGGAGAGAAAGAGCTTGCTCGGCATACCCTAGGTGATACTTGTGAAACAGTAACTTTAGAAATAAGACAATCTATTGGATTGTCATTCATTACAGTAGAATAGAAGAGACGCCTTGTCTCATGATTAGTAGCCTGCTGCTGCATTACCTACAGACATTAGACAAATGAGTCACTAGTTCTTGCATCGCAAAGTATTAAACAAGCAGAGAGATAAGAAACTGTATACACACTGTATCCTTTGCTCTGTAGAACCACTGAACTCGGAAGTAGCTTTCTCCATCTGTTGTCTTGAAAAACTCCACTATCTTGCCGATAGGTTTCTCTTTTCCTTCACCCTGTAAAATTATTGTTAATGAATCGGGAACTATTATGGAGATGGACGTTTGATTAGCTATCTATCTCCTTTTCACAAGTGCATAACATTCTAGAAAACCTAAGGCTCTTCAAGGAAAAAGGTTGCGTATCCAATTAAAAAACGAAAAGGTAGCCCAAGGATGCTGAGGCAAAGAATACAATAATCATGATAGAGAAGCACATTTTACCGTTGTGCAGGCAAAGTCTCCAAGGCTAAACGTTTGATTGTCGACTTTTGCTTGCGAATAATGGCATTCCACATTTGCAACAATCATGTCTTCGTCATCTCTTCAAAAGAAACGCGCAGGATAATTTAATGTACGAACAAACGAAAATATGAAGCAAAAATATTTTAGGATAATAGTGAGTTGATAAAGCACGAGAACTTACTCCGACTGTTGGCCTTTACTCTTAGATTTGCGTTCCTGAAAATAATTGAAACTCACAATCAGACACGATGCTCATATTTCGAGAGTGAAAAGAAAGAACTGAGATTTTTATGACGAACAAAGACACTGCTTATTATGTTAAAACACATTAGACTATGTAATCTTTATTTCTCAACTATACTACGTAAGTTACGAATGGAAACTAAAGTAGTGAAGTACATAGAAATTAAACAACTACCTTGAGTTCATATCTCCAGCGCCATCTTTCTTTAGCCTCCTCGCAAGGAATTGGCTCACCAATGAAAAAGGAGGAAACATGTACATGCTTTTCACGTACAGCAGTACGGGTCACCCGCGCACCCTTTCCCTTGGTTGATTTAATTGGAGTTTTTTGATCCAGTGGTGATTGTCTCCCATTTTCCCCTGTGGAGAGGGTAGATCCACTTGCACCTTGTACCTGCTTGGCTGGTTGCGGCTCTTCATCGCTGTCTGTTAGATAGATCACAGTAGAATCTGCATGCATCTCCCCAGTTACTCCGTTATCAGCAGCACCGCAGTCACTAGTTCTACCCTGACTTGACTCTTGTTCTACTAACGTAGTTGTCATAGATAATCCATTACTCGTACCATTTTCACTAGTGTGAACACCACTCGCATTAGGGTCAGAAGATCTGCGCTTTCCTAACGACTTCACCCTACTACCATTTACAGTTGTCTTGACGCAACTCGAAGGAGATTTTAATAACTCTTGCTTAGATGAAACAAGGCTATCACCTTGACACTTCTTTACAGCCTCACAGCAGTTACCATTTTCCCTAACTTGCACCAGCTTCTCAGTCCCTCTCCCCTGTTTCGCATCACATAATCCCAAACCATTTTCAACAGTTTCAGATAGCCTTGAAGATCTAATGGATAGAACAGGCCTCTCTTGTTCTTGCAGATCTTCCCCCTCATCCTCCATCCCCTTAGTGAATCTTGAAGATCTCCTCGTTCGTTTATTGATGCTGCTGAGACTCTGACTACAACGCTTGACACTTGAAGATAAAGCAACACTCTCAAATTTCCTCTTAGCCGGAACTTGTGATCTACCACCAACTTCAGCATTGTCCTCCTTATCTCCGCACTCGGAAACTATCCCCATCTCCAAGCTCTTGGCAATCGCAGCAATGTCTCTGCATAAAACCAACAGTTGCACAAGAAAATCATTAGTTCGACGCTTAATGATGTTTAGTCCTTTAAAAACCAAGTCTTGGAATCTTTGACTTACTTGAATGACAATCCTCCAGAATCTACGCTTCCTTTCTGCATCAAAAATCCATAAAACAAAAAAAAAACATCCATCAATCAAAAGAAGTCGAAAACTATACGATCTAGCATCTAAGTAACCTGCATTGCGTGTTAACTAACAAGAATCTGGCGAACGAACCTTGACGGGAGCACTACTACTAATCTTTCTATTACTAGACACAATCTTTCCGGTGATCGGAACAGAGGATACATTATCGGTAACTCGATCCACCGGAGTAAATCTCGGCGATGATCTCCGAGTCAGCTGCTTATCAGGGGAGGAGGGATTCACTCCACCTTCTCCAACACCAGGCGAATTTGAATTGAGCCTCGTGGATCTTTTGCTCGCATTCATCGTCTCTGGAGTAGAAGACTGAGAAGCAGCTTCAGTGGGATTGGGAACGCAGAGGAGAAGAGAGACGCGTTCGGGTTCGGATCTTGGAGAAGAGCTGAGGAGATCCGTTTGAGGAGTAGAGAGTGGCTCTTCTGACTCACATTTCGTCGGAGATAACATTGGGGGAGAAAAGGTTTTAAGAGAGAGATCCAGAAAAATTTGGCCAAGTGTGGAAAATGTACTGACATTTGGTAGGGTAACAAATCATGTGAATTTTTTTTTGAATTGTTGACTCTTTTTTTTCTTAATTTATAGATTTGACTGTCACGTTCATGTGATCGTTTCCTTCTTCTTTTGATAAAAATTAAAATTGTCTACTTCTCAACTTTGTCTTAAATGAAAAAAGAAAAGAAATAAAATAGTTGATGATTTTTCCGGATAAATTACAAAATTAGTTACATGTAACAAATTGTTTTAGTTGGTATACATGCATGTGTTTTTAGACTTTTATAGTTCGTCGAATTGAGCACAAAGAACGGTGGTTGAGTAGTTACTATTCATGTTCAATTCAGAAAAAAAGTGTAGAAAACTATAAATGCACAAAAAGATTAAACACATTGCTATCGAATCAAGTAATTGACTTATGAACGGTTCCTCGGGATCAACTTCTATATGTCCCTTCCCTTAGCTTCCTTTTAATTTTCTTTCTTTGCTGAATGAAAGTTTATTCTCCCTAAGCTGACTAGTCTTGCAAGTTCTTCGAAAAATGCTTTACTGTGTGATCAGAAAACACTTGCATCCTTTTCAAGTCGTATCTTACATAATGATCAAGCCACGGGACCAGATTGTAGATGTTGTTGGGGTCTGGTACTCTCAAATGCTTCAAGATTCCAAACTAGTTCATGGTGTGGTAAAATGGTTGGCGAGATCTCTAAATGCGCTACAACAATTTCAAGGTTCCAATCTCCACTCAAAATAAAATTATAGCTATGTGAAAATTGACAAAACATATCTTATAAATTATCTGAAGCTGAATACAATTTATAAGAGTGTAACCTATTTAGAATTATAAATCAAATGATAGCTTCACGTTACTAGCTAGCATTAACAAGAAAAATAGTACATGTTACACGCAGTGGCCGGAGCCAGCCCAATATGTTAAAAGGGTCAAACTCATAATTAATGTGAGTTACTTGGGTCAAGTTTAACCAATATAAGCTTATTCTATCTATGCGAAGGATGTAAACTGATCTTTGCTGGATGCAACTATCTTATTCTATTATCCACATTCATGTGTATACATGTTCTAACAACACATATATCTCTTAAAGATTCAAAAGAATATGTCCATATTTTACTGTTAATATTAATTCATGTTATTAAACTAAAAAAGCATGTACACTACATCCCGTTCACAAAAATATGTCCATAATAACTTCACCAAACCAACTCATCCATCGATAACATATCTTCCTAGAGAATATTCATAGGAGGATATCTGCAAAGCACATATCAAACCCACATAGAATAAAATTTAGATAACGTATGTCTTAGGGTAATTTGGTCTCATTTTTCTCAAACCAACACAGAAGTATCTTCATCAGGCTGACTCGCGGTAATTTTTTTTGTTTAAACCAATGTATATATACATCTACGAAATATGCATTGAATGTTGTTTGATTTCAATATTTTTATGGAATTGCTTAATATTCGTAACTATGGATTTGTGTTTACATATGATATACACTATCTAATTACAATCATCTATTTTCACGATATGTACTTGTAAAGCTTTTTTTTTTAATAACAACGTACTTGTAAAGATTTTTTATGTTTTTTATCAATAAAATTTATTAAAAGGCGGAATTATTGAATGACGATTTGATGAATATTCATAAAAAAATTAAAATAAAAAATATAGACATAGATAATTTGATGTGATAATAAGTGACGATTCTGGACAATTTTTTTCTTTCATACGTTTGCGTGTCATTAAAAGACGAGTGGATTATTTGTACTATATTATATGATATATAGTATAACCCGCAAAAGGAAACTATACTTAGCACCATTGGGGAAACTAGGTAGAGAGTAGGTGGGACACCTGTCCCCTATGATTTTTTTTTGTATACTTTTACTTAAAATTTTAATAATATCCTGGATAAAAATTTAAATTTATAAATATATTATTAAATGTTTTATTGTTTTTACCCGGATAGAAATTTATCCTAGATCCATCACTGCTTAGCACTTTCCAGTTTGAAAATGTTTTAATGCATAAGGTAACACACATAGGATGTAACAGTTGTGCGGATGTATAGTCTGATAAAAGAAGAAACACATGGAAAAATTGTGAGCTTAAGAACCACAAAATTGTTTGAGACTACTATAGACGAGATTTATACACACGTAACTATGTGTATTCCCACATATGACAAACTATAATATATATTATATAATATAAATTATAGTTAAACCCAACAAATCACCTCCCAAATTACTAATTATACTATAACATTTGTTGCATATTGCCTTTAAAAGGGGATTGCACCTATGTTAACAATGCATGAAAAGAAACAACCCATTTTAGAATTGTTGAATTTAAGTGTAACAAAAGTGTTGGAGGTAACTATAAACGAAACATGTATATAACTAGCTAATTGTATTAGCTAATTGTATTCAGCTAACTAATGATACTATATGGATAGTTTTAAAATAAAAAACCAACATGTCACCTCCTATAGTGGGTGAGGTATGTAGGAGCAATAAGCACAAATGAGGTGTTTCTATGGCAAAAATGTGTACTCCGATTGAATAAAATAAACATTATACAAGTGGTGAACATAAGAATTTGAAATTGTTGGATTGTACTATATACGAGACATATATATATGCGAACACAACATATGAAGTCCGCTAGATCGCAAATTCTACTATTCTATATAGCATATAATATAGTTCGAAGAGGTCGATATGGGAAATGTTTTCGGTGCAGAAGAGATAACATGAATTTCAAGAGGGTAAACCGATGAAAAATGACACAAATGTTTAATATAGAATTCAATAGAGTGATACAACACAAATGTTTAGTTCAATGAAAAAATACTAATCTATGGAACAGCCAAACCATATTACAATCTATAATTATCAAGTGCATAGTCAACCCAAGCAAAATTTAAAGTACAACAAGTAACTATAGTATTTACGTTTCTCTAATATTATAGAATAAATAATTTTCTCCTTCACTCAAGAATCCAGAAAATTTTGTAAGAAAATAGACGAAGCAAATATAGATACTTACATGGCCATACACAAATTTATAACCAAAATAGAAAAAAATTTAGGTTAAGTTACAAAACTAAAATTTAACTAAAATTTTTTGTCACATTATCTTTTATGTCTTTTCGTAGATATTTCCACTAACTATTCATTGAAAAGACACAGTGAAAAAAAAAAAACACGAGTAACGGCGGTGATGAAAGAGAGAAAATGGTAGAGATGGTGATGACAATAATGGAAGCGATGATAGTAGTGACAGTGGTAACAATAGTGGAAGCGGCGATGGTGGCGAACAATGAAACACTCTGACGATGTATAAATAAAAGTGATTGAGGCAGAAGAAGATGAAGTGAAGAAGTATCAAAGATTGAAAAAAATGCAATTATGAATAAAAAGAGAAGAAGAAAATGGTGGTTAATTTGTGTGATACCAAGGATAAAAAGACAATTAATACATGATATACACAGAATATTATAACCAAACATTTGTAATAATTATACACTTAGTTTTGTAGGTTATTATGTTTATGTAACTAAAAACCTCAATTTAAGCAGATTTTAATAAATAGCGGCGCGGTACATCCATTTTCCACCGTACTTCTCCTCTCTCTCTCCCTTTCTCCGCCGTCTCAATACTCTCTCTCTCTAATGGCGGCGGCCTCTCATCTTCACATAACCCCAAACGCTAAAACCCCAACACCGTCTCCCCAAACCCCTCCTCCTCTCTGGTTCTCTCCCACCACCGGAATCTACACCAGCAAACACCCCTCCATCCACCTCCCCATCGACCCAAATCTCTCCGCCGTCTCCGCCCTCTTCTCCCACATCCACAACATCCAAAACCCTTCCTCCCCCGCCTTCATCGACTCCTCAACCGGATTCTCAATCTCCTACACCGAGCTCAAGGCCATGATCGAATCAATCGCCGCAGGGATTCACCAGGAACTAGGTATCCGACAAGGCGACGTCGTTTCCCTCGTCCTCCCTAACTCCCTCTACTTCCCTCTCCTTTTCCTCTCGTTGATCTCCCTAGGCGTTGTTGTCACAACAATCAACCCTTCGAGTAGTCTGGGAGAGATCAAGAAGCAGGTTAGTGAGTGTAACGTTGCCTTAGCGTTTACTTGTGGTGAAAGTTACGTAAAGTTGGGTTCTTTAGGTGTTGTGGTCATAAGGGTACCCGAAAGTTACGATCTTGATACGATTCGTGTCGAAAATCCAAAGTTTTACTCAATCATCAAAGGAGAGTTTGATTTTGGAGTTGTGTCAAAGCCTCTGGTTAAGCAAGAGGATGTAGCTGCGATTATGTATTCCTCTGGGACTACAGGAGCTAGTAAAGGAGTTATGTTAACTCACGGGAACCTGATTGCGTCTATGGAGCTTTTTGTGAGATTCGAGCACGCTTAACTACTCCAGCTCAAGCACGCTTAACTCTAGAGTTCTCTCTGGATGTGCTCCCGAAAAGGTAAGTGCACTTTGGAGACATAGGTATCCAAATCAATTCTCTTAAGTCTTTCCATATATCACAACTCGGGATGTTACAATTTTATTAAAAATAATTTTGAAAAAAATTCTTTTTTTAACAATAAAATTTTAAAAATTTACATCGAAATAAATTTATATAGTATATATAGCATGTAAATTTTGTTAGAGTATATAAATATTCCATATTACGAATCTGTGATTTTAGTTAATATATTGTGGATGCATTTAACGATTATAGACATATTTACTTATAAATAATAGAAGATTCCTAAACTTATATCTATTGATATATTTTACTTGACTAAATTGGAAGGTTTAGGGTAATTTACCAAAACCAAATTGTTAAGTATATCTTTGTTATTATAGATATGATTTTTTATAAGATATAATAATGATAAGATTATTAGAGAGTTAATATAACATGACTTTCTAGTAATAGTTCATTTTTTTTAAAAAAATCATATCCCCTATATATTAATTGAGAAACATTTGAAAAGATGTAACCTCAAGTTTGTAATAATTAAAAAGTAACCTTGCTTAGTTGTCAATCAATTAGCATACCAATTAAACTGACGTGACAGCTTTAGGTTCAATTGAAATTTCCTAGGGAAAAATAATTAGAGACGCATATAACGCATGTAACATAGTTTATATATATATATATCGCACGCATGTAATGGAAGAAAAGGAAAATATACGATTTGATAACGATTTGCATATATTAACTATAATAACTTCATTCCTTTTAATTTATGGAAGTGTATATGTAAAATGGAAATTACTTTGTGACCAAGTACATACTTAATGGTAAAGGCAAGAACGTTTATTATATGAATATATCTTTTGAT